TTTGAAGCAGCCCTCGTCACATTTCTTCTGCCTTTGGCCCAAGTCTCCATCTCCTCGCCCAATTTTGCCTCTTTTATGCTGGTGCTGGCTCCCCTAGGGCTCCTCTTTTCCTTCTTTTGTCCTTTTAGCCTTTAATGTCGCACTTACAGCTCCCCACCCCCGATTCCGCGAAGGGAAGGAAATAGGGTCGTAGATACGGAGGCTTTGCGAGCCGGGATGCGAAAAGAGAGGGTGAGGACGAGGGACTCCCAATCTGAAGAGCTTTGCGGCATAATCGCCGTATTATAGCGCCCAGATCGAGGTTAGCCATTTCATCGGTTACTTCCCCCTTGAGTGGATACCGAATTTGAACTATTACTCAGATCACCTGGATGCTGGAAGTATTTCCGTTCAACCATCGTTGGGCATAGTGGTGGAAAAAAAGAAAAGGCCCCTCATCTGTCACGGAAGCCCTGCACAATTTAAAACTAGTTTATTCTTTTTCTCTTTCTTCTTTTCACTTGGCTGTAATGAGTGCAAAATCATTTGGAGCGCAAACACGGAATGACGTCGTTTTGGACTAAAAATCCGAGGGTCTCCGGCTCTTGTCATACTTCTTAAGGTTCCCTTTGCGTACTAATTGGAGCTTCATCGAAATAAGACCGTTGGACTTCAAAGTTGACTACTGTCCGTGCTACCAGTTCAATCAAGCGGCGGGTGACATTTCCCATCTCTCAGCCGAGCTTGCCATGATGGTGCATGCATGGCTCACCATGGTGGGGTGGTGACGGTCGCGACTGGGGAGGGTCGGCTCGGGTAGGAGCCAATTGGGGCCTCTGCGAGGGCGCACAGTGACGAGAGGACAGAGTACTTGCTCGTTTGAACGCGGATCGTCTATTGCCCCGAAGGCTTCCACCAAACGGCGAGTTGGGGGCCGGAGAGCGGGTGGGCGAGGAGAGAGGGAAGGGGGGCCAAAATGTGTCAGAGGACCTCTGCGCTGTCATTAACCCTTTTAGAAAGTGGTTGGTGCTTCTGTTGTTGCACAAGGTACACGAGGGATCGCAGAGGTATACCCACTACGGATCCTGCTCCTCATTCCAGCGGAAGCTTATGCCTAGCTCGAGGCCCATTTCCGAGCAATCACCTGTCAAGATGATGCTGCCCATGATGCGGCAAGGACCAGAAGGATCAAAGGCTCAGCGGCTCAAAAGGAAAGCAACATTTTTTTCTTCTTCTTCTTCCCTCTCTCTCCTCTGCTGTGGTATTTGGTACCACTGGCATTCCTTCGGAAGAATGGTTTTGCGAGGAGTCCGAAGAACGAGTCCGAGAAAAGAGGGACCACCACTTGTCAAGGGTATATAACACCGAGTAGCTCGTTCCCCAGAAAAGGCTCGTCACGGAAATTTCGCCGTTACTGAGTGTAGCGGCGGGTTGCATTCTGGCCTCGACCCCGGGATGCTTGACAGTTTGGCTCCCATGGGTGACAGATCATCGCCCCGGGGCGGATTTGGCCGAGAGGCACCGGCAAGAGAGACCCAGAGTAACCTGACTCCACGAAGCCCGGTGCTTCCAAAATCAACGGGCGAGGTAGGTCTGCTGGCTGCCGTCTTGAAGCCTGCCCAGCTTCGCGCCACGCCATCACCAGCGGGATACTGGGCGAGACGGTCTTTATCCGCCTTGATCGATCGTTCGATGAACCGAATGTTGGCGCGTTCCCCTCCTTTCACGAACAGCCTGGCAAGCCTCCTCCAGACGCGCGTCATTCACCGGATTCTTAAAGGCGGCCGGTTCGCCTGGGAGAGAGTCTCGTGGCACGCTAGTTGTGGAGGACTTGGCGAGAGCCTTCTCTGATGGACTCATGGTACAGCCCCAGCGACGACGTCGCCAAGGGTTCGGCTCTTTTACACTACACGGCTGTTTTGAAATTTGAAATTCTCTTTGGTAAGGGTCGAGAGTGTTTGTGATCGGGGCGGCCTCAATTAACAGACGCGTTCCACTTGGCACACCTCGTGGAAAAGACATCGTAAGAAAAAAAAAGAGAGAAAAAAACAACAAAAAGAGAGTGTCTCTTTCGTTTGCTATGCAATTTTTCCTTTTCCCATTCCCCTCACCATACCCCTGGCGCTCCGGAAGGGTGATACAAAAGTTGGGTGTGGGGGAGTTGGTGCGCTGGACATCTTTTTCGCCGTTTGTTGGTCGCACCAATCCAACGACAAGGAACTGATGCCTCGGCAAGTGGTGGTTTGATTACAGGCACGGTGCACTTGTCTTGGTTAACTTGGTCAACTTGGCCGACTTTGTGGCTCTGGAGTACTTCGCACTTGGCCCAAGGTTGTCGCCAAAGAGCTTTTGCACGCTCCACCCGCACACGGTCTACCTTGTCTGTCCCAGTTCTCTTCGACACTAGTGGGATCCACCGATTGAATCCACACACGCCCTTCTCTTGGACTCGCCCCCTTGTTGCCGAGCATGGGGCCCGCTGCCGTCCACCCCATGTCGAAGCGCCATGCCGCACCAATATTGGGCGCGCTGTTTCCGGGCTTAGCGACCGCCTCAGACGGGCGGGTACGAGCTTCCCCTTCGTCACTGGCGAGTGGCACCAAACGATTTGACTGGACGGTGGATCCCTCAAGAATCCCGCTACCCTCTGTCGTCGCTGTCGTCGGCATTTAGCACTGGTCAACTAGACGAGGAACTGATTCTTCGAAACACAGCGTCCAAAAGGCCCTTCTTACCCCTGCGAGAAATTCTATCAAGGAGCGGATTCGCCTTCCTTTTCTACTCCGCTTCTCTTAGAGACGACCCCGAGTTTCTGCCGTGTCAATCTCGGAAACACTCTCAAAAAGAAAGCAAGACCAAAAAGAGAAAAGAAAAAAGCTATTTTTGGCCGATAAGGATCAATACCCCCATTCATGGGATGAGAGAGACCCAAAGCTCGGCCGCAGTTATATTCGGGAGTCTGACTCTTTTTCCACTGCGGGTTTCTCTGTCATTTCCCTGTTTTCCTTCGGGACACCCAATCCGTCTTGCTTTAAGGTTAATTCGTGGTTCACGAGAGAAGAGAGGAGTGGCAAGGTCAGCCTGCCCGGGGGACAGGCGATGCGCCATCCGCAAATTAGTTGAATTGAATTCTTGGAAATAGTTTTTGTGCCGGCGAAGAAGGGAAGACCCCGTCGGAAGGATATGCTGAAAAGAAAGAATATCTACCCCCGCTTACTCTCTCCTAGAGTGAAAGATATCTAGAGATGTGGGGTGATTGAAATGTCTGGTCGGCAGCATTGGGTCAAGGTAAGTGTTAGGAAACCTGAGCCAGAGGGGGAGGAAACGAAGTGGTGATCATCGATTGATCCATCCATTGACTGGAGTATCGTGAGAGAGTCCAGCAGGCTCATCTTCGTGTACATTGTACCCTTGCCTTGCGTCCCCACGACGGCGGCGATGGAATGACGGGCAAGAGTGCAAATTGGATCATGGTGCTTCTCCTCGAGGGAATGGATCCATTCAATTCAATGGCTGAACATATGGAGGCTTCAGTTGTTTTTCGACGGTCCTGCTGGGTCCTGAGCAGCAGAGTGGCTAAAGACACCCCCTGCACAACCCCCTGTACCCCTGTCGCTTTATCGCTTTCCAAGACCGCACAGCACATTTGGGAATCGACAGTAGCGGTACCCTAGTGGCTCACTTCGCCTCGCGTTCGTTTTCTTTTGCGCGCGCCAGCTAGATCCGAGACGCCCCCATCCCCATCAATGGGTCAATGAATCAATGGATGATAGTTCGACGTTAGTCCCCGCGACCACGCCCCCCAGAATACCACCCAGAATACCCCACCCACTCCAATCCACCCCTTTCCCTTGCCCTTTCCGCCCTTCTTTCCTCTCGTAAACTGCTCTGTTCGTCTGTTCGTTTGCTCTTTCGGAGGTTCACTTAAGCGGCGGCACGACAGTTGCTCAATGTCCTTCGAACGAATGAGCGAGTACCTCACGGGGTACTTGGATCCCGGCCCTTCTAATTCCCTATTCTCACGCCCCTTTCACCCTCGGCTCCCCTCGTCTGTGATCAGCCCTTCTTTTCCCTTGGGAGGTATGACCACGTCCACTTTCCTTTCCCTCGACACTGTAGGTAGGCGCCATCAACAAAACCTCTGTCAATCCCTCCTCTCAACCTCGCTCCGGCTCCGCCCTCTCCCTCTCCCTATCACCCGAATCGCGCTTCAGCTCACCGGCTCACTACCCTACCGTCGTCGATTTCCGACATCTCGACCAATCGCTCATTTTTTCACCCTCCTCGGATTGATCAGGGCTTGGGGAATGGGAGCGTACGGCTGACGGGCTCAAAAACAACGATTTTATCTACCAGCCCCCGAATCGCCGAAGGAAGCTCAAGAAGGAAACTAGACCAAATAACTTCACCAGGAAAAAAAGCGACTGGATGCGAATCCTCGCCTCTTCGACCGACACTTCGCTCGTCTCACCGTTCATCGCGCCGTCCTCTTGGAACTGCGACAGGAATCGCACCCACTCATTTTCTTCCTACTTTGCTTTCTCCTCCAACAGTTGTGCTCAGCTCCACGTCTCACACGCGGGGTTTGTCTGACTGCGAGATTCAGCAAAACCTCGCGCTGGGTCTGACAGGCGCAGCGTAATCGCGCGCCAAGCTCACGAAAGGCAAGCGCCACCTCGGGAAAGCGTAGAGCAACAGAAAAGAAGGACAAATTTTCAACCGCAGGGCAGCTCCGAAAGAGTCAGCTCGGAATTCGAACTTGTCGGCAATCCCGAAAAGAGCGGCCCCAGGGCGCGGTAACTCGAGCCATCTCCAGATTCTGGCTTATCCGCATTGGGTGTTTTTCTCAGCTGCATCTCACGGACACACCCAAGCTGATCTAGAAAGCAGTGTGAAAACCAAGGGAAAAAACGACTCAAGCAAACGAGACACTTCGTGTCACGTCACCCGCTCTTTTTAACACTGTGATTTCAGGTCCCAACAGACCTTGTTCATCTCGCACTCGCAGATTGTAATTGCCGATGAAGGAGGGAAGAAACCAAAAAGGTAGAGTGTAACCCGCGCTGTCAAGTTGAACGACCTAAGGGAAGCGTGGAAATAATTTCTTCTTCCCGGCGAGGCGGTTGCTGAGAGGCTGGGCTACCTCGCAATTCCCACCTTGCGTGGATGCGCTTTACCGGAGCCTTGATTAATATTTTTTTCTTAGGAGACGATTCCCCTATCAGCTTTCACCAGAACTCAAGTGGCTTGGACGGCCTGGCTCTTGATTCTTCCGCGGCAGGGCTTCCTCTCTCCACCGGAACCAAACAGCCAGTAGAACCGGAAAGCGGGATAAAAGGGAAAGTCGACGGACGGGAGGCTTCCCAAATCGGCTCGGAACCTGACCTAGTTCACCCTCTCGCGACCGCTTTCGAATCCATTCATCGTCTGCTTTTGATTGCGTCGACCCGGGATTTTGGCTTCTCGCGCCCGTCTTAGAACTGCTCTGGTTGCCCCATTATTGTCGCCCTTTAAAAGACGCCGCGACTGCCTCCCCCACTTGGGTGAGCTTCGCCCCTTTGCCCTTGCATCTTACTGGTCCTCTTCCATCCCCATCGGCTGCCTGCGCTTCGCAAGCTAACGAAGCAAAAGGGATACCTCGTAGGCGCAGAAGAAAGGAACCGAGCGTCTCATCCATCCCAAGTTTTTCTCAGGGTTTTTCTTCCTTTTTTTCTCTTCTTTTGGTCGTTGATCTTGGGTTCAAATCTCGCAATCCCTGATTATCCGCCCACGTACTCGCTGCTTCAGACCAATTTGATTTGAGAAGAGGGGCGTCGTCTGCACACGCACTCATCCGCAGCAGCGCAGCGCATCAAGCAACTAGAGCCGAAACCGCCATTCGCCTGTTTTCCGAACACGCAACACGCACAAGGTTGTGCCTCGTTAATTTCACACAGCGCCGCTTGCTATAGCTGTTCCTGCCCGCCCGCCCGCCCACAATCTTGCGCTCCCCGCCGCGCCTCACATCGCCCTTCTCATCCTTCGCGCCTGCTCCACCTTGGTTCTCTTACCTCTTCTCTTCTCCTTTTAACCTTGGTTTCTCGGTCCCACGAGAAATCCTAGCGCGCGTTGCTATTCATCAATCAAACTTTCCGTCTTGGGAGAGTAACTAACCCCTTGCATCGCTCATTCCCCTTTCTCCGCTCCTTGTTCCTCTTTTCTCTCTCCTTGGCACGGCCGCGCTTCATTTTCGAAAGTGACAGCAATCACTCCCTCAGCTCGCGAACGACCGCTATCAGAATATTAGATTTCACCACGAACGACGGAATCGACAGAGGGGTCTCGTATCTTATTTTCCTCGGTCACGCCGCTGGCCATCGAAGCTCACCATGTCAAGCTTTACAGCCCTGAATGGGGCCGACCAAAAACCGACGGAGCCGGTGATCAAGGTCGCTGACGAAGCACGTCCTGCTTCTTCTGGTCGTCCGAACGGGCAACCATCTATCGCCTCCTCATCCACACTTCCAGAACCCCCAAAGCCTACCGATGGTGGTCGCGAACCGTGGTCAAACTCCGCCCAAGAGCGCCCTACGCCTTACTCACAACCGACATATACCGAAACCGAAAACTCTCACAAACGGAAGAGGTCAGATGCCGAGGAGCTCCGGAGGGATCAGCCTCTCTCTGCTCAGGAGAGGTCACCCCGAGACGAACCCGCACGAACCCCGCTCATAGACTCTCGACGGCCCTATGACAGTCGCGAGAGGGAATACCGCCGTTACGGCGACGACCACCGTGAACGAGAAGGATGGTACACGGAACAGAGCCGCGATAAGCAGTCTAGCTACGAGCACTCACATTCCCACCAATCCCAACGCCGCCAGACTCCCCACCACATCCCTCCAGCGAAGACAGGCATTCCGATTCCGCCCGCAGGGACATGGACTATCCGAACACAAGTCCCGATGCCGATGACCGTTCCATCTCTGTCTATACGGGCTCTCCTTACACCGCGGACGGCCGGAAAGACTCGGTCATCCAGATGGATCCGAAGAAGAGGAAGCGCAATTTTAGCAACAGGACTAAGACAGGTTGCATGACTTGCCGGAAGCGGAAGAAGAAGTGCGACGAACAGAAGCCCGAGTGTAAGTATCGCGACGTGTGCCTGTTTGGGGCGCACGCTTCCCCCACCCCACCCCCAGCAAAAGCATTATGTGCTAACTCACTGTTTCTTTCCATGTCTAACAGGCATCAACTGTTTACGAGGAGGATTCCTCTGTGCCGGATACCCGCCGCAGAGGGGACCGGTGTGGCAGAAGCCTGATAACAAGGCATCCGCGATCCCCTTGGAGTCAAAGGACCCAAGCTACGTCCCTCCCGGCGCATATGGCATGCCCCAGCAGCAACCCTCGCAGCAACAATCATCCCAGTCCTCCCAGTCGCAGCAAAACCCGTATGCCACACCGACATCGGCGACCTCGCAACAGCAGCCGCCGCCGCCCCTTCCCCAGCCTCATAAGCGCGACCCAATTTCGTCGTACCGAGGCCAGCCTTTGAGGATCGACCCTCCGCAGGGGCGACCCTTGGTCTCCGACGATGATAGGCACACGGCATCAACCATCCCTAGCGCATCTGTTGCGAGTCCGGATAATAAGCTGTCTGCTCTCTCCTCGTATACCCCCGGCGCGAGCGTCTTCCCCACCCCGTTAGCGCCAATGCGGGGCCGGCGCCTCCCTTCTCGGAACGAGTAACCAAGGAATACCAGCGCGTGCCCCGCTCCATGATCTGACTAGAACTGAACCCGACACTCCGCATCACGGGACCACTCTCCCGCAGATCAATATCCTCCATCCCACAAGGACCAACAGCCCCATCACGCACCAGACAGCTACCTCGAGCGCGCAGGTCGCGGCGCAGCTCGCATTGGCGCATACGCAATTCCGCCTACGACGAGTCGGCTACGAACTCAAAAGGAAGATATGCTGGCGGGTCGACACTTTACCCGTTCGACAAGGAGCTGGTGTTGGAAAGGGAGAGGTGCAACACGGCGTGCTGGAGGTTCAACAATTCGATGAACCCCAACAACGGAGTGTCTCCGGTCGAGCGCGCGCGTCTATTCCGAGAAATCTTGCACCCGCGCGACCCGATCCAGGTGTCGCCAAGCCTCGTCTCCCAGGTCACCAATGTCGGTCGGGTAGGAGAAAGTGTCGTCGTCGAAGCGCCGTTCGTTTGCGATTATGGGTACAACATCAGCATCGGACAGAACGTGGTGATTGGGCGGAACTGCACCATCACGGACACGTGCGAAGTCAAGATTGGCGACAACTGCCATATCGGCCCCAACGTGAGCATCTACACAACCTCACTCCCTATCGACCCTAAGAGGCGGATGGGTAGCAAGGGACCGCAGCTGGGCAAGCCCGTCACCATTGAGCCGGATTGCTGGATCGGAGGCGGCGCCATTATTCTCCCTGGCCGCACGATCGGCAAGGGAAGCACAGTAGGTGCTGGATCAATAGTCACTAGGGTAAGAGCACTCCCCCAATCCCTCTCCCGTTTTGTTTGGAGGGTAGCTGCATCACTGCACAGTCTCGTGAACGTGAGGTTAACCGTATTGCTGCAATATAGGACGTGCCGCCATTTACAGTAGTTGTCGGAAACCCGGCCAAAGTAATCAAGGGCGTAGCGTCTTAGACGCTTGGGTAGAAGCTACCCATTGCTCGGTTCCAAACTCGGTGCTCATGGGGGTAAAGAGAGGGCAGGCACCTCTCGACGTCTCTCTGCTACCTTTCGTTACCAAGTTTTTTTGCGGTCAACTCTCCTTTGGTCTTGGCGGCTAAAGGACCGTTGGTTGTGTTGGTCTTTTTGGTTTCTGTCTTGCTTTATTTCTCTAGCTCTGGTCGGTCTTGTTCCTTTTCGTTTTGGGCGTCTTGGGCGACCAAAACCGTGACATTTCTCGCGCCCTCTGCCTATTCCTCTATTTGTATGGTGTTCCATATTTCGGCGTCCAAACAGGGTATGATTACGATGGGCGCCTGCGAAGCGCAGTGTGCAGCTGATATGATCAACGAAAGACGGGGGTATGGACGGAAAGATGGAGTTGGGCAAGTCTCTTGTTTTTTTTTTGTTTCCTTTTGTTTTCCCCTCCCGCCTCTTTTTTCCTTCCTCTTCTCCTTTTTAATCCTTTTATTTTTTTATTTTTTTTGTTTCGCCGCGCCCTTTTTCGCCTTGGTTTGTCATTTCTCTTGCTCTTTCTATTCTTTCTCTCTTCTTTTGTGAAGCCAAGGCGCATTGAACAGCACACATGAGATACCTCGGGACTTGAAGTTTCTTTTTCTTCCTTTTTTTAGTTTTCGTTTTATTATAACGGGAGGCGGGGGTTTGTAGCCTTGTTTTCCCAAAGCAAGAAATAGGATCCATTATCTTGAATGCAATTCTTTGGACGTTTTTCGCCTACATAACCTTTACTTGCGTGATCCTGAACCTCACCTCCATGCCCACATTGCGCCTCGTCGCTTTCCGCCGCTTTCCGCCCAGTTCCTTGGGTTTCAATCCAAGTATCCCAGGCTATATTTCCTACCCCTTTCCCTCACCTTGAGCCTCACTGGTGCACGTTCCGCCCATTCACCCATCGCAGGCCTCGAGCCCGGTCTTGTCGTGAGAGCGTGTGCTGCTGATTAGTCAGTTTAGAGCATTGAAGCGAGCGCGCCTAAAAGTGAACCGGCCCATTGATCGAACCCCGCCAGTTGTCTCAGATCTGCCTGGGCTGGTCGGAACTTGAGAAGTCAGGTACTGCAGCGAGCTCAGACTGGGCTGGTCTGCCCCGCACCACCAAGGACTCGAGCTCCAGGTGTGGGGTTTTGGGTGTGGAGACCGCAAAGCAAAGCAGGTGCCTACACTAGGCTGTCTTTTTGGCAGTTCCCAACGTCACTGCCTACGCTACTTGGTGAATATAGCTGGAGGCGCAGGGGATGACTTGGACAGTACCCCTCGATCGGCTCATCTGCCCGCGAGCTCCCGCTTGAATCCCTCGTATTCTGACCTTGCTGGTTCAAATTCTGATTGCCAAGCGCTATTTCCTCCCCATATATCAACATCTCTGCGTTCATCTATTTCACGTGGCATCCCTTTTACTTTTTGTTTTTTTCCCTCTTCTTCCCTCGAGTCGAACCAATCCCTTTCCCCTCCTCGCCTGCAGGAACATGTCTCTCACAGTCGACGCCATTTTGGCGGCTGCTCCGCCACCACCCGCGGCCAGCCTACGCAACTGTCCTGTGACAAGAAGGGCGAGAGGATAGCTTATGCCGTATGTCTTTCCTTGGAACTCCATCTTCTTGTGCTCTCTCTAGCACCAGACGACTAACGTTCCGCCCTGGCCCGGTTTTAGTCTGGCAAATCCGTCTTTCTTCGCTCCATCGACAACCCCGCCGATTGCAAACAGTATACTGGCCACACTTCCCAGGCCACGGTAGCTCGATTTTCGCCGAGCGGGTTCTACGTCGCGAGCGGCGATGCGGCCGGGACAGTCCGCGTGTGGGATGCCGTGGAAGCTGTGAACACCAAGGGTACGTACGCCGTTTGTCCTGCTAACACGGAATACTAGCTCTTCCTCAGCGAGCTTTGCTAACTTCAGACTGCATCCCTGACTTAGGCGAGTACCACATCATTTCTGGGCGCATCAACGATGTCGCCTGGGATGGCGACTCGCAAAGGATCATTGCTGTCGGCGACGGCCGAGAGCGCTTTGGCCACTGCATTACGGCCGACAGTGGAAACTCGGTCGGTGAAGTCACCGGCCACTCCAAGGTTGTCAACGCTGTCGCTATCCGCCAGCAGCGGCCTCTTCGCGCCGCCACCGTGTCGGACGACGGCAGCATGTGCTTCCTTCACGGAGCGCCCTTCAAGTTCAATTCCAAGGTGGACGGTTCGCACAAGTCCTTCGTCTTCGCGACGGCCTTCTCCCCGACGGCAGCCAGCTCGTAACTGTGGGCGCTGACAAGAAAATCCAATTCTACGACGGAAAGACTGGCGAGGTCACGTTCTCTATCGGCGAGGGAGAGCACACGGGGAGCATATTTTCGGTCTCGTGGTCCCAGGACGGCAAGAAGTTGGTTACCGCGAGCGCTGACCAGACGGTCAAGCTTTGGGATGTTGAAGCGCAAAGGCTGATCCAGTCCTGGAGGCTCGGTCCCGAAGGCGCCGTTAGCATTGCCGACCAACAAGTTGGCGTCGTGATCCCCACGGCCGGACCGATGGTCTCATTATCAGCTTGAACTTGAACGGTGACCTCACCTATCTCCACGAAGGGCGTGATCAGCCGAGCAGGGTCATCCAAGGACACAACAAGGCCGTGACCGCGCTTGGTGCCGGCTCCGATGGCAAAGGGAGAACCTTGTGGACCGGCAGCTTCGACGGGCGCGCCCTTCATTGGGACATTGTGTCTGGAGAGGGCACCGCCGTGGATGGACAATCCCACTCCAACCAAGTTGTAAAGTTCGCCCCCGGTACCGGCCGTACCTACAGCGCCGGCTGGGATGACACCCTCAGGACCATTGATGAAGCCTCCCAAACTTTTATCGGTTCTGCCGTAAAGCTTTCCGCCCAGCCCAAGGATCTGGCATCTGGAAACGGGCGTGTATACGTCGCCACGGTCGCCGGTATCGCCACCTATGATGATGGCAAACTAGTCAAGGAAGTAGCTCTGGGCTACGCCCCGACCGCAGTCGCGGCGCACGGCTCGTACGTCGCCGTCGGTGCCGACGAAAACCGCGTTCTCGTTTACAAGGCATCGTCTGATGGATCTCTCGATCAGATCCATGCCCTTACCAAGTCAACCTCCCAAATCTCCACCCTCGCCTTCTCCAAGGATGGCGTCCACCTCGCCGCCGGCAACGCCATTGGAAAGATTTTCGTGTACAAGACCTCGGGTAGTTGGGAAGTTGCTACGGATAGGTGGTCTGCCCACACGGCGCGCGTCACGACCATTGCTTGGAACGACGAGGGCACTCATGCGGCCAGCGGCGCGCTTGATACCAACATTCACGTGTGGAGCTTGGCTAAGCCGGGTAGCCGAGTCAAGGCCGGCAACGCGCACAAGGACGGTGTCAACGGCCTCGCCTGGATCGAGGGGAAACTCGCCAGTTCTGGAGGTGACGCGGCTGTTAAAATTTGGAACGTCAAGCTACAGTAGGAAGGGCGAGGGCAAGGAGGAAGGCTCGCACGGAATTAGTGAGGATGTCTGCGGTTTTGAATATGTGGGAGGAAAGCGGGATGGGATGGGGGCGCGGCGTGCTTTTTTATGGCGGTTATTTGTTGGTCTTATACGATGATGTAGGGAGTGGGATAGCACCTGGGCCTTTTAGAGTGCGATTTCTTTTGGAATATATGCGCTTCTTTGGCGGTTGAAGTACTGATGGAGCAGGTTTCCGTAGCTGTGTACTAAATCTAGTACCCTTCGCTCCCATAAGTAAAAACTAAATCTTGCAGTTTAAATACTAGTTACCCGTTTAGGAGGTGATGAAACGTGCGATCACCGAGACAAGTCCACTTCACCACTCATGATACTCCATGTCAAAGGACCTCTCCTCTTCCCCAAACCGCTGGAGGGATTAAGCTAGCATAGGCAGCTATTTGTGAACAACAGCATTGGAAAGCCTCGTCATGGGCAACTCCCATAGTCAGAATTAGGTTGATGTTTGATTCAGCTGTACCCCATGGGGCGCTATGCGGGGGATATGAGTAGGAAGTGGCTCGATAGGATGTTATTCATGGTTAATCGCGCTGCGGTCCCGCGGAGTAGCAGCTCCAGAGGAGAGCCTAGAACGAGGAGCGGTCGACGTGACTCTAAGCCCGTACGCGGCCGTGATATCGGCCTACGAAATCGGCGACTGGTAAGGGGTCGTTCGTTTATCCGTCCGCCTCCGTACGATAGGTGGGTGGCCCGTGTGGGCAGATATGCCCCAGGGCTCGGGATTCTGTGGGGTAGGGCGGGACGTGGGCCGAAGAGCCAGGGGCCTCTAGCCCTCAACCAGGCGCCCGTAGGTATCCCGCTCGGACTCGTCGAGCGAGGGCACGAGGCGGCCTGCGGAGCTCGAAGCGGCTACGTCCCTGCCGCGCGGAGGTTTGGGCAGCACGACGTCCACGTAGTCCCAAAAGTTGGCCGGGTCGTCCTGTTGGGACGGGTCGACGTTTACGGTGTGGGAGGGAAACGCTTCTGGGCGCTGGAGCGGAGGGCGGCGGCGGCTGGTATGACGGCGGGGAGGTTGCTAGGGAGACTGTTAGGGTTCCGTTGGCGTAGAGAGGGGAAGAGAGGAGAGGGGAAGAGGGCCGGGGGGGGTTAGTTACTCCAGGCTGCCGTGAATGGCGTATGATGCCTTTTCTAGCTCCTCGGCAAGCTCGACCTGGTGATTATCCTGTAAGGTGGGGTTGGGGACAATCACGATGGGTATGTTTGTCAACATTGCATCTAGGACAGTTCCGGTGCCTGTGGGCTAACGTCAGTATTGGTAGCACGCAGGGGCTAGACAAGAGGGAAGGGGGCGGGCAGGTAAAGGTGACGGCATACCAGCGTGGCTGATGAGAACCCCGTCGTCCCTAGGGGAAGGACCACCCGCGGCGTGGCATAAGCGCATCAGCTGCGTCAGGTCGTTCACGTAGTCCAGGACATCGATTCGAAGGACGGGGTGGGCGAACTGCGCCGTCGCCCTTTGGAAGTGCTCGGCGTCGGGCCCGCACTGGATGGTTAGTCTGGTGTAGCGGGCCCGGAGGAGCGCCGAGAGGAAGGCGGGGTCAAGGACCTTTTCGACGAGGGGCCGGAAAGTGGTTGTCGCGCCGACACTGACTAGGCAATAGCGGTCCTTGTCCGGGGCGGGGAGGACGGGTAGATCTAGGGAGGAGACAGAGGGCGGGTTTCCCGTGGGGGATCCATCCTTTGCTTTTCTTCAAGTGTAGGCCGATATAGATGGCCGATCCCGTGGTTGCCTCTGCTGGGAAAGGAGAGGTTGGAAGAAGGTTGATTGCTGAAGCGCTGAGAATAGCAAATGTGGGTTGGGTGGTTTACTCAAAACGATATGAGGTAGGTTCAGGAGGAATGTTGGACGAAAAGGAGGGAGGTGGTTTATTTTGTACAAGGTGGCCTTTTCCCAATTTCTCCCTGATTTCTTTTGCTTTTATTTCTTTTCCCCTTTGTATTTTTGCTATCCAGATGCAAGAAGAGACACCAATATCAAGTATCAGTTTGATGGTTTATATGGTGGCCATGAGTCCTGAGCTTTGTTCTCTGGGTAGCTCCTGCCGTGAAGGAACGGGCAGTGGTGGGCCAAGAAAGGTGGGTCCACCACACTATTATGGTGGACCAATAATGAGCTCCTTTGTCCCTTTAAGATTTGGCGTCCCGCCCGATATTTACCCGTCCACCGCGACCAAAAATTTGGCGACACCTCAAACGGAAAGACTCGTACCTGTCAGAGGAGGTGCCCGTAATTCTTTGCAATTTAACCCACATTTGATGAGGGTGTCTCGAAAGATACACCTCATACGCCTCCAGAGAAGACGATAAAAGTTTACAATGGCGGCGGCCGGCACAGCATTCCGCCTCTGCGCACGATTGGTAGCGCGGCAGCGGCCCTCACCTCGCGTTCGCCCGACCGCACCGATTTCCCTTCTTTCACAGCGCACCATCTCGACTTCGCGGATACAATGGTACGCCAGTAAGCACGAGGGAGACAGGGGAGATGGCTCATCGGCCGAGTACTCGTTCATCGAAGAGATGCTCGAGGGCGTCCCCCGAGGAGAGGACGGCGGAGCTCGAACAGGAGCTCGTCACCCTGCAGCGGCAGCTCGAGTACCAGGATAGCAAGATGCACAAGGCCTTGGATGAAGAGGCCGCGGTCCTGTTTAGGGAGCCACGGCCTCTCAAGGATTCCTTTTGGTTCGACGAGGACGACGACGATCCCATGACGCACGACGTGGAGGGCGAGAACTTTGACGAAGACGATATCACGTCCATGGCACACGGCAAGTTGGATGAATTGAGAGAGTACAGACACTACGCAAGGATTGTGGCGTGGGAAATGCCACTTTTGTCGAGTAAGATGACCCGTCTACCTCGGTTCAGGAAAGGCCGGCCTTGATTCTCCCGTCTGGAAAAGCTAACCTCGTGTTGCCGGCTCGATAGAACTTGCGAAGCCGTTCCAGCCCCCAATGAGGACGAGGTGCTACGATTCCGATACACCACCTATATGGGCGAATCCCACCCAGCCGAGCGCAAGGTGGTGGTCACGTTCTGTCCCCTGATTTGGGGCTTACGCCCGCACAGGAGCTCAAGCTCAAGAAACTCGCGGGCGCGAGGTACAACCCCGAGAAGGACGAGATCAAGATGAGCTGCGAGAGCTTCGACCATCAGGCGCAGAACAAGCGATACCTTCGCGACCAGGCGAACAAGCTCATCGAGGCGGCCAAGGTATGTGTTCCCACTTGCTGTGATGGGCGCACCCATCGGTACCGAATAGGCATCTAACTGGGGGATGCAATTGTGATTATAGGACCCCGCCGATATGTTTGAGGATATCCCCTGGATCTTCGCCATCACCCCATCAAGCAAAAGCCCAAGTTCCCCGTGGAATGGCGCATGACGGAAGAGCGTCGTCGCGAACTTGATCAGATTCGCGCGCGTTCTGTCGCGAAGGACCTCAAGGTCGGGGAGAAGGGCAAGCTTATCGACGGCAGCGCTGTTGTCCAAGCGGTTCTGTCCGAGCCGGCCCCGGAGCGGAGCGGTGCGCGGGAGGCCGTCCCGGAGATGGTACGCCGGAGAAGATGAGATCAGCTGATCGGACGGCATATGGAGTGATGGGACTGAGGAGAAGTTTTTCGGGGCGTTGATGATCCCCGCTGTACAAGACACGACGGCGCCTGCTTTGTAAATTACTAGAAGACTTGGTAGACTGTACTGTTACACGAATGTATTGCCATTGTGTGCAAGGGCCGGTAGTGCACGTCCTGTCATGTCTCACGCAAATGAATTCTGGGTCTCTAGTTATTGCTCCAATGGAGTGATGCCGGCCTCGGAAGGCAGACATGTTCTTTGCCTTATCTTGTTGACCACCTTCTTTTTCTAATCATAGCTTTGTGGAGATGGTGTTTGCACATTCAATTGTTATCACATGGCTCTTCAACTACATCTGTGCTCCCTTTTTTGTCCCCCGGCCTAGGGAAGGCGGTCTGCGCTACTAGCAAATAGACGTGTCGTGTTTGATAATGGAGATGATGTGTGCCGGCGGCACACTTTATCCCTTCCTCTCCTGGAGGAGGTGGTACATAATACTTTATAGCTTGACTAATACGCCAATAGGCGCATTAGGAGCTGCACGAAAGGGACAGGGACAAGGGTAGATACTTCGTAGATAAATAATGTGAAGGGAACAAACAATGTTAAGAATTTCTTCTAATAGGGGTATCAAGTGTCACTCTGTCTGGAATGCACAATTCACCCCTTTGTCAACGAGAAGAGGCAAGACACCTTCCCGCACCCCAGCAGCAGCAGAGCGAGAATGCATTCGACGAGGTCAGCCCCGCAACCGGACCTACAGGCTTGCGCCCTTGCATTCTCCGCTAACAGCCAATCCAGCAGTTGGTACTGAGAGGTAGATCATGGCATTTAGATTGAGAGGTGGGAAGGGCGGAGAAACGGGAGTCGGATTGATGATATCTCATGTTCAATACCTCAATGTGGGGTGGTTTTGGCCTGAGTCAGAGAATACTGTGATCTCTGTTGACAAGGGAAAGGTAATAAATAATTGCCAAAAAGATAAAAATGGGGAAGAAGACGAAAAAGAGGCAAGAAAGCTTGATCCTTTATTATAAGTAGATGCCCACTGACTGAATGGGAGTTCTGTCTGCAAATCCAGGGTGTCATCGAGTTCCAGAAACAGACATAGTGTAGATGCAGGCCGAGAATGGAGGATTGAAGAGCACAGCGTTGAAAGAGCCAGGGGTACAGGGCGATATCGTCTTACAAAGTTTTGAAATCAGTGAGCTCTGGCAGCGTACAAGTATTAACCAGGGGTTCCACTTTGTCTTGAAGTTTGGAACTGGGCTGGAGCGGTGATTGCTGGGTCGGGTGACTGGGCTGGAGAGGCTGATGGTTGAGATGAGATGAGGAGTATGGCGCCATGGTGTTCTGGCTCTCATTACCTCGATATATGAGTCTCTTTCTGTGTTTTTTGTAGGTGACAACTCCTCAGATAAATTCACGCCTCGAAATTCCCCGAGTGTCGGGTGGGGGATGGGGGCAGATCGTGGATTTGCTTGGAGCCCTGGGAAGTGGAAAAAGTGTTGGCCTTAGTGGCGAGGGCCCACTGCAGCCACCGGATGTGATGCGATCGCAAACCGGACTCTTGAAAACATCCATTGAAAGAAAAAAAAAAAGAAGAAGTAGAACGTGCTGGTTTCGTGTTGTGCATGCGCCCGTTCCACGATTCAAGCCATCGCTAGCTTGGCAACCGTTGATCAGTTGCGCATATTGACCAGTATTGTTAATGAATACCATGGGCCCGAAGAGGATCAAGCGCGCGCATCTGCGACAAGAATCTATTTAGGATTTGCAGGTGGAGTCCGAGTGCAACTGTGCCATGCGCCTGCTGAAAGGTTGAAAGATGGACTGGATCAATTGATTCGATCTCCAATTCATCTACTTCTACGAGTATTCACTCGTGCCCCTCGCGACCACGCTCCTTCCGCCATTTATTCCATCGATGGATCCTATGCCAACTGCAACAGGACTACACTAGTACTCGTGTATCGGGACTACGGGCTGACGTTGACGTTGACGTTGAGTTGACTGACTCCCTTGCTCGGTTGACTTGGCTCGGTAGCTACTGCCTTCTGCATAGCGTACCCGCGCTGGTGGCACTAAGAAAAGAAGGAGAGGGAAGGTGCGTTGTTTGGCTGGCTCCGCTCGAATATCGAATATGGGCAACGCGGGCCCTAGCAGCCGATCCTTGCAAATCCGGACTCCAGTACAAGTACACTACATCCAACGCACGCGCACATCGCCCCATCAAGCTGGGACTGGAGCAAAACTGCACAACCACATGCCATCAATGTCAGATTGGGCACTTTCCCCAGCCCGCTAAACCCTTCCCTGCCCCGAAACCCACCCATTGCTTTTGATGCCTTTGACCTTCCCCCACTTTTACACTTCACTCGCCTCGCATACCTTCCGCGACGACATCGTTGTCGCACTCTTCGCCTTGAAACCTCCAACCCTTCACATTTTCATACCCTCGCCTTCGAGCCTTGCCTACCCCCAGAACGCTCCACCTTTGGTTTGGTCCATTCGCCGTGTCTCTCACAGGCTTATTCCTGGCTGGATGCCTCCTATTCCAACTTCGGTTCACCTTGACGTTGTTCGCGCGTGACAAACTTGACGTCAATAATTCGACCCTTGCCGAATTTCTCATCCCGGTATTCCACGCTCTCTCTTCTCATCACACACCCCTTTTCCTGTTCTTCTTCCTGGCGAGCCCTCCACCCTGTCGACCAGAGCTGTGGTACCACGTCTGACAACAGCTTGTTTGTGTCCACAACATCTCTGCCCCCTTAAAAAAAACCCAAAACGAAAAATCCCCGAAACGGAATGCTTTACCATTGATTCACCTTGGTCCTCTCAAATGCGACTCTAAGGATCGCCTCCAATCCGCGGGACGACAACACGACCTATCTTTCCGCTTCACCTTACGCTTTCGACCTTTGGCTAACGCATAGCTGACACCGAGCCACGACTTGCTCTTGCTTCTCACACGATAAGCTGTTCGCCCTCCGTCCGGGCCCCTCTCCCCATCCCTTCTTGGGCGTCTACGCGGCATTCAGGACGTTGATACCATGAGCCTCCACTACCATGACTGGTAATCCACCTCGGCCCCAGGGCCGGCCTAGAGCGACCCTAGGCGATACCGGTCAGATCTCGCGATCTAACCAAACGCTGAACACCTTTCTCGGCGGCAACCTTCCTTCGTGGATGCAAAACAGCAACGCGGCAGCGTCCCTGAACAACAATGCGGCTGCCGTGCCCCCGACACACATATTATGTCCTCGTCAGTTAGACCCTCTCGAAAGCGTCGCCTCAACGGTGCTATAGCCGCTCGCCCTGAGGATTCTGCGCCTAGTAGCCAAGCCCAACGATCGATACAGAAACCTCACCGCCCTCTCGATCTTGTCACACCCACACCTCCTCAACCCCATTCTCAGCCCACCGTTGCCCGAGATCCGCCAACTTTGGATTCACCTTCGCAACCCTTTCAAGCGCCCGCCACTTGCCGAATTGAGCCACAGATACCACCTACTCCCAATTATAATCAAGAACTCATACTAGTGCCTTGTCCGTCGCGCTCGCTCCTCGGACAAATACCTGTGGTAGGCGGAGAAAAGATCCCGAATGAAACGCCCTCGAGGTGAGTGTAGTTCTGAAGCGATCACAGAGCGGGTGCCCCGTCCTCCCCAAGCACTTGTCTCTGCGTTGACGTTTCTCCTTGCTAATGGAGCCTCTCCCATTCTTTATCTTAGAAGCCAGGATTCTATTCTGCCGTCTCCCACTCCGAGCAACGAAACGACTAGCCCACCCTCGGCATCGCCCACCCTCGTCCCAAACCCCCAGCCCCTTTCCGTCCTTCCTGTACCCGGAGCAGGCTTATCCCCGCCTCATGTTCCACACCTTGCCCCTTTGCCGAACGAGCCCTCGACCCGGTCTACACCGAGTATCGGGCAAGGGAATCATGGTACGCAAGACCGCCTTAGCCTTGCGCTACAGCCAAGCGTTGCCTCGGCATCTGTGCCCGCGGCTGCTCCTCCACGCCGACGGCCGTACCACATTCTCCAAGGCTTGGTGTCGTCCCGGCACATGCCGCACCCTCTTTCCACGGACTGCTGTGCCGCATCCCGCGGCTCAGAACAACGGCTTACAGAACCCCAATCGCTGGATAACAACTCTCGCTCCCAAATGCCAAGAGCTCGACTTCGTGATGCAAAGCGGAGGTGGCTTAGGGGCTCTAGACCCCTCGTTCGAGTTACCAAGGTACACACTTTTGCGACAGATGCTGCTGCAAGGCGACGTTTTCTCCCTCCTCGTCCAGCAACTCACTTGCCTCGAGGCGTTCAACGTCGCTAGGGCGGCTGATTTTCTGCGTCTCCCGGCACCCATAGTGAGGCATGCATGTGAGATACTCGGCAAAGTCTTAGTCCCCGTCGTCCGGCTGAGACTGGACATGATTCAGTGGCAAAGCGATTTTCCATTCAAGCTGGACTCTCCCCCGTCGTGGAAGGCATCGAAAACTACCGTGCGGCAGTTTCTACATTCTTTCTCCGACTCTCGAAAAATTGGGACCGTCTACGGGCGGATGTAGTGCGCCGCGGTACGCCGCTACGTGTCCAGGAACTCGTCGAGGGCCTCGGCATCCGAACTAACCTCTTCTTGACCCTCTTCTTCACGCTCACCAGGAGGTTGGTTGGGATCGGCGATGGGCCAGAGTTGTCATCCATTTGCGAACAGGTGACGGCCACCTTTATTCGCGAGAAGAGTCTGTATTTTAACCAGAACCTCGCAGTCGCTGATAAACAGTCTGCCTTGAACGAGATCGCAAAGAATTATGAGTCCTTGGCGGTTATGGCAAGACGGAATGCGGCAACCCACCTACAGGAGAATAATACTTCTCATGGTGAGTTTCTCTCTGAGGAAAAGAATCCCCCAAAAAGCCAGGGCAGGCAGGCCTGGGCTCGCCTTCCAGCGCCCAAGCCTGAAGGGGTACGTTTCGTATGCTAACTCATCGTATCCAGTCCTCCCAATCACGAATCCATCGCAGCAAACGAACCAAGCACGACCAGGCTATGCCCAGACAGCTATATCTCTCGCCCAAGGGGAAGCGCATCGCCCTCTATCCAGGCACCTCAAGAAGTTCGCTATCCGCATCCCCCGCGGCACTCCCAACCGAATTAGCGAGCCCCCATGCGATGCATCCTGGGCCTGGCTTTCAGCAAGTAGCCCCGCCGCCCTACGCCCATCCCGTGTCATTACACGGGGTGCAATCCCCTCCCCAGGCTCCCCAGGGCATGTGCTGATGGACACGCCCTACAACCGACCCCCGTCGCGGATGGTGCCCCCACAGCCAATTCCCGCGCACATCCATGCCTCGCCGCAAGCGCAGTTAGTTGCGCATGCCCGCCAAGAACAAGCTCGCACACATGTATTGGCCCAACTCCAGGCCCATACCCGGACCCCAAATCAGACCCTCGCGTACGCGCAAATATATGGGCCAGGGCAACCGCAGGCACCGGCCCAGCCCCAGGCACAATCACAAAGACAATCGCATGCCCTTGCTCAGGCCCAGGCGCACGTATATGCACATACACCTGCGCAGGGTCAGACACAGGCACGGGCACAGGCACAGGCACAGGCACAGGCACAGGCACAGGCACAGGCACAGGCACAGGCACAGGCACAGGCACAGGCACAGGCACAGGCACAGGCACAGGCACAGGCACAGGCACAGCCGTATCATCAACAACTGCAATGGCAGGGACAGCACCAGCGGCAGCAATTGCCGTCTCAATACTTGCCGATTGCCTCCAATATAGCTGGAGTAGCGATGCAGCACATCAGTACACCAAGCGGCCATGCGATAGGAAATTTCCAAGGCCTCAGAGATAGCAATGGCCAGATCCGTATGCCCGGGCGGCCTCCCCGCAAGCCAGCCCCAACCAGTGGGCCCCAATCCCGAGCGGAATCACTACAGCCGGGAGCGGGCTACAGTATCCCCTTGCCCCGACAATGGAAGCTATAAGCCCATCGCAGCCACCGCCACGTACGGCTATTAGTAGTGGGCAGGTTTTTCAACCCGGAAGGCCTGGTCCACCCGCAATAGTAACATCCCACCAGACTCTTGGCCACGCCACCCGCCTGGAACCGGCGGGCCTGCTCGTCCCCCTGCGGGTGTAATAATTCCCCAAGGGAACATCCCCTCGACCCCTGGTACAGTCGCGTAGGTCGCTGCATGTAAACGAGGTATCGAGTCCACCAAGACGGCTGCGTGTACTGGAAAGTAGCACCCCGGTATCACCTCCTCACGAAAGGTTCTACCAATACGCTTCCAAGTCGCCGTCTCCGCCTGTGCGACTGGCAATCGATGGGAGCCCGACAAGATTCTCTTTTGACATCAGCCCTAGCATTCATGGAGGGCTAGTCCGAGAGGTTGATGGGGTAGATTTGCCTGTCGTGTTTTCAGAGTACTTTGAAAACGCTTGCCGTTTTCGGCTTAGAATCTGCGAGGTACCTGAGGATTCGGCGAAGGTACCAACGGCTGAGGATTGGACTTTTCGAAAGACAACCTGGCCTTCGTCGTTGTCAATCACTGTCAATGGGCATGGGCAGCCCCAAGTGCCTCGCGAGCAGAATTTCCAAAGGGCACGGCCATGCGAAATCACGCAGTTTGTCAAGATTGGACTTAATGAGATATCAGTGGTACTCATGCCGTCTTCTGAGCGCTCCAAGAAGGCTTACTTTGCGGGAGTGGATCGAGTCGAAACAACCAGTCACTCAGGCATTATGCAGAAGGTACTAGAAGACAGCGTGTTGCCCGATAAGGTCACTATCGATACCATCAAAGCGCGCTTATCCATCAACGCGCTAGATGACAACGGCAGCCAGGAGGTCTTCGCCGACCAGGAACTCTACATCAGCCTGGTGGACCCGGTCAGCTTCCAGCGGGTCAAGATTCCATGCCGCGGTGCCAACTGCCGCCACCTCGACCCGTTTGATCTATCGAACTGGTTGGAGTCGCGGCCCACGAAGAAAACGTGCCTCCATGCTCTCACGGGCCCTGCACACTGTCAGCGATGCACGGCACATGATGCCAGATGGCAGGAGCCAAGCTTGGTTGATGCGTGGAAGTGCCCCGTAGGGACATGCGAAGGGGATGCGCGACCGCCCAACATCGTGGTGGACGGGTTTTTAAAGGGCGTACTCGACTCGCTCGCCGAACAGGGGTTGGAGGATGTCAGAGCAATCTACGTGGACGTGCACGGGAACTGGCGGGTTAAGGAGGAGGAGCCACCTGTCGGTGAAGATAGCGACGACGACGGCCCACCACCGAAACGACACGCTTCAGCTATGATGAAAAGGAGTGCGGCTACTCGTGCAGTTGGGGACGTTATTGTTATTGACGATGACTGACCGGCCTGGTGTCGCCTCGTATCCTTTCTTCCTCCCACTTTCTTTTTTTCTTATCTTTGTTTTTCTTCTTTTTCATCCTTCTTTTTGTGGCAATTCGTCTTTCACTCCCTATATGGGCAGGCGAGCCCACCTTGTGTCACCCTTTCTCAACATGCATCACACGCCTGCGTTTTCTTTATCGTTTGATACCAATTCCTCATATACATCGGCGTTCTAACAGGCAAGAGGAAAAGGTTGGATGGGAGTTTATAGGGAAAGGCAGGGACTGATGATACCACTGGGGCGTCTTTTAGCTTTAGAACAGCATAGCTTATTTAATGAAGGGGTGGTCGGCATCGTGGGCTACACGTACCGTTGAAGCACCCTTTCCACCACCTCTATCCCAGACCCGTAGAGAGTTATAGAAGTAGTAAATATGCGATATTGGGCGCCCCATCACCCTCACGGGTTGCGCCACGATTGATTTGCTCTGCGAACTTGGTGTCTACACACATGCACTCTGTCTAAGGACCAGAGGGGAATCTGCAACTGCAGGGGAATTGTGTAAAATTCACTTTTTTTCTTTTCATTGATCGTGGTAGCACTATCCTTTCCCTCTGGCCCTCAAGAAATCGAGGGTGCATGAATAGGCATCGAGGGAGGTAGAAGGTGGGAAAACAAAAACGTAGAAACGCACCACGACCCATGTGCCGACATCATTACATACGTACACGAGAGCGCTATGGCTCTCCAACGACGAAAAGCTAGAAGAAAAGTCAAGGCCTTTCTATACTAAAGGCACAAGGCATCAGAAGGGCAAGAATACAACGCGTGCCAAGGTATCCTATTTCCGAGTCGCCGTACTCTTTTCCACAAATAAAACTTCGGCGACGGCATCCAAACGAACCCAACACATCCATTGCCACCGCAAGCCCCTGCCGCCGCCGCCGCCGCCGCCGTCAGCGCCATCACCAGCGCCATCGCCGCAGCCCGCACGTTCCACTCACTCGCCAGCACTTGGTAGCCCAACACCATGCCTCGACCCCGGCTTTTTCGATCCACACGTTACATGTAAGAACCGCCAGTGGAGAACAAGTGTCAAGCAGGCCGTGCCTCGGTACATTGACAAGTGCTAGCTGCCCGGGGTGGGGTAGCCACACGCGCGAGGTGAGACTGAATAGGAAAAAAACTCCTCCTCTACAAGGAAAGTGAAGGTGACAAGGCGATATGGAAGAAGACATAGAAAAACAGGAAGAAAGGAATAGGGTGATGCAACAAATGAAAAGTTTGCGGGTACATAAACGCGCTCGGTATTAAGAGAGAATGGCAGGTTAGGCTGATACAACGAGGAGGGTGAAGCAGAAGCATCTCCCCGCCCCCAACAAGATAAGGGAGAAAGAATAAAGGGGAGGGAGGACGTAAAGTAGACAAAAACAAGTCAAGAGACAGGGAGCGAAAGAAAGCAAGCGTAAGCATGTCGAAGACGTCCCATCATCACTACATGCCTCCTAGTACCAAAAAACAAGATTTTTGAATGAACCCATGAGAGAAATCCCTTTTGGAGGGTAATGGCGCAAGTTAAATAAGATATGAAAAGGTAGGAGGAATAAGAAAAGAACGAGATCCGGTGACGGGGAGGGAGGGACTGGCGGCTGACGAATCGCCTCAGAGCTTATGCACTCTGAGGAGGCAGCATGCCCTTGTCGCTGCCGTTGAACTCGTGCTGCGAGGCCTTGGCGCTCTCTACCTTGGCCAAACCTAGCTTCTCGAGGCCAGAAATGCCACTATCCGCTTCGTGGAAAGCGAGGCCGAGTCCTTCTTTCCGATCCGCGCTCCTTCGTTTCTCTTCCTCGTCACCTTCGTCCAGGTTCATGAGCGCGGGAGGCCTATGCCTCATCGCGCGTGCTTTCGCGAGGGAGATGGTCTTTTGCTGGTACGTCGTCGTGATGGGTTGCGTGTCGTCTCGGTCGATGGTCGCCTTCATAAGGGCGGCCATCCACAGCCGGCCTTGCGTGAGGTTTGGTACGGCGAAATAGTGGACTGTCGGTTTCGTGAAGTTGACGGCGCGCGAGAGCCCGCTCCGGGGCGGGACGAGCTTGAAGATGAACATGGTGTCGTCACCCTTTTGCATGGCGGCACCCTCCGGACCGGAGCCTGACTGGCTAGGAAGGGTAGGTGTGCTGCTGCCTGCCCCGGTAATTGTGGCATGGAGGCCGGTGAGCCTTTCGTTGTCCGCAGGCAGAACGCGATGAAAAGAGATATCAATGAGTCCCTTCTCCTGCGTGTCATCCTCGCTGTAGTAGTAGGCGAGACGTCGGCCCTTGAGGACGAATAAGCGCGGCTTCCACATTGTCATGAGATTGGAGCTCTTCTTCTTCATCCAGCCACTGTAGTCGGCATCCTTCATCGCTTCCTTGGGGCTGATTTTTGCAGACCTCGCGTGTACGCACTAGTCTCTTTCTTGTCCTTCTTCCGAGGATCTCGCTTCGCGTTCGCGCTGTAGGCCGATGCCTTGAGTTCTATGGAATCCAAGTCGATGCTGTGTCCTGCCGAGGGCGTGGTCGAGCCCGTTCGAGCGGGGAGAGAATAGGCGAACCCTTGGCCGACGAGTCCGTGGGGAGGCTATCTTAGTGCGGTCAGTTGAGACGGAGTCCGAGATGGCGCGAAGACCAAGCCCGGCCGCCTTAATGCTGCCGACGGGTTTGTTAACAACAGACGATAGCCAATCGCCGTGGGAGCCAGTCCGGTTACCGACAGACGCCTGCGGGCTGCTAGAAATACCATCCAACTTGGTCACTACCGGGGAGGGCCGTCTTTGGCCGGGGGCACGGGTCGCACAGATTCGGTGGTGTTGGTGGAGGCGGTCCTCCTATGGCTGCCCGTCGCCAAACTGTAGTACTTCTGCGCCGCGGTCGTGAGCCCGCCCTCGCGGACCGAATCGATGCTGCCGTAGCGGGAATGCCTCGAGATGGCGGTGGCGCTGCGTACGCGCTGCTCTTCGGTATAGCTCGTCTTGGCTCCGCTATCCCGCTTCTTCAGCACATTCTTTTTCCGCCCATCCACCTCGGTGCCGGAAAAATAACCGCGATCGAGGTCGACGGCGGAGTCCTGGAGCTCGCTGCCACCGGGATTCAAAAGATCTTGGAAGCCGGTGGAAGAGAGCGGACGCTGGGTGGTGTAAGCACCGCCCATAGTCCAATTCCGGTCGAAGGACGCCTGCTTTTTATGACTCACCTCGCTGCCGGAGGAAGGGACCGGAAGCGGCCATGGTCGGGGAGGCGAGGGTGGGGGCGCCGCGGTAATCGGTGGAGGAATGGCGACGCGAATGGTGCAAGTCTCGAACCGATGCGGCGGACGGCCGCCTGCCATGAGTCGTGCGCGTTGGGCTCTCCATGATGGTCGTGGGCGAGGTCGGGGAGCCGAGGCTCGAGGGATCAAGCCGGGAGACGGCGGTGGATCGGCGGCCGGCTTGGGAAGAGCCCGGTCGGTCTTCGATAGTGGGCATTTTCGTCGAGTTGGTTAGGGTGTTTGTCCTGCTTCGCATGCGGCCGGTGCCGTCGGACCCCACCTCGCTGCCGTAGGTTAGTGTCGTTCGACGGGTGTAGGTCCCACTAGTGACCTCGTCTTGCAAAGTCTTGATCTTTTGCCACGTCTTGAGTCGCCGACCGACCGAGCCAAGGTCGAGGGCCTTGATGAAGAGCGAGCTCTGGTCCATGCCGAGCAGGACCTCGCCGCTAATTTCCTGATCCCTGAACACCTCGCAGTGGTGCTTTTCCACGCCTGCGGTGAAGAGGTACTCGGCTACTTCATCGGGGTTCCATTTCTCAACCTCGGCGCGTGTGTGGGTCGAATCCTCCTCCTCATCCGTCTCCTCGCCTTGGATATACGACATTCGATGATCGAGCGGGGCGCTGTATTCGCTGCCTGAGTCGGTGGCGGCATGAAGACCGCCATTGCTGGCGGGGATCGAAGGTCGGTGATGTGCTCGTCGATGACGTTGAGAGTCTCGTGAAGGACCTGGCTATCCTGGTTGCTGTTGAGCCGTGCCAGTGCCTGCTCAATGGACGAGGGGACGGGCTTTATGTCGGATTGAGAAGCGGCGTCTAATTTGGGGGCAACGGAGGCAAGAGGAAGGGTCGCGGGTGGTGAATCTGGTACGATGGACGGGGAGGAGATGGGCGTGGCAGACGCGGGAACGGGCGCAGCTGAAGAGCTAGTCGGAGGGGGCGTGATGGATGTCAGGTTTTGGGTGGTTGCGGCGCCGCGGGTAGTGGAAGCTTCGGGTTCGGATTCGGCGACAGGCGCGAGGACTTGGGTACTGAAGGTACTCGACGGTAAAGGACTGGTAGGCTTAGGGGCCGGTCGGGTATAGACTAGAGCAAAAGGTATCAGGGTTGAGCAAGAGGACGTGGCGAGGACAAGGAAACCGGGTCAAACCCTACCTTCTGGGAAAAGGCCAGTCGTGTTGTTGACCATATGACGGCCGAGAAACCACCCATCGCCGAATTCATCATCTCGTTCGATGAGCTGGACCCTGTCGCCCTTTGCGAGGCTCAGCTCGTCGGCACTCCTCGCGTGGAAATCATCTATCCAAGTGGAATCGAATTGTTAGCGCCTAAACGTCAAGCAGATCCGAGATCCGGCTCCCTCCCAACGAGCAGGGCGAAAGAAGAAAAAAGCCAAGGGGAAGGAAGGTGACCAAGGTTCGGCGGTGGACGGTGATGGGCATTCAGTGTTGGGTTCGTATGGGGTAGGTAGAATGGCTGGTGAGGCATCGTCTGGCGCCAAGCGACCAGCGTGGCACGAGGCGGGAGACTTACGGATAACCAGCAAAATATCGCCCAAATCAGGTCTCGGGTTCCCAGATGCCCCAAGGCCAGCGGCGATGGATGGCGAAGCCATCCTGGCTCAAGCGTTGTTTCGTGGGGCTGTTAAAACGGCGTGGTCTGTCGATGTTTACTCGGGTGGAAGTGTAGGATAGGTTGAAGATGCTAAAAAAGAAGGGGGACTTGAGGATTCGTTTAGAAGGATGGGTGAGGGACACGGCCTCAAAGGTACAAGAACCTAGTACCCTGAACCGGAGGGGGCTCGGGGGTTCGAGTGTGCTAGACAGGGGTCCGGCGGAAGGGCTTTCGCTTTCGGTATTGCTGGTTCCTCGTCCTGGAACTAGCATCTCACGATGGTGACCATTCAGAAAGAAAAGAAGGAGGAAAGAGGGTGAGATGCCCGGAGCTTCAATGTTCACGGTCTGCTAGCGGTTAGATCGCCGGGACGAAAAGACCCCAGAGGCCAGAGGAGGGCAGGTGGCGTTTTGTGAAGGGGCGGGAAAAGGGCAGGCCAATAGAAGGAATGTGTGGAGGTGACCATTGAAAATCCCAGGTTTTCGGCGGGTAAGGTCAGGCTATCAACACCGGTACTTTGCACTTTATTAGCACGGCGTGGTTGGTTTGGGTTTGGGTTTGGGGGCGCGGCCAAGGCACGGGTCGGTCAATTGGAAGTGGGAGTCGAGGAGATCCAGCATTGAGGTCAAGTCAGTCCAGTCAGTCAGCATCTTTGGCGGGTTGGAGGGTCTGGTCTGGGCTGGGCTGGGAACTGAACTGGGCTGGGCGTGAGGATGATCAATGATGCTCAAGTGGAGTCGTGCAAAGTGGGGAGGCCTATGAGTACCGTACACATACGACTGGACTGGAGCAGCGAAAAGGGAGGGAAAAAGAAGAAAAAAAGAAAAAGAAAAAACAAAGGGAAAAGTCAAGACCCGCGTGGTGGGGACGGTAATGACGGTAGAAAACAGCGCGGCAAGGTGAGACCACACGTAAGAGCGTCAAACTCTGGCGATAATCTCAAAGGCCTGACCCGACTCCGACTCCTGTCCTGAGGCTCCAACTCCCCACTCTTCCCCTTTTCCCTTTTCTTTGTTCCCGTCTGCTCTTTCCTCTTTCCTTTTTCCCTCTTTCTCCCTTGCTCAGCGCCACCCTTCTAGCAACAGGAACAATCGATGATACACCGGATGGATCTATGGATGCCGTGGGTGGATGGATGGCCAGACCTATGGCGATAATACCAGTACCAATAGTTGTTCATTGCTGGCAGCCCAAGCGGGCTGACCAGGTCAGGGCAGAGAGGGACCGGCTTTAGGTTAGCGGCCAGACCCTAGAAACGAGGTTGCGCTGCTAGCATAGGGTCGATGTTCAAATGCTCAAGTTTTCCAAACGCTGGCCTGGCCTGACCCTCCCCCGTGCTCCCCTCTAATATTCGAATGCCTCAACTGGAGACTTTGGCTTGCGTAACCCGTGCACACTTCTGCCAGGGCGGCGTCGCAGAGCGAACTTGAAGCAACCTTGGTGTAAAAGCCCCACCTCCCAAGGCAGGGCAGCAACGTCCGGCCCACCCACAGAGCAAGCAGAGCATCCATCGTCGAGATTCTAATGCAACAGGCACGAGGAGTCGGTTTTGGTTGCTGCAACATTGGGTGCTTTTCTCATCCTGCTTCCATCGACTTGTACTTGTAGTATTCGTGGTATTATCACTAAAGCTACCCTTAGCAACAAGGCCAAATCGGCCGACTCTCACGCAATACATCCAAAGGTCGAGGACCAACGAACAACTCCCGAGGGCCATTTTCATGTGCCCAGCGAATAGATAGAGCTTGGTCGATACCGCGCCAGCTTCCAGCAGTAATTTATCGGCAGCTTAATGCTCTCTTAACCGTATCCTTTTCCTCTCCCTCGTGTGCGGTGCACCATGTGACAACGCCTAATTGCTAAGAGTCCTACGTTGGTAGGCTATTTTACCCTCCGAAAGGGGCTACCTCGTCTCGGCAGGTTGGGATATTAGATTGGATAAATGATGATGATAATATGAGAGATGGGCGACAGCCGGCGGATATGAAGACTTGGGATGAAAGCACCCTGACTTGGCCAGTCATTCCATACTGCAACATGTACGTTATTGCATCTCCGACAAGACAGCCAGCAAGATCAATTGCGGTGCGTGGGAACATGGATGGTAGGCTAATTCCCCGGTCGGTCCCCCAGGGTATAATATCAATGTATCAATCAATTGATCAATTCCCTCTTCCTCTTCCCTCTTCCCTCTTCCCCTTCACCCTTTGTCCTTCCCACGGATCCTTCACCAGCAGCGTTGCAGTCCATGCATGATGGCGCCAGGCCAATGGTAATCCAGCACTATGGTCGACGCTAATATTAGAGATATCTAGTCAACATCCCTGCTGTGCTTCTGTTTTTGGTTTGGTCTCGATCGCTTTTTCTTTCTTTTGTTTTTCTTAAGCCCAGCCTCCCTACAAGTAGAATCCTGTATCTTATTACTCGTGAAAAGGGAGAAAAAGGAAAGGAAAAAGACCATCGTGTTATTCCCCTCGACCTTGTCCCCTTTCCCACTTTGTTTGTCTCTGAGCTCCGATGGAGCCACGGTCTAGTCTAGCCCGTTTTGCACTGACTACCAATTGCCAACTGGCATTTCGGCGATAATTCTATTGAGCACCTTGCGCCTCGAGCTTGATGAGTTGCTACTTCATGTGACCTCAACGTGTCTGCTTCCGGAGCCTCTTTATGTATGTGTAGTACAAGGGGCTCATGGAGCAAGTTCTAAATAAGATGGAAAAAATACATGTAAAAATAAACACGAGACAAAAAGGAAGAGAGATGATTTATCAATCTGACAAAGTACAAATTGCAGGGCCCATGCCACGATCTCATTCCATCTACTGAATACGGGCCACGGGAGAGACTCCCTCAACCTTGAAGAGTAACAGCCATCCATCAGCGCATCCTAAGCTAACATTGGAAAGCTACATCTAGATTGGGATCAATCCGTGGTCTCCAAAAGGTTGACGGAAAAGCAAAAATAGGGGAGACAGAGGCATACCGCTCAGTAAACGCAAAGAGATCAGGGAAGAAGCAAGCAAAAGCGTAGGCTGAAGCTCCAGTCGATGTAATGGATGTTCCGGATTACCCAACAGCCGCCCTTCTTTTCTGCATGACCCTGCTCGCCATCGTCTCCCAGAATAGCACAGCATAGCACACCATACGGTCCAATGCCCACTCGCCACTCGTCTTCGATAGCTCCATGATCGTCAAAATTCGTCAAAGGCACGGTGCGGCGGAGTACGAAGTACAATTTAATGTTATTTAAGCTCTCCCGACAAAGTCTCTCTTCCCCCACGAGAGTCGAAACCAAGCACCAGGCGAGGCTGGATCGGCAGCAAGGGTCTTTTTTCTCGTTCCAAGAGCAAGTGAGGATTAGGGGGCGATTTCTCTGTCCCCTTCTCCTTAGCTTTCATTCAGTACATGCATCCAACTCGCTCCTCCGCTCTTAAAGCACATCCCTATCATAGATCCCCAGAGGAGCTGTGTGCTCTGCTCGTTACATGTAAGCAGCCCACCGGGTCCTTCCGTCCCTCTACATCAAGTGAACGTCACCAATTAGAACCACCTCAACCAACACTGATGCCAAATTGTCTCTCATCCGCGTTTTAAAAGACAACGCAATACATAGGTAGTTGTGTTATGATTCAGTTGCCCGAACCTCGCCAAGCTACTATCCCCGTCCCCTCCCCTTTCTCCATTCCTCATGTCTTCTTTGCGGACAAGTTTCCAGCCTCTGGCCCCTTTCAAATCTAAATTCTACATCTTCGATTCCATACTTTCCCATGTAGCTTTGTGGTTTCAGATGCTCGAGTCGACCTGTCTCACAAGCTCATCCGTGGTCTGTTCGGCTATTAGGTAGGATCAAGGTATGCATATAGTCTAAGGAATGGAACGCCTGGGGCAAAGCCAGGGAATCCAAGGTCCTGACTGGAATGACGGCGAGTCAACCCCCGTCAGTTTGCGTAGACAGCCGTACACGAACCTGAATCGAACCATGGAAGGGTGCCAGATCTATCTATTTCTACAAGACACATAGACATTGGTACAAAATGTGATTTAGTGTAACTCGCAGTCTCTCCTCCTCCCATACCGAGGCACTTGAAACTATCTAAGCCTAGCTTCAACTGTAAGAGACGCTGGAGGAGGGAGAGGAGAGAAAGGAAATGAGATAAAGAGAAGAAAGGAAGACAGAATCTAATCTCCTAGTCTTAATTCTTCGTGACAGAGGCACGGCAATGGTATCCGTCCTGGTCGTTATATTCACGACCATTCAGATAACGAGGTTGATGGTGGATTTGGGTCTAGGAACACGAATCGTCCGCCGCGTCCAGACTAGACGTAGAGAGCAGGATGTAACTGCAAACAAGAAATATCTATTTTTCCATCGCTCTAACCAGCCATATACGTCAAGGAGAGAAGGAATAATAAGGGCGAAGAGAAATAAGGGAACCCCTCTAGTGAGGGGAAAAAAATAGCGGAATCATAAAGTGGCGGAAGGAGAAAACTCAAGGGGAACCTGAATCTCCGCTCCTCCGCGCGCGAAATAGAGCCTCCCGCATTGCCCAGCCATGAGACGGGCCGGGTGGGTAGCAGGAGGTAGATATCATGTGCCCTGTTTGTAAACCGTCGCATCCATTTCCTTCAACTCCAGTACCAATGCTCCAGGCTCCTTCACGATCGAGCCGCAAGGGGTTTAAAGCTATATATATATATTTATAGCGTCAAAGAAGCTAGCTCTCCCTAGAGCCTTCCGTACCATCTCGCGGGCTCCGTGCTGTAAACAGGTATATGGCGAGGAAAAAGAAGGAGCCCATGAATAATAATAATAATGATGAAAGAAAATGACAAGTCGGAACGAAATCCCATCGCTCATGTCGGGAGTGTGAACCCCATCTTTGTCACGTATTCCTTGACAATCGGCATGAGTTGCGCCTCCGCTGTTGTCCACTTCCTCAGCTCTTCCTCCTCTGCTGCGCTCACCCCTTCTTCCTTGATCCAATCGAACACGCTTCGGTCCATCACGCCTACCAACCTATCGAAACAGGAGAGCATCATCAGTTCACCCATCTCCCGGTCTTTCTCTTGCCTTTGCTCCTTGTTCTTTTCCTGCCCCGGGTTGGCCTCACTCCCCGCTGCAGCCGTGGGCGTCTGCGCCGTCCTCTTTGATGCATCTCCCGTAGCTCAGCAAGCAAGGAGACGACGTCGAGATGAATCGGGTGCTTGTAGTCCGACGGCCGCGCCTCGAAGTAGCCTTTGACGATCCCGTCTACCGAAGTTACGAGCCTCCTCTCTAGGGCTTCGCTCAGCGACATGGACTTGGACGGACCGGGAGTATGACGAGGCTTCAGCGCTAGCGCGCGGTTGATGGCAGAGAAGATCCAGCGGCGATCCAGCTCGGCATGTTTGCACAAATCTTGGGCAAACTTCTTGATGTAAGTGATGAGCTGTGGGTGCATGAGAGCGGGGCGCGGCAGGACGCTCGGCCGAACAATTTGTGCCTGGGGTGCGCCAGCGAGGGTTGCTCCGACGCCGTTTGCTTGCTGAGGGACGCCCTGAGCCGGGTTGACGCTTTGTGCATGTGTTCCGTAGATGCCCTGCGGAACAGTCCCTGTGGCCAAGCCTCCTGGCACCGCTGCCGCCGCTCCCTGGAGGCCGTTTGCCTGCGGCCTCTGGCCTGGTGTCGCCGGTGCAACCTGCCCAGGCACAAGGGCGTAGTTTTGCCCTCCGTTTGCTAGCCCGTGGCCTTGCCCGTGTGCCATGGCCGCTGTTTGTACTTGGCCTTGAGGGGCCTGGGCGCCCGCAGTGGCAGCGGCGGACCCGGCCACGCCATGTTGCTGACCAAGCGTTCCTGGAGCTGAATTGGTAGCAGCTCCCTGCTGGAGTAGCGGATCTGCACCCACGGGTAATTGTGCTCCAGGAACGTATAGCTGGGCGTTGGCGTCGCCTTGTTGGGTGCCAAAGGGAGTTTCTGAGATTGCTGGCCGGGCTGAAGGCCAGGCGCCGTAGCTCCTGTTGGTAGATAAGCGGGGTTGGTGCCTGGAGGCAGTTGATGGCCATCGGTTCCGTAACCGGGGTATACGCGATTTCCGTAAGCCGTGGCATACGGCTGCCCGCCTGCGACGGCGGCGGCGGCCGAAGCTGCGGCGGCCGCTGCAGCTGCCGCCCTTTCCACCGCCGCCGCGTCTCCCTTGCGCTTCTTGCCGGCATCGAGCTCGATGCCCGGGACGCGAGTCCATGCTCCTGACTTGGGATCCTTGCGGAAGGCACTATTGCCAATAAGATTGTGCCGTACACTGCTTTCCCAGCCTTTTGTCTCCGTGCAAAAGTGGTAGAATGGGTATTTCGCCGAGATGCGGTTGTAGATTTGCTTGAGAATCAAGCCATCCGGCCCCGCTTCCCTCAGGACCTCGTCGATCAGGATGCCGTAGTTTTTGTTCGGCTTAGCCAACTGTTCTTCGGTGAAATCCTCGCGGCGAAGTTTGAGCGGCGGCGACTTGGGTCTCGCCAACCTTCTCTCCTTCCTCTCTCTTCTCCGCTCCGCCTCCGACCCTTCGTCCTCGCCTTTGGGCTTCCTCGGTTTATACTTTCTCTTCTCCGGCTTGCCATCTGCGCTCTCGGGGACAGGGTGTTTCCTAGGCCGCCCTACCTTTCGTTTGGCGGGGATCTCCCCGGTGGCCGCCTGCTCCTCCAGTTGGCGTAACCTTTCCTTCTCCTGTTCTCTCTTGTTCATTTCTCTCCTCTCGCGCTTCGACATGATGCCATCCTTTGGCGGGCGTCCGGGGCCGCGCCTCTTTGGCGGCTGCTCTAACGCCTGTTCCCCTCTTAATGAGTCGTCCTCATTGCCATCTGAATCACCGTCTAGATCCCCTTCGTCCGATAGGTCTGGTGGGCTGCCGACGAGGTCGGAGAGCTCGTCGCTGTCACTTAGAGCTCTTCCTGGGCTTGGCCAAGCTCGAATTCGACGCTCATTTCCTTTCCACCCTCCGAGTACCTCCGCTTGGGTCCGTCGTCGAGATCTTCAGCGCCGGTGTGTCCGCGCTCAACACCATTTATTATAAAAGTAAAATCCACATCCTTGATTTGCAGTCGCGCTCCGCTCTTCAAGACAACGCTCTCCTGCCGGTAGTGGACTTCGTCACAGAAGAATCCATTTTTATGTAGAGGGATGGCCTCGAACGCGTTCTTTTTCGCGTTGAACTGGATCTTGAGATGTTCTCGAGAAATGGCCTTGGTTTTGCTGGCAATGTCGGGCCCGGGAGAGTGGATACCGATAAAGGGGGTGTGGTGAGGGGAGGGGCGGAGGGATTTGAGGTCGACGGCGGCTGCACCAGGCGTGTGGGATACATATTGCCGGTCCATGATAAGCTGTTGTTCTTCCTGACCTTCGACGTCGTTTTGGGACGAGCCTGTTGAACGCGTCCGTTTCCTCTTCTTTTGCGGCCGTGTCGCCGATTCGCCATCGGATTCGGGGCCGAGCATGCCGCCCTCCTCGCTGACGTAGGATTTACTGAATTTTCGGTTACGTTCTTGCATTATGGGACTGGGCGGTGGTAGGCCCATGGCTAAGCGTTCCTCGGTGACGCGACGATATTCCTCGGCTCGCCGCTCGTCTCGTTTAGCCTGATCCATGGCGCGCTGGTCGCGGCCGATGATGACAGAGTACGTCGTCATTTGAAAGACGCTGTCGGCAAATTCTATGCGCGCAAAGGACTCCAGCCCCTCTTCTGCCGAGACGAGGGGATACAAGGCGCCGGGCATGCCGTCCACGCCCTCGCCCGGAATGGGAAGGGTGACTTGGGAAGGGGTGACGATGGAAGGCGGCGCGATATGGCCCATGGCCATGGGGTGAGGCGAGGACATTTGGGCAAACGCCATCATGTTGAACGAATTGCTCGAGATGACGTTGCGCATGCGGGAGGCCTCGCTGGCCGAGGCAAAGGGGATCGCGTTGGGTTCAACAGTGCTACCGCGGCGGCTAAGGCTTGGTCGCTGGTCGTGCTGGACTGGTGTGATGGGCTCGACGGGGGTGGGGGTAGAGGCAGATGCTGATGCTGGTGCTGGTGCTGGTGCTAGTGCTGGTGCGTCGGCAATTACAGGATCGGCGTCAATGTGGTTTTCCGGTGGTAATACGTCGGGGTTTTGTGAGGCCGTGTCACCGCCGCCGGGGTCGGGGGCAGGCAATGGGGTGCTGGGATCGGGGTTTCTGGGAGAGGATGCGAAGGGATGCCGGGCTCAGAATCATCGCGGCTGGTGGGAAGGCTTGGGGAACTTTGTTCCTGGTCGTCGCCGGGTACTACCAGAGTGGTAGGTGTGATGGTGTGGGATGGGGGTTCGTAGGGTGGAGGTGGTCGGAATTCGTGGAGAAATCGGGGGAATCTCGTCTGGGGCGATGAGGTTGTCGGTTGGAAAATTGATCTGGTTCACGGTCGTCGAGGTGTCGGCGGGATTGGCTGCCGCGCTCGCCTTGGTGGTTGGTGCTGACAACTCGGCCAGCGCTGCCAAGTCAAGGTTCAGGCCATGTTGGTCCGCCTGAGGGTCGGCGGCGGACGAAGTCATCGCTGTTTGGCCCCGTGAATTTCGATGGTAGACAGCTCCTTCGCCTCGCGTGGTGGCAGGTGCGACAGGCGGTCGAGGGAGGGCGGGTTTGCTAGTACGAGCGGCGGGCGAAAACTGAGTCAATCGACGCCGGATTTCGTCGGGACCTTGGGTCCTTGTGGCGGTTTGGAGAGGGTCGTCTCAACTTCAATTGCGGCAGCAGGAACCCCAAGGGAAGGCATAATTTTTGCCTCGTATTCCAAGTCGCTGCTTCTCGTCGAATCGCCGCCTCCGAGAATGGGGAAAATTTTGGGGAGGGGGTCTCTTTCAACCTGCCTTCCCGCGTCCCGCATCGACGAACCTTTTTTTTTTTTTTTCCTCTTCTTCCTTTGCGACGGGCAGAATTGTTGGCGAAAGCCCCTTTCTCACACGTTGATTGGGTACAGCACCTCGGTGGGCCGTTAGCGTGAACACCGGCTGGGGAGAGAGATCAATTGATCCTTCGAAGAGTCTCGCTCTGCTATATTATGCAAGCCTCCAAATGCTATTGCTTTCTTCGAACGATGGGCCTTGCCTAAGGTTTCTCCTCATTTGGACCTCACTCAAAGTCTGTCGAGCTTTGCCGATGGTCAGAGAATTGCGCATGCAATCTGACATAATCTAGCCTCCCTTGCCTCTTGCCTCCCTTACCTCTCTTGTTATCTTATCGGACCTTGCTCTCCTCTCCGCCTAACTCCACTTCTGCTGACCGCCTTTATCATGTCAACATGGGGCTCGCGCGCATCATGGCCGAGGCAACATTGAACGGGAAACATTTCTCATCTTTCTGCCTCACTAGGTTCGGTTGTGTGCCTCCCACCGACCACACAAAGTCAGGACGGATACGAGGTGGCAGCCGTGCGGAGGTTGTGCTTTGCGAAAGGACAAGCTGAGACCTGTCACACCTCTTGTTATTCCCGTTTTGTGTTCTGGGCCTCGTTTACCCCGAAGCCTACATGTAATGTTGAGAGCGCAGGTTGGGTTTGTTGAAGCCAATGGCAACATGGCCCTGCCAAATGGGGCTCACGCGTCCAAACCACGAAAATGAGTTTGCTGTGTAGGTGAGCTTGTTCAATTCAGAGCGCCGGGGTGCTTGAAGATAAACGACCGTCGTCCGTCTGATACCCTTTGCCCAAGAGATTCTATAGGCATTTCGCCCCTTGTAAAACGACGAGCGGGCGGGACACCGTCATTGTTCCTGTGCAGTGGGAGCATCCAAACTTGCGACTTACACGGCGTCATTGGCCTTGACGCAAGTCGCCGACGTGGTGCCAGGCTATAGGTTCCTTGAGGTCAGCCCATCACTTAGTGGAACTAAGATATAGATGTTATACAGCCCCTTTAGTACAAACATATCGCTTGACGCTTCAGTTATGTGGAGGGAAGGGGTGATGTTCGCGACGGATTCTGTGCTGGCCGGCTCGGGGACGGACCGAAAACGAGGCCCCTCAACCTCCCTACTCAGCCAGTGTCAACCTCGCTTCATGTAGCATTTGTGGACTATGCTAGGGTGCATGGAGAGAAAGGGCAGCCCGTTTAGCCCTTTTCCACGGAAGAGTGCTCAACCATGTAGCGAGCACAGGGCCAAGGTAAATCCTCGATTCCGAGCCTGGGATATTATATATTCTGACAAGCCCTCTACAAATGCAGGGCCATGATGGATTTTCTAGGTTCTCTATCGCTATCCATCTCATTGTGCACAAGAGGAAAAGAAAATGCCATTTGTCCCAGCACCTCTCCTCCATGACCGCCTGTCACGAGCCTTCACCTGGCTCCTGCTTATCGGGCTTACTTTCCTCGCAACGGCGCATTACCACCCCAAACTGAGCCCTCCAACGGATGGCTTGGCCAGCCCTGGCAAGAGCAGGATTCGGTTCGAAGTCCCATACGAGCCAATCGACAAGGCCTCGACATTCGCAATCACGGTGCTACCCCCGCTATGCTGCTTTCTGGCGACAGTGGGTATCGGATATGTCGCCTTTCTTCGTCGCGGCGATTACCTCTGGCTGACCAACGTGTTGTTCTTGCCAGGCCTCGGGGCCTCGCTAGTGGGGCTAACGCTAGCATTCTTCCTAGTATACAAAGATGGCCTCACAGCATGGCCACTGATGGAGGCTGTGACTGCTATCATATCAGGCGGTTACTTTGTCATCTTTTTGACGGGTGCGCTGGTCGCGAGGCGTAAGCATGCCCACGAGATGGGAAGAAGCAGAGGTGGCCTCGAGACAGGGACGGAAGCACCCCAGATCCCAGAGGTGGAAAGAGTCACATCACTGAAGGAGGAGCTGCTGTCTTGATTACGATGAATGAATGAATGAATGAATGAAATATCAGGGCTGGTTACCGAGCAGACTCTAGTTGCGTAGCCCGAAGAAGAGGCCATATGTTGGGAAGAAGTAGGTCTATGATTTCAAGTTAGTAACGGGGTGGTGGCATCCGACAGCCGAGATTCAACCCGCCCGGGGCCTGCGAATCTGTCGGCAACACGGTACGACCAGCTGCAAAGCATTCCCGCCACAAAACCCACGGCGTCGTTTTTGAAGGCGAGAATTCCGATAGTTGTTGTCAACATCACGACCCGCCTCTCGTCCATCTCCCGAGCCGCCGACTTGCCCGGCCGACGGATACTAGTGACACGGTTCACTACTGAGTTGGGGCTCGCGGCGGCTCTAGGCGCATTGTCGCCCCATTCCATCAACTCTCGGCCAAGTGTTGCGCCGGCCTTGGCCAATTCAAGGCCTGCAGCTAATACCAGCACCCCGAGCAGGCCCTTTGGGAAGCGGGCGAGCAAGTCGACTAGGAAACCCCAGGAAGAGCCCAAGGCAAACCTTGAAAAGCCCGAGGATGACGATGCTAGCGCCACTACGGGCGCCAAAGCGATACTGCGCGGCAAGCCCCCGGAGCCATGGCATAAAGGCATCGCTCCGAACCAGGTCCCTGTGAGATTCATGGCCGCCACACTCAACCCTAGAGAGGTCACGGTAGGGTAAGGTACGTAGGGGAGCAGATCAGCAGAAAGCGCACTGACGGCGAAAATTGAATTGAGGGTAGTGAGGGGGATTTGTCCGATGGCCATATATAGCGACGATTCTCGGAAACGCATAAAGGCTGCCGGGGATAGGACCTGTGGATGCCAGAAACTGAGCCGAGGGAGATGACTCACTTCTCCCGAAACAAACAAGAGGACGAGAGAGATCAGGAGTCCAACTGAGAAGACGGATAGGGCGTACGGAAACCGGGTTAAACTCTGTGTACCTAGTAGAAGGAGGAAGGCAGCCACTGCCCAGAGCCGGTTATCAAAGACTGGGCTTGTCCAGCCAAGCTGGGCCAGCAGGCTAGATCCCGCACTGATAGCGAGAGAGAGTCCAGCTCCATGCTGGATTCCTCTGATCACGGCGAGCGGTACTAAACGGGCTCCACGATGTAATAAGCCTGTAATGCTCAAGAAGAGGACGGCAAGTCCAACACCGATGCCGGCCCCGGCAACGGAAGCTGGGTGTGGGTCCCCACGACCGGAAAGTGCGGCGGAGGCTATGGCCTGTTATCGCAACGACAGTTAAACAGTGGGCACAACGTTTGGGGTTTGGTAATATCATGAAGCAGGAGACGATATGGGACACATGCAGTTTGGGTTTGAGAGGCACAGAAACTTTTGTTTGAGAGATCGATAAGAAGAAAAAGATTCCTGAGGAGAACACCGAATGTACGGGCTTGACAGGGCAAAAAAAACATTGGGATCGCGAGCACAATCAACGGCAGAGACACCGGAGAGGATAGGGCTGGACATGCAAGAGGAAAGGAAGCAGACTGGAAAAGGGAAGGCCTTGTGTATCAAAACTATGATTTACCTTCATCGGTTGGACCGGAAGCGGCACCCCAAATGCGATACCCGTGAGTATATTAAACAGGCCTGAGAAGACTAGGGTCGAGTCCAAGTTAATAGAGACTTGGGCGGCTAGGGCAACCATGATAGGGAGGAGAGTGCCCAAGTCCCCGAATGCGCCCGAGACTTCGGCCAAGGGCGAGGCCTTCAATGTCTCGAGATTGTGGCGACCTGCCTGTTCGATCCGCCGGCGGAAGGACGACATGTTGGACTGAGAGCCGAGAGCAGACTGAGTGGTATCAAAACCAACTCCCGCTCGGAGGGGAGGAAAAGTTTTTCCCTTGGCCGTTTCTTCACCTTATTTTCCTTTTTTTCTCCCCTCTATTTCGGCCCTTTGTCTTAAGTTCTCCGAACCCCCTGCTCTCTTGTTTTCTTGTTTCTGCTTGGGAGTGACGGATGGTGCGGGTTTGACGTTTCGTTTCAAGGCGCCAACGTTTTGGGCAATGTGTGTGGGAGGGAAGGAAAGTGGGGATTAATTGATGGAGTGTGGATGACTACGCTATGGAAATCCCTTTCTGAAATGAAGGCAGCGCCCAACTTGTGAGCTAGGCGAGCAGCCAGGAACCCAGGTGTTAGTTATCTCTTTTGGAGGCGAGCCACCAGTGATAAGACCCTTCCGAGACACCGAGTTACGCCGATTGACGGAGATAGATCGCGACCCGCCTCTTCCTCCAGTGGGCCTCGGATGATTGTAGAAAATGACGATGAAGAACTTTGAATGAAGGCTGCGATTATCAAGAGGAAGAAGACGCAAGTTTCCATCTGTCAGGCGTGATAGTGTTAGGTTTTTAATCAATGTCCTATCCTCTGCAGCTTCGCGATGGCTGTTTCTTGTCCGGAAACAACCTCAGATCCAGTTCGCAGTGACACTGCTAGTCTCAACTGACACAAAAGCCAAGACGCGTCCCAGAGAGCGATCAACAACAAAAGCCGCAAGGTAGCTGCGGGAATTACTGTGAAAGAGTGGGGGATACTGGGGTACGGCCATTCTTGAGAGTCGCATTCCCAAGGATCCATAGATGATTGCTCGGGAAGTTAGAGGGTCACCTCTACCTTTTGATGCCCACTAGCCCTGAATAAGAAGGGGACCCAGACTTGCCAGACTTCGACAAAGAGATCCCAATTCAAATGGGTTCGAAGCGCATCCACAAGGAGCGGCTCTGTCCTCCAGGCGTTAGCGCATGGGTCGACCGAAAGTACAAAAACCCGATCAGGACCTCAAGCCGCCTCGCCCTCGCGCGTAGCTACCCTTCAATGTTCCTTTTCTCGTACTTGTGGTCAGCGTGTGGGAAAGGCTTTATCGAGTTCTTCCATGCGGACTTGCCCCGGCATTTTTGCCGCTGACGGAAGGGAGGAACCATTAGCCCTCGGTTCGAGAGGCCGGGAAGGGGTGGGAAGCTTCGGAAAGGGCTTGCAAACGCCTTGCGAATACCGCCACCTCTCGATTTCTGAAAGCCTCGAGACGCCCTGTGGCAGGAAACTCGGACAATTGATGGGTCGGCCGTCGTAGATTTTCGCCATCTATTGATGCAGAGGCTTCGGTGACAGCGCTAGGCCCTGTACGGGGTGCCGGGGACTGCCCGAGAGTTTTTAGCCCGTGTTAGATCGTTGGTGGCGGCTGCCAATGGGAGAGCTTGTTTTTGAAAAGGAAAAAGAAAAAAAAAAAAAAAAAAAAGTTGCATTCGAATGTCGTCCATCCTGAATAGGCGGTTCTGGGCTCGGCCTTGATTCCCACGGCGAATTGACGGTGAGTGCGTTCTCCAGTATTGTTATTATGTACGGCACAGGGCTTGTTGTGGGTTGTCGAGCACAGTATTAATCGAAGACCAACTTACGGTATACCCAGAGACTGTGTTAACTCTCGGGTAGAAACACTGGGTCGAAGAATAAATCGCGCAAAGGAAAGAGGGAAAAAGGTGAAGGGGAACATGGCCTGGGATCCACGTTTTCTCGAGAAGCATCGTTAGCCTGTTCCATGAGGCTCTAACCTTCGTTTCAACCGAGACAACATAGATATCAAAAGAGTTGGTGGCAAGCTTGCTCGAGAGGATTCCGTAACTTTTGCCCGCCCTTCAGCCATCGTCAACACTTGGTGGTCGAGGTGTCACAATGAACAATCCCGCGGCGGCACTTGGGCGTGGGATGTGGAAGGCCCGGCGCAAAGAAGGATCGCCTGTGGTCAGACCCACAAATCGTGACCATGGCGGGCCATTCTCTTAGCGCAAAAACCTGGATTCTGCTCCGTTCCTGCCGTGGGCTCTCCGGAGCTTGCCCCCACTGTATTCCGCTCTTGTGTCCACACTGTTATGCGACATCATTAGCACAGAGCTCTTTCCACATCATCAGGTCCAATCTGCGTGTGCGGGTGGCATGGCTGGACTCGGCATTGTATACTTTTTCCTCGAGCTAACATCGAGTGCACAGTAGCTTGCCCTCGACCCGGTACCTATACATGATGATCCCACCACCCTCGGCGGCAACAAGCGCAAGCGTAATAGTATAATGACCAAAAGAGAACTTTTTGCGCAAAAGCGGAGGACGAGAGAGGGCAAAAAAAGAAGAAGAAAAAAAGAGAGAAAAAAACTGGAACTAGCCCAACCCGGCCGGCGAGCGGCGATAATCGATGATGAGCAACATTTCGTCTGCCCAAGGACAGGGTAGAAAAAGCTTTGATCACCTGGCTCCCCCTGCCTCGCCCTTGTGCCGTCTTCCGGACGAGCACGAACTTCTTGAGCCCAGGTCACGGAGGATCCTCGCTACCGACTGCTGCCGACGAGTACCGTTGTACCAGCGTGCTCGACCTCTATTTTGTTTTTATCTTCCCACCCGTTTCGAACTTTCTCCTCCTCTCTCTTCCTCTCTTGTTTTTTTTCCCTTTCCTCCCCGGTGATTGCCAGCATCAAGAAACCCGTCGTTGTCTCAGTCTCCGCTCTCAATTGGTTTTCCTCATCCATTGTATCGCGAGTTTTGATCATCTTGCTGTAAGTGACCCAAGCCTCCCTCTCCAATACCCTGGTGCCGTCATCACCCCTCCTTTGCCCAGCCTCCCGGATTGCCAAGACCTCACCGTGGATGCAACTCTCCTCTGGATTGCGACTGCCGGCGATCGAAATCGATCTCTCAAGGCCATTGCTTTGGCGATTAGACCAATGCGAGCAAAACGCGCGTGCCGCCTTCGGGTTTGCCCATCGCCTCGCTGTCACTGGCCGTCATGCCGCCGTCAAAGTTGTCTTGTCGGATCATGGTTGGAAATAGCTGGCGAGCACGCTTGTTGGTGCTATCTGGTCTTTCTCTCGGAGGCCTAGACACTTTGCGCGAGGATGCATATGCATTGCCTTTATGAGTTATCGACTGCTAGCATTTTGCCATCGCCCGTCCATCGCAATTGGGTTTATTCCTAATACTCGCGAGTCTTGATTCTTGGTCAACACACTCGAGGTCTTATGCCCGATCGTGTCTCTCAATGCCCGTGAGCATCTCGCCTGGAACGAACTTGTGGCAACATAATCACGTTCGGCCCTGCGTGTCTAAGACAATTGAGCAATCGCAAACTTGATCTTGGGGCTACTCGTTCCCCTACACCTACACTTCGCTTTCACATCACCTGTTGCTTTTGGGTGGGGGAGAGGGAGGAGAATTTTCGCGCCCATGTACGACGAACTAACTTTTTCCCTTGTCAACAACAGTTGCAGCGTTAAACCTTGCTCATCAACCCGCCCGTTGTTCAAATTCACTCCGTCGAAATGGCTGCCATCAACTCCGTCGTCGCCCGCGAGGCCCTTGTTCAGCTCGCGAAGCGCAAGAACTTTGCTTCGAAGAACCCTGGTGTCATGTACGTATTGCTCCTTGATCAGAGACTCAATGTCGCTCAACATCAGCGAGCCCAGCCCGTTGCTAACGTTATTCCATCAATAGCCTCGTCTTCTGCATTGTCTTCATGTAAGCTTTTTCTCTATGACAACCCCTCAGGCTGCCGTGCATGTTTTGTTATCTAACCATTTCGCAGTGTTGCTGTTGGCCTGCTCGCTCTCTGGCTCCACAAGTTCCTCGCCAGGAGGAGGGCCGCCCGTGCCGCCCACGTCGTATAAGGGGTGTAGGCGCGCGTGCTGAGACGACGGATGATGGCTTGCATGGGTTTTATGGGATGGTAAATCGGGGTTGGGGATCGGGCGCGTTACGGGAAAATTAAACGACCCGGTGGTAATGGTGTTGGCCGTGCTGTACATAGAAACAGCGTGATGTGGGGACCTGGATCCTGTCCCCGAAGAGGTGTTGAAGGGGGCTCCTGGTTTGCTGGCATAGGGACAGGAATCAGAATTGTGCCCTCGCGCACGAAGCCCCTGAGGATCTCGCGCGGCTTCATACGGTCTGTAATCGTATTGACGGCTTTGTCAGATACCAATTGATGCAATGACAATACCACATCTTTACTAGTTAACTTCTTACATCTGTTTAGTTTGGCACATCCGCAAGCTCGTGACCTCTAGTTTAGTCAAAGGGCACGAGCAATGCCGGCTCGGGCTCGTGTTAGTGTGCGTGTTTTCGCATAATGCCTTGGCTGGTGGCCATCTCTATGCCATCGCAACACAAGCGGTGACAACTGAAGGAATCCTTGACTCCGCGAGCTTTCAGATCCGACCCGTATGCTAGTTCAGCTTCGAGAGCGGCTGCATGGCGGCCCCGCGCTGAACGGAGACGATAGGCGCAAGCTTCCGACGCTGCACTGCGGGTGCTAGATCGGATGCTTCGCCACATCCCCGCATGCTTGCTTGCTGGTGCGTTCTGGGGCTCAAGGCTGAAGAGTAGTGGGCTCATCTCTTCTATGTGCCTGCTCCGTGCAGGCAGCTGGGGTCTCCGTGCAATTTTCTAAAGACCCCGGCCGTAGAGACGCGCCTCGCCAAAGGAGTCGAGATGCTGGGGCTGGAAATAAAAGATGAAGCCCCCGCATCACGATTTTTTTCTTTTTCCATTTTGACTAACACAGCACGGCGGGACTACTTGAGCTTCTTTGAATGAAATCTACTAATATCAGTGCCTCTTGGTGATATACCAACGCACGAATTCCGATGGGGGCACAACGCCTCGATTTCACCCTCTAGCCTGGGCTGAAGACTAACAAAGAATAAAATGAGGCGTGCGCAAAGATGAGGGAACTGAGTATCCCCGAGACCACTTCCCACCAGGCATGGCGGTTTTCGTCTTTCTGGAGCCTTCCTCGGGCCTTTTGCAGGTGAATTTGACTGAAGTGGGAAAGAAAAAAAGAAAAGGAAGGGGCCCCGGCTGGAGCGGCCCCGGGGCTTCCGTAGACCTCACTTTAGAAGTGGAGCGTGCTCATCCTCTTCGTTTGCGTGAGGTATTAACGGGCTCAACACTAGCCTAGCCTCGAGACGCGCCAAAGACCGAGTGGAGACTTGGGCCGTGGGAACCGAGGATTGGTGAGTTGAAGGGTCTATTGTGGATGAGGGGAAGAAAACAGCGTAAAATGGTATCTCAGATAAGGGAATTGGAGTGCGGAAGTGCGAATACCTGGAGTTTATGGTACTGGGAGGAGCATGGAGGCGGGGGAATATTGACAAAAGGCGCTACGTTCATGAGAGGAATTAAGCCCGACTCACCTCAACACCGAGCAATACGGTCGGTTAGCTCAGTTGGTTAGAGCGTGGTACTAATAAACTATCCGGTTTATCAAGTAAATGCCAAGGTCATGAGTTCGACCCTCATACTGACCAGATCATATCTTTTTGCCTTCTTCCCTGCTCGATTGCTTTCCTTTTTTGGCCCCATGGCCTGGCGCGGTGATGGCCGAGCCTCTTGATCAATTGTGCGATAGGCATGCCAAGGCCGAGTAATATTTTTATGTTTTTCCTCGCAACAGCAGGAGGGGGCATCTCGAATCCCGGCACTCTCTTGCTTCCTCGCCCCTACAATTATTGCCGGCGCTGTACTGCTAGCGATTTGGGACGCGGCAAGCGCTTGAGGACTGGTAGTTCCCCGGACACCATACTGCATGCCAAGCCCTGCTCCCGATTCCCGTCAAGTTGGGTTTGATGAGCTTATTGTCTTTCTTCGATGTGGCGCCTCCCCCCACCCCCAGTCGACCGCGCTACGACGCTCTTGACTTGTTCGTCGCCTTGTTGTTCGTCACTAGGGCATAGGCACTTTTGAGTTATGTCATGCTGGAGCACTGATCAGAGGCTTTGCCACTGAGTACGAGGGCTCCGTTTATGGTTGAATCATCGACACGTCGACAGCTACTAGCGAACACCATAGGCTTGATCGATCATGGCGAAAGGGGAAGAGACAAGCTAGGACCCTAGGGCCCCATCGGAGGAATGAACCTGGATTTCTCCCGTTCCGCGTCTTGCCGCAAGGTGAGACGAAGAAAATGCTGGCTCTGCCGCCAAAGCGGAAGGAGGGACGGAAACAAGGGCCAAGTGTCAGAAGGGCGTTCCGGATCGAGATGGCTCGTCCCGTGAGCAAAGTGGTTGTGGGCTTGTGCTACTCTAGTCTCAAGAGGCTAATACTACAGCCGAATATGCCTTTTTGATCTGGTAAAATAGGCACGCGTCAAACTGACGGGTTTGAAGGAAACGTTTGGAGTTGTATGGGAGCCTATGAAGGATCTGCGCCATTCGAGTGATCGGCAAGCTACGATTGAGGCAAAGAAGAGGAGCGAACGAGAGAACGAATCCTCTGTGGGGAGGACCCTCCGGTCTCCTATCCTTCTAGTTTGGTACTCAAGTTTCGTGGGTATGAATACACAGTTGCAAGATCTTCTCCTGGTCCATTTTTTCTCTCTCCCTAAATGGGCTCTCAAGGACAATTTGCTACGTTGAATGGTATGGGGACGTCGAGTGGAGAACTGTTACGTGTGCAGTGACGAGTGGTGCTACTGATTTGCTACTTGTCTGATAGTCTGTCAAAGGTTCAGTGCTGTGACTTTCTCTAACGGCTTGCTCTGGCTGGCATCGAGTGGGGAAATGATGTGCATGTGCGGGACGGGTGGTTTGCCGTTCAAGGGACAGTCGTGCCTGTTGGCCGGCCGGTTTGATTTTAGAGCTGCGAGTAATTCCATTCCCAACAGCCAAGTGGTTTTCAGACATAATAGCGCTCAGTCCTTGTTGGGGGCAAGGAAATGGCTGGCGTATCAAGCGCATGCATGCGTGAGGGAGCTACACATGCTCGCTCGGAACCATGGAATCGATATCGGGTTCATGGCAGTGATAGTACCCGATTCATTTCTTGGCTGGCCCCCATCTTCTAGCCACTAGATTTGATGGATGTCCTCAGACGGGACCTTCCTTTATTTAGCACCTCGGGCTGTTGGTAGCTGAATGGGATGGGAAGGCTCAAAGGATGCGCAGCCGTGAGGGCACTGCCAGGCGCGAGAGATTGATGGGAAATTAGGAAGGGGCGAAGCGAGCTCGACGGGAGAAGGCCATAAACCGGATCTTCTACGCCGAGGCCCCCGCCTCTTCCCCAGCGCCAGCAAAAACTACCTAAAAGCCACATTAGATAGTGGGACAAGGGCGCACGAGGAGATGCCCATGGGACTAGTTTAGTCCAGGGCCAAGCTGTCTTCACAAATTGTTTGACATGAGTCGGGGCTTTTGAAAAGGAAAAAAAAAAAAACGAGGACAAGGAGAGATCCATTGGATCTGCCTATACGCGCGGAATGGGTTGAAAGGAGCATCGGCCCTTTTTGCCATCCAGTGGCCTCACCGATGTTATTCATCGACGAGCCCACTCCCTTCGCCGCATCCTTCTCCTGCCGTGCCCCCAGTTCCCCTTCCTTTTCATTGCCGCATCAGAAATACATGGCGCAAAAGGAGCGGCGGATCGAGGAACAAAGTTCGGACTAGTGTGGACTGGTGCGCCGGCCGCCAGCTCATCCTCGATTGCCAGGGAGAGACGTAATAGTGGGTTCAGGAAACCGGCGGTGGACTTTTACTATTTTAATATGACCACCTTCAAGACGATCCGGAGACAGGCACTACCCCGCCCTTCTGCGGGCTAGCGCACGGAGCACAGGTACGCTGGCCCAGGGGCCGATGGAAATATTCATGGTTGCAATGGTATCTGGCGGTTGTGTCAAGGAAGGCGAAATGATCTCCAGGCTCGTTGAGGGTCCCAAGGGTCCAGTCGAAACCAGCCGAACATAGGAATCTATTCAATTCTCTCTCTCATATCCTATACTCGTGCAAGAAGTGACAAGGTCGGGACTGCTTGGTTCAATTGACGGATAAGGTAATAGGTGTCCTGGAGCCTCGAAGCCGTTGATCAAATGTGAGGGGATAGATTGGGGGATTCCTCCCGCATCCATCACATCCACAATAGAATGATACCACCACTCCGGAGTGTAGCTCTCCCCAGCTTTTTTCTCAAAAGACCTAGATCGATGTTGCACATGAACTCGTGTACAAAGGAAGGAACGGCTCAGCCATGTACTTTCGGGGACGGAGTTCCAGAGTTCCATCGGGGTCTGACATGTTTTGGTTAAGCTGCTTTTTCCGCCATTCCCCCTCCTTCAAGATCGGGCCCTCGCTGGCGGCGTTGTACTAGAATGAGCGTTCAGATGAAATGTACGTCTGGAGCCCGAGCCCGGGGACCAGCGGAGTAGTTGTTTCAACATGGCGGCAATGTAATGCCTCGGGGCCTCGCATCGCTCTTTATTATCAGCATAGGTCCCAGGCGACCCAAGTCCTCGTGATTCCCTCTTCCCCGTTCAAGTTTGTCGGATGTCGCTCCATCGTTTCTCTCTTTCATCAGTAGACCGACATCCGCATATTTCATGTGAACAACTTGTCGCCTCGAACACGCTCCCCTCCCTTCGTCCTGTGCAACAGCCCCTTGGTAACTCGCCAAGCCTGATTGGCCTGCATCGGTGGAACAAGCGGCGACAACCTCGAGGAAGGCCGCTCAACCTCAGCCTCAGGAAACACGGAGATCGATCTCTCTCGTACCTCAGACATCATCATACCTGAGCGATCTGGTAGGAAGCAGGAAAAGAGGAGAGAGACAGAGAGGAGAGAGAGAGTGAGAGAAAGAGGAAGGTCCTTGAATTAAGCCTCACAGTCTGTGCTCCGCTGCGTTTGCATTGATCCTCTTCTGGCGCGAGCGGACAAGCCTAGACCGCGACACAGACGCAACCTCACCGGTGGGCTGGTTGCAAGCGTGGCGAATGTCCATCAGCTGGGTGAGCTATTTGACAATTCTGAGAGGCTGTGAGAAACAAACTGTCTCAGTTCGCCGTCTTCTCCTCCAGCACTCGCCCTGCTCGCCCTACTCGTCAAGGAGACCTCGGTTTTGCCCTCTCTCCCAACGAGGCATTCACTGCGACAGCTGAACACTCCATCCCTACCTTGCCCGCTTTTTTATGTTGAGCTGTGAAGTGCTCTCCGAAAAAGAACGAAACCCTAACATCCATTGATCTCTTGCTCAAGTACCAGCAACACACCCTGCAGCGTCGGTTGACGCTTGGCGCATAACCAACGGCACTAACGGCATCCGGGCTGGGGCCAACCCCACGACAGCGCAGTCCCCATAAGTTCTCCTCACCAAGCTAAGGGGCAAACGAGGGGCTTATTACGCATACCTGTGGACACCAAAAGCCTCCAAAGTAGGCCCGCCTCTCCATCTCAAGGAGTGCCAATCTAACCAACGAGGCACCTACCTCGCTTGACCTCGAGAGCCTCGAGCTACGACAGGGGCGCTGGTTGCCTTGCGGAGTGGGAACATCAGGCAAAGGTCTCCCGTACAGTGGGCTATAATAGCACGCCGACCTCCAGATCCTGGAAACAGTTGAATCAATCGCGCATTGGCAGGTGGCGGAGATTACCTGCCTTTCTTGAACCACCCTCTTCCAGATTGAGAGGGAGCTCAGGAGACCACCCGGAAATTTTGATGAGAAACCGCCAGCTCCATTACTTGTTGTTCCACCACCCAATCGCCCTCCTGTCTGTCGCCTGGCTGGCAGCTGAGACTGGTCAATCCCAACATTGATCTGTTTTGGAAATCTTCAAGGGGTTGAAATTCACGCCGCCTTGTTAAACTCAAAAACCTTGTTCCTCCCCATCCCCCGGTTCCTGCCCCTTTCTCAGGGACCAGACTGAGATTCATTTAGATTCGGATTGGGTTGCGAAAGGCGACTGGAGTTGCGCTTCACACCAGGCCCTGTTCCCTTCGCACTCCCAAGCTATTCTTTCGCTCCTCGCTCCCCCCACCCAACACCAACCTGTTTGAGCTGTCCTCGGCTCGTTTTCTGGCAAGAAAGAAACCAGGAAATAACCTCCCCGCTATCTTGGACGTGTTCCACAGTTGGGAAAACGTATTCCTGGATCATCTTGCCCCCTAGGCCCAGCATTGCGTTAACAGCTAATCATTTGGTCTGTGTTCGCAATAAAATACGTCACCTCCAGTCATACAGCCCCGCCCGCGACTCTTGGGGCCTGGCTGTGCAGAACCCGTCGATTGCTGTGCCTTGTCCTACCTACTTTCGACCCTCGATCTACCCAATCCGTCATCACTTCAACCCTCCTTCTCCCGTTCCGATCCCCGCCCAGAGGCCCGCTCGCCTCGAAGGGGGCTCGTCCTGATATAAACTTGGCACCTGCTCCCTCCCCTCCCGCCTTCCACCATGGTGCGAATAATTCCGTCTCGCCTCAAGTCGTCCAGCTCGACCAACAGCTCTACGACGAATAACGGCCGAAGTAACAGCCCCCAAAGAACAAAGACAAGGTCACCATGACCTCCACTCGGGACAATGGATTGACCCTTCAGGTCTCTATCCTAAAGGTGTGTGTCTCTTGGGCGGTTTTGGGAAAATAATCTTTTGGCCCTCTCCCACCCAAATTGCAAGCGTGTTTCACAGCCCCCAATCTCGTCCATAACCCGCACCCATAGTTTTCTCTCCCTTCCCAAGTGATGCTTGGCTAGCGAACGCAGTCTTGCTGCGAGCAGAAAATGGCTAATATGGGGTTTTATTCTTAGGGCCGTAATCTTGCCCCGAAAGACCGATCCGGGACTTCTGATCCGGTATGTACAACTTCGCGATCACGGCTAGCTGCTTCCCGAATCAATTGCCCCTGAAGAATGGTAGCTAGACAGGCCGGAGGCTGGGTTCCGACTTTGTCATTGAATTTCAGGACGCTCTGCTAGCTACCGGCGTTCCAAATGATTGCATGTCGTACTTGGATGACATGGGTTATGCTAACGTCGCGAATCGCCTTGTTTAGTATCTTGTTCTTATTCTTGGTGATGCAAAAGTCATTACACACTCGATTCCCAAAACCCTGAACCCGGAATGGAACGTGGTCGAAAACGTACCAGTCAACTCGGTCCAGAGCCTACTTCTCGATGTCATATGTTGGGACAAAGATCGCTTTGGAAAGGACTACATGGGCGAATTTGATCTGGCTCTCGAAGATATATTTTCCAACGGCGACCTTGCGCAACAACCAAAGTGGTATCCCCTACGAAGCAAGAGGCGGGGCAAAAAGAGCAGCGTGGTTTCCGGCGAGGTTCAACTCCAGTTTGCGCTTCACGATACTTCCAACCCATCCGCCACGCCCCAACAGGTTTTTGAAAAGTTTAATGCTCTTGTCAAAGCTGTTGCGGAAAGCAGCTCTCGAAACCCCTCGCCTCTGGCCACTCCAAGCCAGGGCGTGAGCAGGAGCCCCAAACTAGGCCCCACCTCCGGAAACTCTCTTGCTCCCGCTCCCACGGCCGTTCCCGGAGAAGGTCTTGATACCACCTTGTCCGAAATCGAAGATGACGATGACGACGATGACGACGACGAAGATGATCTCGATGCGAGCGACGAGACTCCCGAAGAAGAAGATGTTAGCAAGCCTGAGGCTATTGAGCGCAGAAAGCGTCGCCTCCGGATCAAGCGACTCAGGAGGAAGAGGAAGGAAAACGCATATGAATTTAGCGGCGAATCCGACGTCTTAGGCATCATCTTCCTAGAAATCTGCAATATTACGGACTTGCCCCCGGAATCGAACCTCACCCGGACCAGCTTTGATATGGATCCCTTTGTCGTCGCCTCACTGGGCAAGAAGACATATCGGACAAGGCATGTGCGGCACAATTTGAATCCCGTTTTTAACGAGAGGATGATCTTCCAAGTCTTGTCGCACGAGAAACTTTACTCCTTCTCCTTCACTGTCATTGACCGCGACAAGTATTCTGGCAACGACTTCATCGCTTCGTGCAATCTCCCAGTCAAAGAACTGATCGAGAAGGCACCCAAGGCCAATTCGGAGACCGGACTCTACGATCTGCGTGACCCGCCCGAGTATGAACAGCCTAAGAGGCCGCGTTTTAGGAAGCTCGGGCTGTCTCGCTCTTCGTCCGCGCAAAGCTTGAGCAAGCTGATCAAGCAATCGTCATCCAAGACTGCGTCTGACCCCTCCTCGGCGACTCCCTCCACGGTATCGGGGTCTACCGCTCAAGCCCAGCCTGTCGTCACCCTCTGGCGACGCTCTCCTTGCCGTCCCCACGCCTCTCGGCGAGGGGACGGAAACACCCCTGTCGAAAGCGAGAGCCAGGACTTTCTTGAATTCTCGTTACCGCTGAAGATGAAGAACCTTGAGAAATGGGAGGACAAGCACAATCCGACCCTGTTCCTTCGCGCCAAGTACATGCCGTACTCTGCTCTTCGACAACAGTTTTGGAGGGCCATGATCAAGCAGTATGATGCGGACGAGAGTGGCCGTATCAGCAAGGTCGAGCTAACTACTATGCTTGACACGCTTGGGTCAACGCTCCGCGAATCCACCATTGATAGCTTCTTCCAGCGTTTCCCTCACAGGATCAATGGTGGCGAGGAACAGGATCTAACGGTCGATGAGGTTGTTATATGTCTTGAGGAGCAACTTCTTGCTAAGAGCAAGAGGCAGCCGACATTGAGCGATCGTGTGCAAGGTCTGCTCCACCCGACCGACAGTGACACGGCTACGCCCTATACGGAATCTTTAGCTAGCACTCCCGGTATAGTTGAGCCGCTCCAGCCACCGCTCCAGCTGCCACCGCAGCAATCAAGCTCGTCGTCGACCATTGTTGTACCCGAACTAAATGCCCCTGGCGAGGAGGGTGAGTTCCTGCCCAAGGATGAGCTTGTTGAGGACCGTGGTGAGGAGCATGTCGTTGAAATTCGAGAATGCCCCATTTGCCACCAACCGCGCCTGAACAAACGCAGGGACGCGGACATCATCACCCACATCGCGACATGCGCGAGCCAGGACTGGCGACAGGTGAACAAGCTCATGATGGGCGGTTTCGTGACTGCTTCTCAGGCGCAGCGCAAGTGGTATTCCAAGGTGATCACCAAAATCTCATATGGAGGATACAAACTCGGCGCCAACTCCGCCAACATTCTCGTCCAGGATCGTATTACGGGCCAGATCAATGAAGAAAAGATGAGCGTGTACGTGAGGTTGGGCATTCGCCTGCTTTACAGAGGGCTGAAATCCAACAACATGGAGAAGAAGCAAAGTAAGTAACTGCCCCATTGGCCTAGGTATAAAGCCGCGATTTCTCCTTTGGCAACATGAATCTAACCGGCGACGGCCGCGCTCTTAGTTCGCAAACTTTTGAAGAGTATGAGCATCAAGCAGGGCAAGAAATACGAAGACCCCGGCTCCAAGTCTCAAATCATCCCCTTTATCGAATTTCACAATTTGGACTTGGCCGAAGTACTCCTACCGCTCGAAGACTTCAGCAATTTCAACGAGTTCTTTTATCGCGCACTGAAGCCTGGTGCTAGGCCCTGCTCAGCGCCCGACAACCCGCGCATCATTGTCTCCCCAGCCGATTGCCGTAGCGTCGTGTTCAACAAGGTCGACCAGGCGACCAAAGTATGGATCAAGGGACGTGAGTTCTCGGTCAAGCGCCTTCTAGGTGATGCATACGGGCATGAGGCCAACCGGTACAACAACGGATCCCTCGGCATCTTCAGACTTGCCCCTCAGGACTACCACAGATTCCACATTCCCGTTGATGGCGTTTTGGGCAAGCCCGAGCTCATTGCAGGCGAATACTACACGGTCAACCCGATGGCCATCCGGTCGGCCCTGGACGTGTACGGTGAGAACGTCCGAGTGTTGGTGCCCATTGATAGTGTCGAACACGGCCGTGTGATGGTCATCTGCATCGGTGCCATGATGGTTGGCAGCACGGTGATTACTCGAAAGGAAGGAGAGCAGGTCCACAGGGCGGAAGAGCTGGGCTACTTCAAATTTGGCGGATCCACCCTCGTTGTGCTCTTTGAAGAGGGCAAGATGAAATTTGACGAGGACCTTACGGATAACTCCAACTCCGCCTTGGAGACCCTGGTATGTCGCTGACCCCTCACGCCCGTCCCCCTCTTGGGTTTCCCCGTTCGTAGCCCTCGTCTGGAAGCCTTTTTTCTAACCCCTGAGATACAGATTCGAGTTGGAATGTCCATTGGCCACTCCCCAAGCGAGCATCAATGGCGCCCTGATATGCGCAAGGATGAAAAGGACGTTACAGAGGAAGACAAGGCCGAGGCCAAGCGCAGAATTCAAGGCTCGGTCTCCCAGCCCGAAACTCCCGAGGCAAGTGGCGATGACAAGGCGCAGCGGCTGGGCGTGTCGCCAGAGACAGTTGAGAAACTCGATGGCGGTGGCGTGCCCATCATTGCAGGGTAAAAACCCAGGGCTATCTGCTTGCGCCTTTCTGCAAGGCGAGGAGAGAGTGCAAATCCCCGCACGGTTGCTGGTCTGCATGCATCTTGACATCTTGTCCCACGGGCTCAGTCCCGTCCCCTTGCTTATTTTATTTTTCCTGCTTTTCTCCTTGATGATTTTGATGCGATGGCCGAGCCCTCGGGACTGCTATTCCCTCCGAGTGGACTGCGCAGCTCACGTTGAAGTCTGATGTGCGAGAATCGGTTGCAATCATGTAGCCACATCGTGCTTGTTCTTACGAGGGTATATCATGATTTGCCATTTTAATGATGAACATAAATGTAGAGAAATCCATACATAGCATTTGCGAACTTGGAAATAGATTTGTTAAGCGTTGACTTATATCAATTACATTTGGCCAGATCGACCTGATGTCCTTGAGAAGAGAGAGGAAAATGGCGGTGATCCGCGCCACGCAACCTCATAGAGTCCGCTAAGCGACAGGTACGCTATATAGCTCCTAGAAATAGATGATTGAGTCTCTACCGTGACTCTTGTTTGTCGTTAGACTATGAATCAATATTCTGACGTTGTTCCCCCGCTAGGCACCCCTGCCCATATAGCAGATATACCAATGATGATGAGCTCATCAAAAATAGGATACGGTGTCGTATGCCGTATGCCGTATGAAAAGCACCAGAAACACTAATAAAGAGCGCCAAACAAGTTCCCATTTTCGAACGAGTGGGAAAGCAGAGAGGAGACAGTGAGAGGAGGTGGGGGTAAGAAGACCAATTTGGATTCAAGGTGGAGGTGGGCGATCCGGCGCTGATTTCGGAGCTTGGCCCTCAGCTGGCTTCCGAGATATCCTCCGAGAACGGCGCAGAGCCCACCAAACCGCATTGCACTCGAACGTCATCGAGGGGCGGACGCTAAATCAAGAAATGTAGCCATGGATAGAAATACATTACGCGAGGAGGGGGAAGCCACGATTGGAGCTTGACGGATTTGGAACAAGAGGGCTCAACCATCTGAGAAAAGGTTGGGAGAGAGGCAAGCGGGATGGAAGGAAGTCCTGGTGTCTTCATACTTGGGTAGCAGCTATACTATATTCCACATACTAACAGGAAAATACAAAAGAACAGAGAAGATATCGATAATGGAATCCCAATCCAATTGATGCTCAAGTCCAGAGTAACGCCATGATTGCTAGCCCGAACCCAGGGCAACCCGTTATTGCCTTTGAGATGAATGAACAAATGAAAAAGAAAATTTATGGCAAAGTGGGAATAACAAAAGTGTGCGAGGAAGCGTAGTAGACGAGGCCAGCGTTGGTTAGGGCGAAGGCCAAGTTCCCCGCAATCCTCGCGGATAGAAAAAGAGCAACAAATAAGAGGCTTAAGCATAAATCTCCAAAAGGAAAGAAAACCGGGGTGGCGTCCCAACCCCGAGGTTTACGTAGTATAAGTGAGCCCGTCTCCTCTACAGCGCCGCTCTTTACTGTCGCCTGCCTCGCCAGGGAATCTGACTCGTCGTCGTGTCACGGTCGGTATCGATCGAGGTCTTGCCAGCGGACAGGAACGGGCCAAGGGAGCCAGACGTGGAAGAGGTGGACGAGGTCGAGTCGCGGCGCTGTTGTGTGGAGGTCGCGGAGGCAGGCTCGGGAGAGGGGTGGCGGGTCTGACGCCAGGACGAGTAGATTTGCTTGCACAAGTGTGCCGACATGGTATAGGTGGGAGACATCTTTTTTTCTTTAGGTGTGTTGGCCGCTTGACTTGCAGGGCGAAATTGTGAGGCGAGCTGGAGTTGAAGGAGGCGCGGCGGCTTTCTCACTTGTCTTGTGACGCTGAGGGTGGTAGAGAGGCTGTAGGCTTGTGCCGAAGATGTGGTTGGTTTCAGGTTCTTTCTCAGACAGTAATGGAGAAAGAGAGAAAGAAAGAAAAAGGTGGTTTGGCTAGCTAAAGAAAAAAAAAAAAAGTGTTGTTTTCCGTTTCTTTAGTCGTGGCTATATTGATGTCTGCAGGTCTGGGGAAGTGTCGATTGATGATGGTGTAAGTCGCCGCCAATTGACGTGATGGCCGGATTTGTAATGGTAATAAAGCGAACCTCTCGAGCGGCAGGGTTGACTCTTATTAGTGGTTGCGAAGAGTTTCAAGGCTAGGGAGAGGAGAGACAGCACTTGAGAGTTGAGTATGGTTGAGGGTTGAGATCGAACTAGGCGTATTTAGGTCGTATCCTCAGGGGAAAGAAAGTCAAGTTGGAAGGAGGGAGAAGGGGAAAGGAGAGGGAGGGGGCCTTTTAAGGAATCATGGAACTTGAAGTCCGCACACACACACAGGAGATGTATTTATATTTATCTATATATTTCTATTTTGCATAGAGCCGTGGGTGGCATAGCTTCAAGGAACGACGGGGAAGGAAGGGGGGAACAAGGCCACACAGCCTGCCAAGGGCTCCTCCCGAATGGGTGTAGAGACCGGGCTGGCTGGGCTTGATGGCTGCTCAATGGCTTGGGGTACCGAGCCGCAACACACCGGAACGACGAAAGCGCTTCTTCCACCAAGGTCACAGCACGCGAAGTTTGGCGTGTGGCTTTGTGTCTGAGAACCTCGCGACGGGTACCCGCGGTGTACTCGACCGTAAGAACGTTTGGGAAACGAGAGAGCTTAGGATGTGCAAGGGGGCAGGACGGAAATTCGGCGCCACCAGCAGGCGGTTCTGCCCCTCCCGAAGAGCTTGGTGGCCTGGATCTGGATGACTGGTACCGTGCGGTACGAGGAAGTGACAATAGATTGGCGCGTACGTGGTGCGGGCGATGGATCAGGTCGGCTGGTCAGACTTGTGGGCACATCTGGCTTGAGCTGGACGTTGCAGAGGGAAAAGCTCAACTTTGAAGCTTGGCCTGGACCGTTGGGATGTGCCCATTTCCCACTTTGTCAATGTTATTATCAGGCTGCTCGTCCAGGACCCCCTCCTCCCTCCTCCCCCTTCGCGCCTGCCCCCTCCCACCAGTGTTGTCTCACCCCTCCCTCCCCACATCGGCAGGCACCAGTCACCGACCAGGGTTTCCACCCCACCTTCCTTGCTTGTCTTCGAGGTTCCCTCTCCCTCTCTCCCTTTCGGTGGCTTCTTGCACTGGCTGGTTCAATTATGCCTGGACCGGCTTTTGGTGGCTGACCTGGGTCATGCCCACTGACGACTCGTGGTCAGCGGGGACATAAGGTTCCACACTTCTCAATGTCGCCTATCCTTTACGCCACCGCATCCCCATTTTAAGGTCCTGTTTAGTGCGATTATGATCAATTTGATCCTGCCCTCGCGCTCAACAAGCAAATCCCACTGCTACAGCGCAAAAGGACGAGGAGACTGACCATTGTCGCCACCTAAGAGACAGGGATGATGAATACACGAGGTGAAGCACGCGAAGTTGGAGAGGACCTGGAATACAAATTGATCCAGTTTGGTTGAGACACGGTTCCTTGCTGGCCATGAAGAGACAAGAGTGAATGTCTGGGCGGGCGTCTCTGTTGACGGAGAAGTCGTCAACCCCCACATCTGACGCAGCCCCAGGGATTAAGCATGTAAACCCCTTTTATGCGGGTTGCTTCCAGGCAAGGGTGGCTCAATGACTTCTGGGACTGGGATACACCGACTCTGGCCCTTGAGAGTGACGAACGGAATGGCCCGTGACTTTCGAGCCCACCTGTCCTTGTACGCGTTGGTGTGTTGGTGTGTTGGCGTGGTGCTGATGGGGGAACCGAACTCACCTACGCTTCAATGACCCCGAACCGAACCGAGTGGCTCGCCGCCCCGAGGAATGGAAAGGAAATGGGTTCTAACAATCCACGAGTTTATTGAAATGAATGGATCTATGGATCCATATCATTACCACTTCTACTTTGAAGAAACGAGCTGTTACCCCCACCACAAACCAACACTCCCCAGAGGTAGGCAGACAAGCAGAGTCTTTCATCCTCATGAGTTATTGACCCCACCCTTGTTCCTCGGAACCCTTTGCCATACACCGACCAAGCAAACTGGTCGAAGAAGATGCTCCATTCGGAGGATTCGAAAAATTGGAAAGTTCTATTGTTACACCACCGCCCTCGTACGGTTTTGCGCTGTCCTCATGCCGGCCTGATTTCCCGCACTACCACCTCTCCTCCCAGCGCGTATAAAGGCGGGTGGTCCGAAAAGCAGCAAAGAGTGGAGATTAGGCGGGAGAGACAACTGGCAGCAGAGAGCTTGCTTGCTCGCAATAGCTAGTATATGTATACTATAGTGTACAGACAAGTTGCGTGGTGTGGTCTCGGAACCAAACCCCTCGTCGTCATCGCTATCAAGTTCTCATCAATTGAACCTTTCAGCGATGCCGCACACGGCTGTTGGCCCCACGGTTGAAAGTTCAACCCCCGCTCCGACTTGCTATTCCGGCTTTCCGAGTCCAAGGCATGATCATCGCCCAGTGTCAACGTGCCGAGTCCACTAACATGCGCCTAACGCAAATTTAGGGTCTAGTGCTGTCGGTTTCGACATGGAACACCCAATGGTTCAGTATTGAGACCCGAATGTCGCCATTGTTGGGCACCCCGACTCAATTCATTCGCAAAGAGAAAATGCAAAGAAATGGAAAAATTTTCCTTCCCAAGTGAGCGGAAACGCAGTAGAATCAATGGATGGATGCTTTGACAGTATTGAACACCATCGGACTAATATATTGCGGCCTGCTTCACCATGCGATTTGGGCCCTGTGGCTGTGTGGAATCGTATGAGGACTTCCCAAACTCGCACAATCCCAAGGTGCAATCGTCGTGTGGGAGGGTTGTCGGAAGCATTGTGATTGGCCCGTAGGGTTGCAATGGCGGGGAGTTGATGCAGGTCTGGAGATGGAGCGGCTCGGGTCCTGGGGTTCTTTCCAAAATGAGCGGTGACGCAGGGCCAGCAAAAAGGGTTGGAACCACTTTTGTCGCAGAGTGAGGCTGGTGCGGTGCGCAACCAAGCCCCGGGGAGTCACGGGGAGCTTCTCTCGGTGGAAAGTGAGGCTGGTGCAGTGGGCTCGGGGAGCACGGGGAGCTCTTGCCAGGGAACTTCAAGTTGACATTGATTCATCCATGGATAGAACTTGAAATGTTGGATAGTGCACGTGATCTTCCCTCCATCCAGTCAAGCCTGTCCAAAAGTTGTGTTCATGGTTCAACTTGGCCAGTCATCACTTACACAAGTGTTGTGATCCTTTAGTCAGACTCGCTCTCCGACAACAGCCTCCCGATGACTTCAAGTTCCATTTGTCACAAGCTGCCTGTGGCTTATAGTCCCATTAGACCCGATTTGACCAAGAATTGGAAATCACTTGGCCCCTGTCTGTCTGTATACACACGGAATTTGTGTGGAATATTTCATGTTTAGAAGCGGATCGAATCATACGAAAGGCTGGCGGCAGCTTCTCTAAGGTGGCTGCCATGGAGCCAGCGATTGCACCATTCGTGACTGACTCAAATTACATGCCGCCCTTGAGTCGACCTCTAATTTCAACGGTAGCAGCAGACCGCGAGGAAACCGGGGGTTGATGTACCCTCCCGGTGAATAGGCTTCAAGTGGTTCGAGCCACCGACAGAGGGTTCTAGAGGCATCAAGGATCAAGGTTTGGCACAGGTACAACCCAACAAAACAAAATGCTCTTTACCTTGGCTATGATTGGGCTCGTGCCCCACGTCAAAGGAAGAGTAGGTCGGGGGATTCGGAGCATGCACCGAGGGCGTAGTGTAATGAACTCGTTGGCAACAAACCTGTCTGCTGCAGCAAGCAGCCTGCGGCTCGGAAAGAGGTAGCCTCTCTGAAGAGTTGCCGCGTCCCAGCACCCTTATCCAGTTTTGATTCATGGGCTTTCAGCCTCGAGGAGTTTGCCATTTGGAGGGAGAAAAACCAGCCACTTCTGAATCGTAAAATCCAGCCGTCATCACTTGAACAGGGAATGAGCTTCTCGAACCCCAAGATCGTAACCGGAGGAACGGGGAGCAACACTAACAGGGGCTGGCAATCTATTCATTCTTTTGGAGCGTACGTAGTGTAGTGTAGACACGTGAGGACAATGTCCCGTAACCCGTTACTCCCCGGAATACACCTAGGTTCCGACTTGGTGCCCTTGGGCGCTATTCAACATGACTCCCGGTTGGCACCGACCCAAGATATTTGAGGTTTCCATGCTGGGCCCTGCTCTCCCATGCATCTCCATCTCGTTTCTCAGGAGCTGCGGAATCGGCCTCTGGGCGTGCCACAAGTCTTCGCTCGTGGGATGATTCTATCTGTAAATGTATGTGCTTGTCACCCTAGCTTCGGACCGGGCTTTGGCTGATGATATTCCCAGAAACGAAGTCATTTCTATTCACGCATAGAAAAATAGATCCAAGAAAAAGCCCACCTCTAGATTTCGTACGCCATCTCGTAGATATACGCTCGGTCAGTTGATACATACGTCAGCCTTCTTGCCGATTAGAATGATGATGACCAAGACTCGACGCAGATGTACAGGTGAGGGAAACGGACTATTAGTCCAAGCATGGAGCCCTATGGAACCGTTACATGGATTGCTGCTAATCATTATCGCGTGGATGCCTATAGCTTTCTTGCCTATCATTACGCATGTTGGTCGTGCGCCGTAGTGTCAAGCCAATAACTCACATGACAATCAACCCTGAGAAGAAGACCTCATCTGCATAGAGAAGAAATGACCCCGTTAATGTGCCGTAGATCTTTCACTTACCCTGGGACGGGACACGCGTGGGCTCCTGCTAGACTTGCATTTTCCTCGCGCCCATACCCATACTGATGATTGGAGATACGGTATCCTCCCCGGAATGCCTCCGCGTGCCTCGCCGAGCGCGGGTGCCCGCTACATCCTGGGCGCCTGCTCCTCGCTTCGATTCGGAGAAATGGACTGCGTTTTCGAGTGGCTTGATAGCCTCATGAGGCGGAGGCTAGGAGCATGGCTGGACGTTTATAAGAAGGAGAGAGGTCTTCCCGGTATGGCCTTCACCTCATTCAGTCCTGATAGAACTCGTCAACTCGGTCGACCCTTCCACCAGAGGCCCTTTGTGGCTTTTGTCGATCTAGAGCAGACAGAAATCGCTTTCCGAAGCTCTCGAAGACCGCGCCTTGAAGTTTCCCTTGTATTGAAGCTAGAATTCTCAGCCTCATGTCCAGCTCAATATACTTTTGAGAGAGAGCTTCACACTGTCACAGATAAGCCCGCATACCTTCCCAAAGCATGCGCAAAACACCTCTCTCACAGAAGACTCGGGCCTTACCAAAGTGTCTAGCATATCCACCGAGTCTCAAAGAGGCTCACCCTTGATCTGCTTCCCGGGCGGACGTGACGGATACGATGTCCCACGAGCCACGGGATCGATAGCCGATCCCGTTCCCGGCATGTTCTCGCAAAGGTTCTGATTTGATCGTCTTCGAACTGCATATTTGTATGTAAATCTGCGTGCCGGTATCAACAGCCATCTGCGAAAAAGGAAGTCTGCATTGACTTTGAGCCATGGGAGGGCCTTACTGTTCACGCCCACGGATCTCTCGTGTGAGAGTGATGCGACAGAGGGCGGGGACCTGGCGAGATCTTCCTCCTACTGGCAGAGGTGAGCCCTAGGAGTAGAGATCCCCATGAGGCCTGGAGGGCGGATGGCGCAGATCTTGCCGATGCGAAGACGGCTTGAATGACCTGGCATGATGCTCAAGATTCCCTAGGATTTAGAGGATCGCCGCACACCTATGGTGAGATAGAGAGATGCTCCCTGGGGTCGAGATGCAGTTGGCACGAACACTCTCGGGGCCAACCGTTTGGCGAGGCCCTCCTCTCTGCGGCGCTCGTGTATAAAAGGGTGTCTAGCAGCTGGTTTCTAGGTTCGCTTGGTGATGATCTATCAGCCTGCCGTGTGGTGTTTCATGCACACCGACTTATGATGTTTCTAGATTCGCAGGCCCCTGGTTAACGGTAGAAACGCAATAGGTGGGTGTATAGGCGATGTTTTATATCATGCCTTGTGTATGTGTCGTGGATCGTCTGGGAGCCTCCCTAAGGATTTGTTTCCTTTATCTTCTACTAAAATACAGGAGACCTACGCTCTCTTGCTCTTGATACGTTGAAGTGAAGTGGTGGTGCACGCGTTTGTCGACTGATAATATAAGAGACACATAAGGGCATGGGGAGACGACCATGGGTCTAGCTAAACGATGCGGGACATGACGTGAACCAAAGGGCCCGGGTCTTTGGGTCTTTGGGTCTTTTCTCACTTTGAAATTCTTGTGCTAGCCGGCGGACTGGGGCGGAATACGGTGATGAGTAGCGGTTCGCCGGGCGGGATGCATTTATTCGGGCGTCAGGCCCTGATGCGTGGGGTAGACTAGCCGTCGAGACCTGGCAGTAACACATCCATCCATTTCTACAAAGTCAAGTACGAACGCCGAACATCGTGTGTAAGAAATCTGCCAAGGCTTTCCAGAGCCCCTCCCATTCATGGGGCTCTACACAAGGCCGACGTGGCTTGATAGATCTTGTGGATGCAGTCACTGCTGGGCCGGTTTGAGGCTGTTGGCCTGTAGATGTCACATCATCACATCAAGAACTTGATTCAATGTTGTGATATTAAAATGAGGGGAACGCGGAACACGAAACGAGCGCGAGCCCTTGAAGCTCGAGGGGATGACCATCAATCATGATCCCCAGTCCTGAAGAGAGATTGCTCGACTTGATCAAGGAGGCGAACTCGCGGACCAGTCAAGGGGATGACTGGGCTTGGTGGTTGTGTAAAGCGAAAAGAAAAGCAAAGTTTGCTCGCGGGCTGGACCATGCCTCGGCGCACGACACAACAGGACAGGGGATAGAAAAGGGACGGTCCCCTCAATTCTCGAAGAGGATAATATGACTAGGGTGGTAACGTGATTGCATTAATGATCGCCTCTTCTCACGATCTAGGTTGGTTCCTGTCTCAGAAAACCTGGTGGACGGGGTGACCTCCCCTCCCAGGAAATCGTCGTTTCACAGTTGAGGGGCGGCTTTTGCTCGTAATCCTGGGGTGCACCCTTGGTAATATGGCGAAAAGCTCGCGAATGATTCCTACTGCGGACGTTATTTTATGCCTGAATATTTCCGACCGAACCTTGACTTTAATCCGTGCAGTCAAGAAGCGGGAAAGCCTCCCGAAAAGGGTGTTAGATCCAGAATGGGAGCCGGAGCCGCTTCCACTTCAAAGTAGCTGTTGTGGATGGGGTCTTTGAGCCATTCAGGCAATATCTTTTAAAAAGCTCAATTGCTTCCATACGTTGAGCCTGAACCTGGGGTGGTGCGAAGAGAGAAAAAAAGAAAAAGACAGAGCAGCATGAGGGTTAACCCGAACAGAATCCGGGTCAAGGGGCTCAATTCCCGTTCGCTCAGTGCATCCGCTTAGGGGTGGATTTGCTGGATGAAGGGTCGATCGCGAGCCGAACACAGCAAAACGAGAGGCTCGAGACCTGGAAGACCAAAGAGAGGATCTCAGGTCGCACACCTTCCCCGTCCTGGAAAAAGCCACGCGAGCCAAAAGACGGATCGCGACCGACTTAGAGCAACCGGGATCAGAAGAAACACCACAACTTGCAGCCCGCTTCTTTGTCCCGGGGGTTACGAATGGCATATGTTACCGCCATGCCGACCAGGCGACATGTGGTGGCAACCTTTGAAATACCATCTATCCTCCGCCGCTCGAGGGACAAAAATAAAAATAGCATGCTCCTTTGATGTCTAGCACGGGCGGGGAGACAGACGGGGGATACTCGATGATGAAGGAAGACGCTTGCGTGCATCATCACGATCGAGCAGTGACGTCGCATTTTCGATCGCGATATCTGCGATGAAAAAGAAACAGGCACTAGGGCGCTAGAGGATGGCATCCCATTTGATCAGATGGCATGGAAAAATTGGGAAAAAGAGAATCTCGATGGCTTCCCGGACCACCGTGCACGGCGTCGAGCTGTCTGTTCTTTTCGTCTACGTCGCTTTTGTGAGTTGACTTGAAAGGTTTCTCCGTCCGCGATTGGAGACAAGGTCGTGACGATGTCCGAGCGCAGAGCGCAACAACAGGATGCAAGAACTTTGCCCAACAACGTCGGTATTCCCCGAGCGTTGGTGACGAGCCAGCCCGTGTGCAGCTGCCTCAGATTTTGGTACTCGAGGAGAGAGTACATGTATTATCTTGGAGTGCCTAGAAGTATGAGCAAAATTGGAGGAGAGGTGACGTCTAAGCGCCGAGCATTCCCGGCAACTCGCTGAGCCGGGTCTGCGGTGCAATGAAGAACATTGAGCTCGACTTGCTTTTCCCTTTCTCTGCTGTTCTTTTCCTATGTTCGCTGCGTCAACGCTCGCGGCGGCCACTGTGCATTGCATTAGCGCCGCTTCCAAGAATAGATCTCGACGGACAATGGGAATTCTTCAGCCCTCTTCAAAGGCTGTGAGGAAGGCACGTCACAAGAAGCGATGGAATTCAAGATGCGCGATTAGGATCAAAGCCAAAGGGGAATGGACACAAAAAGAAAAGAAGATTTCATTGTTCTGGTTCTTCTCACCTCGAGACGACTACCTCGGGATACTGGGACGGGAAGTGGCCTAGAACGAGAGGGATCTTGTGTCAAAATGGTTCTGAAACCAACTTCAGAATGGAACAATGAAAAGAAGGGGGTGGAAGTTGGTTTTGGCTCGAAGGAGGTTGTGGCATTCTCTGCCGCTTGGTTTGGGGCTGGGCTGGGACAGTGCGAGGGGCGTGGAGCATGGCTCAGAGGCCAAGCCAGCGAAGGAAGGAGCTGCGGGGAGGGGCGTGAGGTTAGCGAGGCAGAGGTTAGTGAGGCAGAGGTTAGTGACCCGGCACACTACTGGGGCTGGCACATCAAGCAACCAGCAGCAGCCCGCGGTGCTCTCGATTTGTTCATTCACGTCATGTTATGTTCTCACCAGAGGCTGGCCCAGCCTTTTTCTCCTCGCAAGAAGCACTTCAAACTCACTTGGCCAGGCCGGAAACCCCAGGCCGTATCCCGCGTGCTAGCAGCTGTCGTATTACCACTCCTGCCATGACTGCCATGACTGCCATTCGATCTAGTTTCGTTTGCCATCCAGCCAATCCAGATAATCTAGAGGCAGACCGTCTTCATCGCCGCCAAGGTTGCTGCGAGAGGCGGGGTTCCTGCCATCCATTCATTGTCCATGGATGACAGCGAAAGGCGCAGTCGGTTGACGGGCGACATGGGCATATCAATTCGATGATCTGGGGGAAGGCAGATTGCCATCCTTCTGTTCTACGGAGACAGGGAGACACCGAACCTGCTTATTGATTCGTTCCCCCAGCGACTTTTGCCAGGTAATGGGTGCGAAATGGGAATGCGAGTTGGGCGGCGAGTTGAAAACGTGGCGGGCTGCTTGACGAACCCTGATCGACGCCCTCTTCGTTTTTCGCTTGGTTTTATGCATGCCACGAACACTCGACGAGCGAACAGTGGAAGGGATCAAGTCCGCGCCTTGAACGTGTCTCGTCCATTGTGGATAATGAGCGCGAGCGCAGCTCAACAGCGGGCGCGATTCATACCCATTGTCAGCCCCATCTACTTCGTACATCGCCCACGTTGCGCTACATTTGATCCGGCCCTAATTTAGTTCTTTTTCTTTCCTTTTGATTCCCCTTTCTCTTCTTTTCATGCCAGAAGGCCCACCCATGACTATGACATGCCACCTTCTTTTCAGCACATGTTGCCCTAAAGACCGCTTTCGCTTTTGGGGAGCTGCACAATCATACCTTTCCGTCTCTTCAGCGATAGTATATTGTATTATATAGGAGGGTAGGGGCTGGCCGGGTGGCCGGGTGGCCGGGGGTCGCATCGAGACGTTTGGAATTCTCCGCCTGGGCTGGAGTGGAGGGTATGAAGGGGGGTATGGAGGGGGGTATGAAGGGGGCATATGGAGGGTGGTATCAGCGCTTCTCGATATGCACCTGTGCGACGGCAACGAAAAAGACGACCCAAGAAAGAAAGAGCCCGCCAAGACCACTTTTATACCTTCTTCCGCCCTTTTTTTCTTTCTTCTTTCTCGGTCCCGCTTTGATGCGAAGAAAGGAAGCAAGAAGCGAAAACCCTTTTTCCAACCTGGCGTCGATCATCAGTGCGTATTGGGTCCGCCGAAGACGCCGGTTCAATGATACACCCTCGACACCCTGATCCCTGTTCCTGCGGCGCTGCGCGCTCCATCCAGGAAAGAGGGCAAGTACAAAAGGGAAGAGAACGAGACGGGAGGGGGCGATGCTCTAGCAGAAGGCGTGTTAGACTGAGATTGAGCGACAGACAGCAAAAAGATAGGATGAAGCGCAAGCCTTCCATGTATCCATATTATAGATCCATCTCTTCCACTATTATACCCTCTATACCTTGACACCCTTGCCCGACCTCCCGCTGTTCCCTCCCTGCTCTCTCCCTGCTCGCCTCCCTGCTATTCCCCCTCCCTAGCCTCCGAGCCTTGCCCGCGGGAGAACCTATAACCAGTCCTCTCTGCCCTGCCCTCTCCGAGCTGCTGTGATCCTCGTCGTGACTCTCTTCCACCCCTCCTTTCCTTCGCAAAAGCTGCATTGTGTCATCGCTAGAATCCTTTAATGTCTATGCCCGCCAACCTGCGCTTCTCTGTAAACCAGCTTGCTTCGCCCTTACACCTACCATCACCATCATTCGTCTTCGTCTTCTACTTCGACGCCGCCTCCTACCCTACAAACGACTTATAGAGCAGGTCAAACAAGCCTCGATAACGATATCCTCTCTACGCTTCTTCCCTCCGCCCATCTCGTGCTGGGACCGACGAGAAGCACCCAACAGAACCCTACCCGGACGACCGGCATCCAGCCGCCGAAAGCGGATGCGGCTAGGACTCATGTACACATAGATCCGGCCACAACACCGATGAGCAGGCGCTCTTCCCTGTGAACTCTGATTTACCGGTTCAAAGAAGAGTCATGGAGGTCATAATACCGCCGAGGGATCACAAAACCATCACTTATAGATATACCTGGGATGAGAAGGGAGAAGTACAAAAGGTCGAGAGGTAAGCAAGCAACCACCCGAGGAGAAGAAAGAGGTCGTGGGGGGCAGAGCAGAAGACCGCAAATCTAGGGCATGAGATGTCGAACCAATATCACCACGTAACTAACCTCGTCTTTCTCGATTTCCCCCTCTGTCCAGGGTCCGCGAATCCGTCGACTACACCTCCAACAGACAAACCCTCCAATGGCCATTCCAAAGCACCACATCAGCCGGTGACCAAAGCACAACCTCCCAGGACTACATCGCCCACCGCGCGACGTGGCAAGCCCGCCCCGCATACAGCGGACGCTCCTCGCCGAGCACGATAGACCGGGACATCGTCCCCGACTACGTCGTCAACTACCTGCGCGGCGAGACCCCAGACCGTGGCCCTGAGAGCCTCCATGCGCGCGCGGGGCCTTTACGACGTGGATCGAGAGGAGCGCGAGAGGGCCCACAGGTCCCGGGTCGCGGAGCTGTACCTCGCCACGAGCCGCTCCGACAGTGATGGTGAGGCGGGCCCCGCTTCAACGCGCAGGGGGCCAAGACGAAGGGCAACAGGCCCAGCTCGAGCAGCTTGGTGGGGTGGAGGTTCGGGCTCGCCGTGAACACGCTCATCGCTTTCTTGATCCTCGTCGTCGCGGTTATCTGCCTCACCCTCGCTGTCTCGCGATCGAGGATGCTTGGTGGGGAATCTGCCATCGCCACCGGGGACTGCCAACGTATTCGGCGAGTGAGTTGGGCCTTGCAAGCCGTCATCAGCCTCTGCCTCATCGCTCTTCTCGCCATTTCAAATTACGCCTTTCAGGTCCTCAGCAGCCCCACCAGGGCCGAGGTTTCAGCTGCTCACGACCGTAGGAGATGGTTGGACATTGGCATTCCCTCCTTCAAGAACCTCGTCCGTATCTCGAGAGTGAGGGCCATTCTGGCCGTCTTCATTCTCTTGGTAGCCTTTACGCTTCAAGTCTTGTAAGTTTTCTCTCCCTTTCTCTCCCTCTCTCTCCCTCTTCCTCTCCCTCTCCCTTTCAACCCCCGTACACTTAGAAAAAAAGTGTCTAACCATTTGTGTTTCGCGCTATATAGGTATAATAGCGTCATCACCGTCTCCAGAGTCGGCGCCAACGCCAGCCTCATCTTCGTCACCGAGGACTTCCTCTCCGGCGCCCCCTTCTCCAACGGCACCGACACCAACTCCGCCCAGCTCTCCCGCATCGACTTGCTCGCCCTGCAGAGCAGCGCCGACCGCGGTCTCATGACCAACCTAACCGCCTCCCAGTGCGTCGCCTCCTTCACGGGGCCCTTCATCGACGACTTCTCCACCATCATCGTCGTCACGAGCCTCGACGACAACCCCAGCGGGAGCCTGGTCCAGACCGCCGTGGCCGGCACCCGCGGCGGCCGCTTCAAGGAAGGCGACCTGAGGGACGGCGTCCGCCTCCGCAGCTCCGACGTGCTCTTCTGCCTCGGCGAGACCACAGGCTTCGACAACGACTTTTGCGAGCTCAGGCTCTCGGGCGCCCTCCTCGGCGTCGCCGCCCTCGTCAACCTCGCCCTCGTCATCGCCGTCGCCGCCGCCGCCCTCATGAGGAAATTTGCGCCCCTCGCCACCCTCGGCGACGCCATCTCCTCCTTTATCGAAGCCCCCGACGCCACCACCCGCAACGCCTGCTTGCTCACAAAGTCAGACGTCCGCCTGGGCCGCTGGCCCCTCTACGAGGCCAAGTACTGGGCCCCGCGGGAGCACTTTTGGATCATGACCCCGTCCATGCTGCGCTGGGCCGCCTTTGCGCTCTCGTGGCTGGTGCCCACCGCCCTCACCGTATGGGCGCTCGGCTGGAACATTGCCGGCCAGCCCGGCCGTGGGCTCTCCCCTTTGGCAGCCCGGCGCCTCACCAAATATTTGTCCTGCCCGCCGGCACCGCCCGGACGGCAGTCAGCCTAATCGCGGGGCTCCCCACCTCCTCCTCGCGGTCCTCTACATTAACCTAAACGCTCTCTTGAGCACCTATTACCTCGGACACGAAATGTCCGAGTTCGCCGTCCCGGACCGCCACCGCGCCCTCCGGCGCTCCTGGGGCGCCCGCGGCATCCAACAGGCGAGCCTTTATCTCACCCTCCCCGGCCCTGGTCCTGGTCCCTCATGCTGCTCTTCTCCGGCACCTCGTTCCTCGTCGCCACCTCGCTCGTCGTCGTTGCCGTCGAAGTCGTCGTTCCGGCCGCAGATCCCTTGTCCGTCGAGACTGTGCAAATCACCGCGCTCTCCACCTCATCTACCGCGCTCCTCGTGCTCCTCGCGCTCCTGATCGCGATACTTACCATCCCAATTGGCCTCGGCCTGCGTCGTGCGAACCCGACGGCTAGCTACGTCAACGGCCACCCCGCGGGGAATCCTCTCGCGATGCGTGGGGGTAGCTGCTCGGCTGTCATCAGCGCGCGGTGCCACTGCCCCGAAAACGAGGTCGATTTCGCCGACCCGACAGCGGAGAGGCTAACCTGGGGCGTCATAAGAGAAGGGGAAGGTATGGAGGTCGGTCGTATGGGATTCGCTGGCGAGAGCAAGGGCCCTCGCTCGGTCGGCATGATTTCTGTCGGGAGGGCCTACGCCTAGTTTCCTTTCAACCCAAAATAATCAAGGTGGATTGACATCTGTAAGAGAGGCGTCCGGATTTCTGTTCTTTTTCGTTTCTTATTCTCATCCTCTTCTTTTCTTTTCTTACATTATTTTTCTCTTTATTTATTTCTGGCGTTGCGGCGGATGGCGAGCGGAGGGACACCCGCGAAAAAGGGAACATTGGATTTTGGGAAACGGCATCACGGTTGCGGGATTCATCCTTGGTGGCTTGCATTATTAATATTTGGTTCCGGTGGAATAGATACCCTAGTAAGCGCGGGCTCCTGCGATAGATAGAAAATGCTGATGCTTTTTGAAGAATCATGCTCTGGTACCTGGCTTAACTTGGGTGATAGAGTCCAGAGGTGCCGGCCTCTCCAGCCAAATAGAAAGTTTCATCGTGTATTGTACATTTTCGTGGTTCGTTTTGACTTCGACAAGAAGAATGAATGTCATAAAAGAAACAAAAGACAAGGCAAATATAAAGTTGGCCGAGGCCGACGCAGGAAAACAAAAGGGGATCAAAATGGGATAGGCGACGATATGTTTTTGACATGCTGATGGCAGTCCACCTCAGGAATAGAAACCGAGACATCTCAGGAATAGAAATCGAGAAAGGCGTAACATGGGTATTAGGGTCTCTTGTATATATGTATAGATGGTGTGTGTGTGCGCATCCTCTTGCGCATCCTCTTCCTCCTTCCCCTCATCTGCGGCCGAGCAGCTACGGACTTAGTGAAGTGCGAGGATGTAAAAACCACAGAGAGCTAACCATGTATCCGCACTGCGAATGCACTAACGAATCCCTACTCGATGGCGCTCTCGTTTTTCGGATCGGTTACGGCTGGCGCCGCCTCGCCGGTTATGCGAGCCAGCCAGCTCTCGTCAACGTTGATATTTTTCCTAGCCATGACCTGGCTCTCCCTAAACTTCTCCCAGTGCTCGGGGTCAACCGCCCTGAGCTTCTCCGCGACACGCTCCTTGTCTTCCTTGAATGTCCGGACAGGGCCCTTCTCGGCTACGGCAGCATCCAGGACTGGGTCATTTAGATCCTCAATCATGTCGCGCAGCATCTGTAGGTGCTTGGGATTCTCTCCCATTTCGTCAAGAGACGCGACGAGCACTTCCTCGTACTTTTCAAACGGATGGATGATACTCGTGCGGAATCGGTGGCCTCGGCGGTGCATTCGTCCTTCTTCGAGATCAAGCGGCTTTGTGTGGGCATGTAGCGATGACGACCGAGAAATGGACCGCACGTGTAAGGCGCTGTCATCATCTTCGGGGTCGGAGAGAAGAAGGCCGCTGTCCTCCCGCTCCCGGTCTGGAGGGGGCAGGACGGCTTCCTGGCTGCTTAGAGGTGCCTCGGCGGCGCCGGCCTCCCAGGGACCGCCGTGGGCGACTTCCCTTGTCTCGGGGAACTCGTCCTCGAACCTCTTGATGATACCATTCAGAGTATACTCGAGGAAAATAAGCTTTCGCAAATCTTCTTCTCGCCCTTCCGAGTGTTCCTTGGCCCTAGCAAGGGCGGGTTGGAGTCTGGCCCGGATCTTCCGCGCGCTCGAAAGGAGGTGCTTAGACATGTTCCTCGCCCGGCCCGATGGCAAGCGAGACGGATCCTGCGGGGCAACTTCACTCCCCACTTCGCGGGCGGAGTCAAGGCTGGCTCGCCTGGACTCGTCACCCTTGTTATCAAGGCAGCACGCGAGGGCCTTGACCACACCTGTACCACCAATGACGTAGTCATCGTCGGGCGCAGTATCCGCCAACGCGTCCAACTCGCCGGAGCCAGTCTCCTCTCGTCCGACGAGATGGGCCAACACATCAGGATACGGTACGGTGGCTTCAGTGATCCCTGCGTCTTCAAGGTCGCCTACTTGAAGGCGTTCCATATTGCGTAAGCTGTAGGCAACCACCTGCTTCGCAAGGGCTTTGACCACCTCACTGGATTCTTCAGAGGGAACGTCGATTTCTACCGAGACGAGGGTCTTGGACACGCGCACCGCGGCTAGGAGCGAGGCGTATAGCGCACAAGCCTCTTCCTGGGCTTCTTCGGTTCGGGCGTCCGCGAGCTTGGCGAGTTCCGGATTGTCTTGCAGGCTGATATGGGCTAGCTGGGGAACTTCGGGCAAAACTTCCGCCAGCGCGATTGCTTGTTCAGACGTCATGGAGACGTCAGCGAGGTGGATTCGTTTGAGGTATGGCATCTTGGGCAAGTATCTAGTACGTGTTCAAGTTAGTAAGCGTTCTTCTCGGCGTTTTTCTCGCCTGCTGAGGTGGGACCTGGGGTTTGACGAACCTCCGCAGTGCCTGCATGGCCTTTGTCTCGCTATTGAACAAATCTTGATTGTGTGATAAATCAATAAAGCGGAAGTCCCCGAGCTTGAGAAGAGGGGAATATTCTGCAGACGGCTGCAGGAGCGAGGTTGCAGTCAGCCAGGCTCAGCGCCCAGAGCTTATGGCCTTCACCGATGGCGCTCGCAAGGGTATCAATATGGTCGCGGAGATTGTTGCCACAAAGGTCAAGTCCCTCGCATTTGCCGCCCTCTAGATATCTGGCGACATGCGCAACGCCTTCCTCGGAGATATCGTTGCGCGCTAGACCTAGCCTCCGAAGACCACAACTGATAGCGCCATCAATGATGACACCGAGTTGTTGTGGCGCAGGGCTTGTTTCTCCAAGGTTAAGGAGCTCGAGATCCGAGCCAGCTAAGCGCTCACCGAGGGACCTGGATAGGAGGTATGCGGTGTCGGCTGACAAGGAGCCTTGGGTAGGGGAGATTGCGACGCCATTCTGCACGGGCGATTTAGGCGGGCTGGGGAAGGGAATTCCGGAAAGGTCAAGAAATTTTAGTGATCGGGCCAGGTATAAAAAGAGGCATACATGCCTCCAACCCTCCGGACCGATCTTGTTATTCTTCAAGACGAGGCGTTCGATCACGCCCCCTTGCACGGAATGGTCCGTGTAATTAGCGTACCGAGACCTTTGGAGTCCGGCTTCTTCGCGGCCAGCAAGCCGGCTAGCACGACGCGAAGGCCTTCGTCGGTCAGGCCACAGCCTTCGAGAAACACCTCTCTTACGGGCACGACAGCTAGGTAGTCGCCTAGGGTGATAAGATCTGGGAGCTGCATCCAATATCCCGACAGATCTAGTTTCCCTACGATACCGGTCTCTGCTGAGCAATTAGTCGCATCAGAGAGCTGCTCGGTGATTTTCTTCAAGATGGGTGTTTCTCGAAGCTGGCAGCACCGCCTGTATATTCTCACGGGATTCGTCGTGGGAAGCTTGAGGTTCTAGGTGTCGCAGCACCCGAAGCGGCAGCCGTATCCAACGATGAATCGCTACTTGACCGATGGATTTCCATGGGGATAGTGCCGTTCGCCTCGGCCAATTTCCTCTTCTTCTCTTTTCTCGCCTTGCGTTCCTCCTCGCTCTTCTTTTTCTTCTCCTTTTTCTTCTTGACAGGGGCGGGTTCCGTAGCCACCTCGGGTGCGGATTTGGCCTCACTCAAGCCAGGTTCTAGGGTGTTGGCGCTCGTCTCCGAAGATGATGCAACGCCATTCTTGTCCGGCGCGCCGTTTTTCTATCCCATCTCTTCTTCTTCGAGTTTTCCTCGAGATATTTAGGTTGGGGCGCAATCTCGACGTCAACGCAGAATGCTACCCTCCTTAGTTTGGCTTGGTTTAGTTCCGAGATGGCGCATCTTTCGCGGCCGTCGTGTACGTTCAAGGTCCGCCGCTCGACTAGGCCGTGATTTCCTCTCGTGGCATGTCCTAAGCTTCCCGCGCCCGACGAGAGGCGTCGAAAGATGCCCAAGAGATTACTGCTGGAGTTGGCACGGGGCGGGGCGGGTGTATACGGGGCAGCGCCGTCGTTTCGTCCACCATGCGCCAGGACGGCGGTTCGATTGGCGGGGGTTTAGATTGAGGTAGGGGTTGGTTTTCTGGTACGGGTGCGACTTGAGGCGTGGCGGGCGAAGCGCCTGAGAATTTAGAGGAGATGTTGGTGAACCAAGAAGGCCGGCGCTGGGGAGATGTACCGAGGGGTGGTGTTCCTTGGCGATCCACGGAATTGCTCCGGCTCAGCCTGGACTGGCTTGCCGGGATGGGGCGGGGGCGGTTGCCGTAGCGGTCGCAGTGGTTCCATTGACGTTTGGAGATGTGGGAGGGCTAGGCACTTGTTGAGCAGCAATTGGCGTTGTGGTTGTCGCAGTTGTGGTGGTCGGAGGAAGTGGTGTGCCGATAGGTTGACGGGGCTGGGGTGTGGTTCGTGGCGCACTTTTCGGAGTCGTTGTTGTCGATGCAAGAGACTTTGCACCCTTGTCTATAATGAATTAGAAGTCAGTAAATATTCGGCCGTCCTGGGGCGCGGCAGTCGCTTTAGAGATCGTGTCGGGCAAAGAAAGGAAAAAAGTAAGTCGGAGAGACCCGGCAGACGGATATCATGCCGAAAGAAAAGAAGCCGAAAGTGCTGGCCTCGACACCGACATCGCAAACAACCCTTGTAAGGAGACCAAGAAAAAAAGTCCTAAGGTAAAGTGGACTTACCCTTCGATGGTCCCTGAGCCATCCAACTGACGTCAACTTCGTGTGCACTCTCCATGTTGACAAAGAGATGGCGATGAGAGGAGAGTGAAAGGCGAGAGGTAGGAGGTGGAAGAGGAGTGCGCGTGTGTCTTCTTGCGTGCGGCGAAGAACTATTATTGGAGAGCCACCATAGCCATCACTGAATTTGGTGGAGAGGATTTTCGGTTGTCTCGTGCGGCAAGGAAAAGCTTGCCTCAGCTCACCAAGTCCAGTCGCAGGACTCCAGGAATTGAGCCAAGATGGTGCTAAGGGAGTCTCGGGGTTGAACTGAGGCTACGAAATGCAAGATCAAGCGTGAGGTGGGTGGGTGGAAAGGAGAAAGAGGAGGGGCGAAGGCGATATTTCCAAGATCGTGAAGCTCGGAGAAGGACGGGCGCTGATGTCAGCTGGATCGCGAGGTTGGACGCATAGGCAAGGATGGGGACCCGAGTGGGAGGAGATAAAGGAGATTAGAGGAACCAGATGGGATGGAGAAGAACTTCATGGATCAATGATGGTGGGCAGGTGGGCGGGCTGGAGCACGAAGTATCTCGGCTGTGGATTTTGATGGAGGTTGGACTTGGGGCGGGCGGACTTGACCCTTGAGTACCATCAACTCAATACCACTGGACCAATACGTCCACTAGGTCGTAGTGCCAATTAGCTGCTCTTGTTACCCACTGAACAACGTGGGAAATGGCGTTGATTGACTTGCCTCGGTGGAGCCCGCACGCTGCAGGCCAATCGCTCCATGGCCCCTGCAACCATTCTGACCCTTGATAATTGGCCGACTACTTGATGATGATCCAATGGACAAGACACTATTACCCCATTGAACCATTTGAGTTGAGAAGGGAGAAGGCGGGATTGAATCCCGCACTGAATCAATTGATCTGAACATTGAACCCGTAACCGTTGACGACTTTCTCCAGAGCCGTCGCACAGCCTAGCACGTCAGTGCCAACATTAGGTGGAATTGATTGATCCTCACCAGCCCTGAGAATGCAGAGCACACAAGTGCTCTCTCCCGGTCCGTTAGCCCTGACCATATGGAGCCTACCGGCTCTTCTTGTTTGCCCATCACAGCGCAGCCCAGACACTGTATGTCTGGATCTATTGCCATCATTATCATTGATGCACCTAGCCAATCAGTGAAATAATCAATGAATTGCCCCGTCTCAGTCGCTGCATATCGAGACGTGTTGGTGTTCGTTGCCACATTCTTCTTGCCCTCAACTCAACACTCTCTGCTGCTGCTGCGAAGAACTAATTCGTAATTCCGAGCCCTCTCTCAACAATCGGCTACTGTGCTGAGGACGGGTGCAGTGCTTGCTTGCGGATCTCCGGCCAAACCATTGCCGACCACGACCATGACCCACAGGCTTTGTTTGATCAATGCCGAAGTCGTTGTCTGCCCATCCCATCTATTTCATCCACCAGCCCTGACCAGGCCCTGCAACGGCAGACCCTCAGCACTGTGTGCACGCTCCCAATTGTGTTATCAACCTTCCCCTTCATCACTCGTCGCCAACCATGCTGATTTCATGATGTCATCTACAGCGGTGCAATTAGTCATTTATAAAATTCTGAGTGGGCGGTCTTCCAAAGCGGGCTTCGGCTCCACTTGGAGATTATTACCCTTGCCCTCGATCCGATCCCACTACGAACATAATCCGTGCTGGTACTTGTCCTCGAATGGCCTCGGGGGCGATTTTCCCCTTCCCCTCTGGCCCTTACCCTTTCCTCCGCCCTTTCCTTTGCCCTTGGCCTGGCTTAGCTTGGCCCCGTCGGAGTTTCCGGGATTCTTGCAACCCCCGTTTCTAGACGCTTTGAAAGCTGTTTTGCGGGCTTGGTAATCTCACTCGCGTCATCGCAAATACTCTTTTTCCCCTTGCATTTTCCTGGTTCGTAAAGTTCAGTTAGCCGGTTCAACCCGTTTGTCTAAACACATCTCCACACGCTCCACATTCCCCAGTCCCTACATGTACTCAACATTCCCCGGGCAAAGCCATGGTCGGCCATTAGAGTGGTGGGCTTGGGAACGGAAGGCGAAGGGAAACTGAAAATCACGATATCGGAAGGCAGAATCGCCAATCGCACTATGATTGATTCGCGCATATCAACACTATAAGAGCGCACGTTGGCGAATCTCCCAACCGAACTGGTGCAGTGTTGCGGCCGATGCTACGAAAGGGCGAGCGCCTGACACTCCGATATTGATACAGGATGCTAATCAGACTCGGCATTGTCTCTCCTTCCCACAGGCAAATGAAGGGCTAATAGGGGCTAATAGGGTCATGGAAGTTCAGTTCGGATTTGATCATGTGGACGCGCTCAATTTGTCGTCGTGAAAGTCATGCTAAAACCTCTTAAACTCCTGACCAAGAGAGAAAACCCTGTTCCATGCCACTGTGATTTTTTCACCTCCAACCGGAGCCCCCAACATAATTTTATGAAAACACTTAGGCATCGCGGTACTCGGCGATCCTCTTCTGGACGCCCTCCTTGCGCTGCTCGTAAGTGAGCTTCTTGGCCTTGTACTTCTTGGACTCGGCCTTCCACTCCTCCCTGCTCTTCTTGGGGCCCTTGCTCTCGACCTTCTTGAAGGGGTCTTCGCGGATGGCCTTGTGGGCCTCAGTGTAGAGGTCCTCGATACCCTCGGCATCAATATCATCATCGATGTACTTCTGGAACTGGCTCTTGTAGCGCTCCTCATCGTCATCGGCGAGAGTCTCCATGTACTCAGCGACGTGACCGCCAAAGATGTACTTGCGGAGGACCTCAGCGTCGAGCTCCTTGCTCTCCATATCGTAACCGGGGAAACGCTTCTCGGAGTGGGGGACGAAGAGACCGCCATCGGAGGCACCCTTCATGGCACCGAAAACACGGGCACCAGTGGAAGTGCGGTGAAGACCGACATCGAGGAAGCACTTGAAAGGACGGCGCTCTCCATCATCAGTCTCGGCAGCCTCGGTGAGGGTGAACTCGCCATCGGCCTCCTCAACACCGGTGAAGGTCTCGTCGAGACCAACCTTCTTGAGAACGCGGCGAGCGATCAAGAGGCCAGTGGCGTAGGCAGCAGCCCAGTTGGTGAGACCATGCTCAATGCCGTAAGCAGGGAGCTCGTGGGAGTAGGCAGAGGCGAGGACCTTATCACCGGTGATCTCGGAAGAGACAACCTGGAGGATGATGTCGCGGTTGGTGAAGCGAACGACAAGTCGGTACTTGGGAGCACCGTACTTGTTCTTGGCCTGGGTGATAAGTCGCTTACGGGCGTAGTAGTCGGTCTTTCCTTGCCGTCTGCGCTTGTACTTGGTCTGGTAGCGGCTGTGGACAGAGAAAAAGAAATGATTAGCTTCTGAGATCATGGGGAACGATCCAAGGGCTCGCCACGCCATTGCGACGACTTTGATGCTGTCCCGCCTGTAGGGGAAACTCACCTGTAGTAAGCGCTGTTCTTCACCAACTTGTGGAAAGGCTATTCCAGAGAAAAAACACACGAGTCAGCAATTTGCGCTTCAGACATTTTGGATTACCCCCAATCCGAAGCATCTTGCAAAGACTCGACGAGGATATCCAATTCTCGAATTGTATAGAGGGTGCGATGAGGCATTTCTGCCAGGCCGCATTGCTTTCCTAGTCCGAAAACCAGGATCGCAATCATCATGAGCTTACCATTGTGACGGATTTGGCTGGCGGTTGCTCAGCTGTACTCTTGTCTTGTCGGTTTTGGATGTGTGAAGGTTGAGAATTCCCAGTTCCTCGAAATTTCTGTGGAGGGACCTATTTTCCCACACAATTGCCCTAAATTTTTGGTGGGGCTCTCAGAAGCTAGACAGGCACCACGGTCGGGGACGTGCACGTGACTCCTTGATTTGCTGCACCACATCACTGGTAGTGGAGGAGGAGTTCGAGTCCAAGTTGGCCAGGACTAGCACTGTCTCGGGTCAGTGGGGAAATTATCTTATCGATAAGGCCAGCCAGGGATTAGTTTGTAAGGGCGATGGAGGGGCAGAGATTGTTTGATTAGTCATCTCCCAGACCAAGACTCAGCTCGTCACAGAGGCTCCAATCGGGAAGATGCCGAGGCAGATCGAGAGCCGGAGTTAAGTGCAGTGTTCCTCGTTCCCCGGAAACGGCCCGGGGAACGCCCTATGAGGATGATAAAAGAATATAACTATTTGAGTGGCGTGTTTCGCTTCCTTCTAATTGTAGACCAGTACGACGTAATCCTCCCTCTAGACATCAATGAACCCTGACGACTACGCCAACGTCGACCAAGTTCTAGAGCTCGTGAACGCAGAGATGGCTGCCACCAAGAAGCCCAAGGTTCTCCTTTTCGATGTTGGTGGGGTTTGTGTAAGTGTTGGCTCACCAGGACAGGTCCCTTGATCTTCGAACTCCTCATGGGGATTACTCTGGGATTTTAAAGAAAACAAGGGCGTCGTACGTGAGCGATGGCTAAATGACGAACACAGGTTCTTTCTCCCTTCCAAGCCATCCTTGAGTATGAGCTTCAGCTTGGGATCCCCCGGGCTGGGTAAATTACTCCATCTCCAAGACCTCCCCCAACGGTTCCTGGCACCGCCTTGAGAGGGGCCACATAGCCATGGATGAGGCCTTCTTCGCCGGCTTCCAGGAGGATCTGCATGACCAGGGCAGATGGGAAGCGTTCTACCAGGCACAGCAAGCCAAGGACCCCAAGCTGCCGAAAGAGGTTCCTCCTTTGCCAAGTGTCGATTCTAACTGGCTATTCCACGAAATGATGTCTATTTCCAAGACTCCTGACCCGTGGATGTTCCCCGCGCTGCAGGCCCTCAAGGCCAGCGGCGAGTACATCATCGGCGCCCTCAGCAACACCGTCATCTTCCCACCCACCCACAAGGATTACAGAACCTTCTCCCAGGATCCCATCCGGACCACCTTTGACTTTTTTATCTCATCAGCCCACGTGGGTCTGAGAAAGCCCAGTCGCGAGATCTACGACCTCGCCCTCCGCACCGCCAACGAATTTGCGAGCAAGCAACGCGGGAGCGAGCGGTCGAAGAAATGGCGCTGGGAAGGAAATATTGAGGCTAGTGATGTGCTTTTCTTCGACGACATTGGCGAGAATCTCAAGGCCGCGAGCCAGTTTGGCTTCAATACCTTCAAGGTTAACCTTGGCAGGGCCTACGAGGCCGTTGATCAACTCGAGTCCGTGACAGGACTGAAGCTTGCCGGAGCCCATCCCAAGGTCCCCATGCAAATGAGGACAGGTCCTGTAAAAGCTAGGATATAACTCCCACCCACCCTTTCTCTTTATTCGTAAGCTTCCTGTTTCTTGGGTTGCAACTTATCCATCAATGGAATGCCTGTAAATATATATATATACCATTACAAAGTCACACGTACTACTATATTTCTTCTGGCTACGAGCGCTTTGCCGCTACAACATCCCCCAAGTCCCCATGCACACTATGTCGTCGAAGCCTAAGCCCCACGCAGAAGGGAGATTTCTTGTACGCATCGGAGCAAATAGACCCTAACCGTCTGTTCATTTTAGAATTATCAGAGTTTCATGTTGGCGCTTGGTGGAAGGGACTATTTTTGATGCTACTTGCATGCCTCTCCACAACTTTTGCTGAGAAAGAGTTTTAGTTCTGGATGTCGATGATCCAGAGGGTCTGCGCACTTTCTGCGCCTAGATCATTATTCTGCAGGGCCCTTCATAGGCAGTCAAGATGAAAGATGCGCTGCGTAATAAAGATAGAAAAAGGTTCGTTTAATTTTCTCATCATGCTCCGTAGTCGTAAATTCTCTATGGTCCCACCCTCCTGCACCAAACCCCGCCGACGTATAGCCCCCAGAAGTTTTCACCTTATCACGCTTTGGCACTGTACTTGGAGGCCGCCTTGTCAAACAGATCCGACTTCTCTTGAAGATCCGTTAGGAAGCTGTGCTTGGGATCAGCCTGGACAAGTTTCCTGTAGACGCCATCCTCGTTAGCCACGTTGTACGAAATAAAAGGGTTACACGGGTAGTCGTTGGTGCGTACTCTGTAATCTCCTTGGGATCCTTCCCAGATACAATGGCGAGAACGAGCAAATTGGCAATCGCGTCAGCGTACTTGGGATTCGACTTGACTGCCTGCTCGAGAGCGGATTCCGCCTCTTCGGTTCTGCCAAGGTGAAGCTCCGCCACAGCCTGGGAGACGAGGGATCTGGTTGAAGAAGTGGACGGCGCTTGCGCAAGTTCTTCGAATACGTAGAAGGCTTGCTGATACCTCTCTCCTCCCTAAAATGCGATGGGGTTAGTATGACAGGATTCTGCTTATGCATGACTTTGTTGCCCTTGCCAGGAGGCTAACGTACCAGCCTAAGACCGACCCAAGACTCGGCAAGATTCACCAAGAGACTATCTTGAGCCCACCTCCTTGCGCTTGTAACCTCCTTCAAGGCGAGATCGTTCCTATTCTGGGCGAGGTGGATCTGAACAATCGAAGCAGCGGCCTCCACTATAGGAACACAACGTACGGCATTAGCAAAGACCATCTCACGTATTGGAGCCTTTTTCGAGGTTGGGAAAAGCGTATCGCCTAGGAAACTTACGGTTACCCTCGTGCTTGCTCAGCAAGCTTAACGCATCCTCGCTCTTACCAGCCCTCTGCAGCACAATACCGCCAAGGACTTGCACCACCGGGTTGTCGCTCGACGACTCTACGAGCTTTTCCACAACTCCTACGGCTGCCTCGGTTTGGCCCAACTCATATGCGGCGAGCGCGCCGACGGCTGCTAGCTCCGGTTCCGCGGCGCCCTTGACTTCGGCAGCAACCTCGTCGACGGCGCCAATCCCGAGCTTGGCGCGCAGGATGAGGACCTGGGCGGCGGTTTGGTTTTCGGGAGATAGGGTGCTGGTATCGTAGTCGATCACGGCGTCATATTGGCCCTGGTAGAAGTGGTTTTGAATATTGATGAGCTCGCTCTCGGTCGAGTAAGGGTCCATGTTGGGCGGTGGGGGCGGGGCGGGAGGTTGTGTGAGGATATGACTGCGGGACGGCGTATAATCGTCAATTCTCTGCGTCTATGAGGCTATTTAGAGGTTGAGTTTCGGCAAGGCAAGCTTCAGAGTTGTTTGCTTGCACGAGGGCTCGGATGCGGATCGATGAGCTGGGAAAAGGGTGTGGTCTTGGAGGGGAGTTGGCCCTTTGCAAGCTGCGGTCGAAAAGGTCACAGTGTTTAATGGAGGATGTGGAATACCAGTGTGATTCCACTTTGCGCACGGTGACGTACCTGCTTGGGGTTGTGCCTCATTGCAGGAAGTATGGGTGAGCCAACTGTATAGGACAACGGTGATTGATATCGCATGCTGATTGATTGACTGTTTTTATTGTCTTCGTCTTCAAACCCAAGCGCTTTTACGACAGTAGATAGTCTTACAAGTAAGCAAAAGGAAGTGCATTCCATCCGGGTCCCATCCAAAGGCTAAAACAAAACATAAAGGCCAGTCAATGATGACGGACCAATCCACCCACCGAACTCCACCTCCGAAAGAAGGATATTGGTCGTCAGAGCCGCTCTGCGTCGCTGCAGCCTTCAAGCCGACATCTGCCCGCCTGCTTCTAGGCAGGAGAGGTATCCCTTATATGTAGTAATCAAACACGAAGTATTCCGTCAATGTATGCTGGTCGCTTATTTGAGGGGAGGGGGCCATTCTGGAGGCGGCTGGGAACGGCTTCCTAGCTCTCTTCCTCTGGATCCTCTAGAACACCTTCCGTTTCCTCTAGGCCTCGCAAAACCTCTTCAATGTCTTCTGGCGCTGTTATGGCCCAGACACCAGCACCCTTGACGACGTCCTTGCCTCGCAAGCCCACCTCTTTACCAACCAAGTTCCTGCCCACTTTCCCGGGGCCGATGCCGATCCATCGTCGCACGCGCGACTCTTGGTCTAGATACTTAATGCTGTCCCACCACCTCACCGTCTCCACAGTCTGCCTGGCTAACAGCTCCTGAACCTCTTGCTTGCTTCCAAAGGTCGAGCTGTGACGTTGCTGATGCACGGGATGGCTCCAGGGAATGTAACTATATCTTGACTTTCGTGCCCTGGTACGCGGCTCTTGGTTGTTAGCAGCCTCTGCATGACCGTCATGGCAGGCTGCATAATTGGGCAGTGGAAGGGGAGTCGCTGTTTAGTCGCACTGCACGGGGATCGTGGCCAAGGAATCTGCGGACATGAGCCACCAGGGTTCGGATTTTGTCGATGCTGCCGCTGAGGACGATCTGATTCTTTGAATTGATATTGGCAATCAGCACCTGCTCGCTCGGGACCACCTCCTCCCCCTTGCTCTAGCTGCCGCAGTGTCGGTCTGAACAAAGTCGTTCACGGCGTCGATGAGGCCAAGAAGATACTCCGGTTCCGTCACGATAGCGACCATGCCATACTCGCCGCCAAATCTCTCCTTTGCATTTTGCGTCGCCTTTTCCATGGCGATGGCGCGCTTGGTGCAGACATATAGACTGTCTTCGAACTCCATGTACCTCCCAGCTACAAGCGCCGCGAACTCGCCAAGGGAGTGGCCGAGCGTTACGTCAACCCGCGTGGGTATATCAAAGCCGAACTCTTTCTCAAGGACTTGGAGGATAAGGATCGAGGTGGCCATAATGGCAGGCTGAGCGTTCGACGTGGCCGTCAGGGTTTTATTCGTTCCGCTTTGTATTATTTCTGATAGTTTGTAACCCATCCAGTGGTCAATCTGTTCGACGAGAGGTTTTGTAGTGGCAGGGAAGGCTTCAAGCCATGGCGTGAGCATGCCTACTTTCTGAACACCTTGACCTGAGAGGGGCAGGCGGGGAGTAACAGCAACCCCCGGCGCGCATGTTAGTTATTGTGACAACTCCCGAGAATTGGGGCCAAATAGGAAAGGCAGGAGAAGGGCCCGGCGAGCGGCCGTGACATACCGGGAAAGAAGAGGGCCGTCCGCGGCCGCGGCCTCGGCGCTCCGCTAGCTGTCGACGCACTCCGTGATGTCGAGGGCACCTTGGTTGCGAATCTAGGTGCCGTTGCCCTCTTGGGCCTGTTGGGCAGGGAATCGGCGATTAGAGAGAGTCCGCGATCGCATCGGCCACCCAGCGGCGTGACGCTCCGCGCCAGCCAGCGCGAAGCCGGGTCCGGTCGAACCATTTGGCGATGTCAGCCAGAAATCGACCGAAAAAGCCCCGGCTTGTTAGCGCATTGGGCTCTTTTTCTTCTCAAAAAGAAAGATCCGCGGTGGAAAAGTGCAGGTATGGTCCTCGAGTAAAGAGTCGAGGTTGAAGTTAGGTTTGTTGCTAATGTGTTGGGCCAGGTGATGGCGTGTTCAAGCTTCGATGAAGTCAGATGGTGACACCGGACCTCGGATGGAGGGCAGGACCTAGCCCGTCGTTAATTCCAGTGCAGGGTCGAGGGTCGCCACTATAACCGGACTACGATTAAGCAGCAAAGCCCGTCAATCTGATCAGCCACCCGTGCACCGTGCGCCGAAGCCGATCTGATTGATTTGATTGCTTGATCTCACAATGGATGATCAATCCTGTGGGGAGTAGCGGCACTTGGCGGAATGATTCAACCCGAGAGAGGGGTGAGAGAGCGCTGTGAGAGAGCTCAAATGCTCAACTTGAAGGTGGGGGAAGGAGCCACTCTGGGGGCCCAGGAGCCAGCTCACTGTGCGTTACTAGGGGGCCTGCTTGATCCAGACTTGGTGGCCGCCCAATCCCCTAACAATTCAATAGCCGTGGTCCCATGAATGACCCCTCGTTGCACCAAAGAGGCCATGCGCCCACCCCGAATCCCGAAACCGCCCTTGACAAGCTTAGAGGGACGGAAATAACTCCTTTCCTCCTCGGAAATAAAAACCCCCAAAAATGAGCTAGCCCTCTGGCCGGTCTCTACTTAAGCTCGCCTTGTCAACGCGTTGATGCTATCGACGTTCAATCTCCGCCCGTGGCTATCGGCAATATAATTGATGCTGGAGCATCCTCGACGACCACTTGGATGGCACAATGGACAAAAACCCAAGAGCGAGGGACATCATGAAAGCGGGAATTCCGCAACTTCGGAACGTCCTCACATCCTTCGGAGACAGGTTTGCCCCCTTCCGAAATGCCGCTGGTTGTTCCGATGTGAAATTGCCCAGGGTCCACCGCAACGGCAGTTGGGCGAGGCATTATTTCAAGTGAGAACTACGCTAAATCCGCGTCCTTGACACCTCGAAACGATAAAAGGACGGCTGCACAGGCGGTTTGGATGTAATAGAACCCACAAGGTATCAGTTTGTAGGAAGGCCCACTAGTTCCTTCGGGTTCTGAAGCGGGAAAGAGAGGTATCGTCCGGTTTTCCGGGGCTGGAAGACACACATCTTTCCCACCTCTTGAAGAACCCGTTAGGCGCTATTGTTATTACTGTGGTTTCGGTACCGGCCAAGAACCCTGACGGTTACTTTGGGGGAGAACTCTCTTCCGTGTTTATTGTTCAACACCGAATCTCCACCCCACCTTTGCTAATAGTTAGATATTTGACCCCTTTGTAGGGCTTGACGCCTTCTCCAAGCCCCCTGCTCCGTCTCGCGTCTAGCATGATACTCTCCACCTTCAACCCGCTCGGTACCCAGCCCTTGACAGAGAAGCTGGCAGAGACTGAGCTCGGCATCAAAAGCTTATTTTGTGCGACCTTCTTAGCCTCATCTGCCTCCTTGACCCCTTGAGCCTTATCCCCTCATCCTTTTGGGCGCCTTGGTCCCTTTCTTTTCCTTCTTTGGAGTGGTCTGGGAGCCTTGATATGGTTCTTCGTATCCATAGTCCGCCAAGCCAGTACCGGGGATGCTATCATCCTCTCCGTCGTCATCCTCCTCAGAGACGGGCCCAACGACTGTACAACGAAGTGAAAAATGCGATGTTCCCATAGAGATTTCCTTTGCTGGCACCATCCACTCGAGGACACCATCCGCTGGGTTGAAAACGGCGTCTCCTCGGCTTGGCCGTATCTCTGGTAAATTTCGTACTTCTTTGGGCAGTGGTATCCTCACCACAAGGTCCTCCAGTAGAGGGGCGGAGGCTGTCCCTGAATGTGGGCCCCCAAACCCCCGGCTCCCTATCCCGCCACTCCCCGCGGCTCGCGGCTCCGGAGGACGAGGAGCCCGTACCAGTTACGCGGTTAGTTTGAACGCGCACTTCAAAGTCGCACCCAGTTCCACCAAGGCCAGTCTTGACCTCTATAGTGACGGGAAGCTTTAGGTTGCCAGAAGGCAGGCCGTCCGTAAATGGCAAGAGATTCACCTCGTATCCAGCTAGGATGAACCTACCATCAGGTGGAATAAAACTTAATTCCCCAGGCCTTTCTTTCCACTTGGCTAGTCGCACACAGGGATGGAATACGGGGAGCTCCAGGATGCTTCCGAGGTTGTGTCTGCCCGACGGACATGTTAGGTTTAGAGTGATGTCAGGGACTCCGGACACCTTGGAAGTGAAGGCTATGGTGCCATTGGCAAATGCGGCCAACGGCCGACCTGATGGTGCCAGGGTGACTGTGAGCGTTTCCACAACATCAGCGTAGAGTTCGTTTGACATGTGCCTGACATTGGCTCTCCTCCAAGGCAAGGCAGGTCCATTGAGGATGGATAAAGATGTCGTCGTCGGGTTCGCTGCAAACCCCGGTTTTCTAATGCGATGCGTGAGAGAGGTTAGATCACTACATCTCCAATAAGATGTAGGACAGGAGAAACATACCCGGGTAGGTTTATACTCCCCAGGAGTTTATCAACCCAGCCCTCAACCTCAACCAAGTCCCTCAGCGCATTGGGCTCCGTTGTGTTGACGGCCCCTGCGTCGCACATCTCAGTAAGGAGCTGGGCCACAACATCGTAATTTTGTTCGATCTTGCTGGATAGGAGCGGTGCGCCGAGGAACTCTTCGAATGCGTCGACAACGCGGTGGAGGAACTCGAGAACTAAGAGGGGCTCGATTTCGGAGGATGAGGTGGCGAGCAATAGAAGGTTCGCATGCGTGAAGCTGTATACTAGAGTCGGCGGGTTCGTATTGGGGAGATAGAGGACGTTGGGTCGTGGGGCGGGGTGGTCGAGGTAGAGGGGCAAGAGCTGGGTCGGAGATAATGGGCGGCCAGCGTAGGTGTGAGCGACGATGGCATGGCTAGTTTAGGTTAGGTCTCCGCGGCTATGGATCCGTTTTTTTGTTTTCTAATCCATGAGGGAAAGGACTTACTGGTGCTCATCAAAGATGTGCAAGGCTTCTATCACGCCGTTCATTTTGCCTCGTAGTGCTGCTGACCGTTGAGGCACTTGGAGGGGAGCTTGAACCTTGGGGCTGGCGCATGTACGTCGTCATCGAGGATGTGCGAGTTATGGTGGGGCAGTGGACGGAAGGCTTGGTCGCTGGCTGGCCAAGGCCCCTAATTCCCAATGTTCAAATTTGTGAGCCGGATTTTATTGATCGCTCCATCACAGCAGCGAATCAGACCATATCCCCTGGCGGCAGCTGTGAGCCACTGGGAGCGTTAATCAATCTTTGGCTCACCCAGACCACAGAAGGCGTGTCTGTGATCTGGAGATTTGCCACGCGACAAAGCCTCTCCAAATTCCCATCCTACAATCATCCACCGAAAAAGGGTGAAGTCCAAAAATTCGCCATGGCCCGAGACGAAGTAACGACATTGCAGAGCCTTGAGAAGCCCGAAGACCTCAACAAACTTCTGAGGCAAGATGCCAAGGAGGACTGTACAGCTTGTCGCGTTGTTGGTGAGTCGACCTCGCTGTCCCGGTTCCTTGCTACCTTCCTTGCGCCCACCATTCCTCCAAAGGGCACATGAGGGTAAACTCCGTGCATCACTAGCTAATATGCTTGAATATAGGCGGCGGTGCTTTTATAGGTCTCGCAGCCTTCAACTATGTCTCGGGACATGCTCAGCTCGAATCTCGACGTCAGGAGGTCCTCTTGAGTAAATCGATGTTTGGCATGCGGAGCAGGAAGGCTGGCATAACAATGCTGTCGCTCGGCCTTGCCTGGATGGGCATCTGGAGGCTTGTCAAGTAGACGACCTGCAAGCAAACGGTCCGACGACGGACGAACTGGCTCGTCGGAACCGGCGGAGTAAGAACACTCGCGAGGCCCCTCCCAACGATGGCCTTGCCGGACACGAAGATAAAGCGCGCTACACCTGCTGGTCGCTTGCGCCCCGGCCGGCGACTTGGAATCAAGTGCTACTATATTATGCGCAGATGCTGGCGAGCAATTGGCGGCTCTGCCTCTAAGCCGGCGCACCTTCGACAATGGGAGTCCCTATCCTCTTTAGGAAAGGCACACAGCTCCTCCAATGTGCAAACACCTGTAACAATTAGATGTCAAATACCCACTCAATAAAATGTAATATATATCTTGCTGTACGAGTTGTTGTTTTACGATCTATGGATCCAGTGTACGAATCCATATGAGTGTAGATATGATTGATGTCAATTGTTTGCGCGCGTTGTGGTGCTGCGCTTAGCGAAGAAATTATTCACACTCGCCTCTTGACTGCCCCACGACGGCTCACCTTCACCTCATCCCAAGCAAACTCAAAAATTGCATGAACCAAAAGTAAGGCCGTTTTTGATACCCCATCTACGCCCAGCAAACAAGCCACATAATAGCTACAGCAATTCAAACGATATCCCTCAGAGATCAGTTGAAACCTCGCAATCATCGAGTCCACTTCAATTCTTTCGCAAAGTGCTGCCACCGTCTCTCGCAGTGCGACGGGAGCCTTGGGCGTCGTCCCTCAACCCCACCACATTTACAGAAAAAAAAACAGTAGCTACCATGGCCATCACGATCCTCCAACCAAAACCCGCTGTCCCTCGCAGCCGGTCAGAAGATGCCGGCTCCGGCTCAGACTCAGAAGGCGGGATTGATCTGGACGGCGACGTCTCCATGGACGCTGGGGCGGCCCGCTACGCCGACATCGATCTCGTAACCCCCGGCGAACTCATCACCGATGATGCTCAATGGATGAGGTAGGTTTTGTTCACTTCACGAAACCCACCTCCTCAATTTCTTCTTTAAGTACCAGTTTTCGCGTAACCTCTTACTCACATTTTCTCCTCTTTCCTTTCCTCGTTCCAGAGGACACGGCACATACGTTCCCGTCGGGACCACAAACATCACATCGTCCGTCGCCGGTACCGTCACCAAGACGAACAAGCTCATCTCCGTACGGCCCCTACGCGCCCGCTACACCCCAGAGATCGGCGACCTCGTCGTCGGCCGCGTCACCGAGGTCCAGGCCCGCCGTTGGCGCGTAGACGTGGCCTCCTCCCAGCTCGCCATCCTGCAGCTCAGCGCCATCAACCTGCCCGGCGGCATCCAGCGCAAGCGCACCGAGACCGACGAGCTGCAGATCCGTTCCTTCTTCGCCGAGGGCGACCTCGTCGTCGCCGAGGTCCAGACCCTGCACGGGGACGGCGCCGCCGCCCTGCACACCCGCTCTTTGCGCTACGGCAAGCTACGCAACGGCATTTTCTCAGCCTCACCGGCGTAGGCGGCGGCGGCGGTGTCGTCAGGGCCAAGAGGCAAATCTGGACCATGGAGACCAAGTCGGGCAAGGTGGACGTCGTGCTCGGCGTCAACGGCTACATATGGATCTGCAAGCACATTGAGAACCAGAGTGCGGCGGATCTGGGCTCTTCGGGGCTGCACCGCCTGGAGGAGATGACGAGCCTCAACATGTACTCGAGCCAAAACGATCACATCGAGGTTGGAATGATGCGCGAGATAGCGAGGATACGCTGCGTTATCGTCGCGCTGGTAGAAAACGGTCTCAAAGTCGACGAGGCCATGGTGTGCCAGGGCTACGAGTTTGCTGTGGAAATGGCCAACGAGGATGTGGAGGATAGCATATACCTAGGGGGAGAAAGGAGAAAGACTAGCCGAGGAATTACGGAAGTGATAACTTGAAAGGTGGTGGGTAAAGGGTCAAAGAAACATAGTCAAAGCAGACAAAGGAATATATTCAGCCCATGACACTGCACTCAGCCCTGGTTGGGGTATGTGTGTTTGCGGTTCCAAAACGTAGAACGCTTGACCTATTAACCTGTGACGATATTCTCGCCATATAACAAAGGAAATTTCGAAGCATCGAGTGTTGAGACAAATGTGATTACAATCTTCCCTCCTCCGAGATCGTCAGGGGTACTGGCCCCCTGCAGTGATCTTACGGTCCGTTTTCTCCCAAGAACTAGCTTTCAAACCTGCCGCCCGCGATCCTAAAAACGTACATGCTGAATGAAGAAGTATCATACACGCGAGTTCTCGCCTCACCCCACCTCTTGTGTGTTCTGTGGTCTAGGTGGAGATACTAGGATCCTTCTTTTTGGTTCACAAAATAAGCCTCACTGTCTCAAAATTCACCCTCCGAGCGAATGCGACGGCCGAAACTAGTACCACGATCCACCTTAGCAACGCACCTTTGGCGCCAGTAGCACCCAGTCGAGTAATGAACCCAAGCCAGTACGACACCCCACGGACGACGTTGCCTTCGCGATCGAAGCCGAGATTCTTCCTTGGCGGGCGGGGCATCTGGTTGAGCTTCTTGAAGTTGTAGGGCATGTATCGCACTCGGAAGAGGCTGTCTGCCCATCCCGGTGTCTGAGCAATGGTGCGCGCGTGGCTAAAGGTGTCGAAGGACGCCTTTCCTCGGTAGGCACCCGTGCCAGACTGGCCGACACCACCAAAGGGAGCGGGGCTCATCGAGGCGTGCACAAAGGCGTCGTTGATGGAGGCACCGCCGGACGTGACTTGGTTGAGGACTGTGTGGCGGGCATGTTAGTAAACTCAATGAGCTAGGCCCCTTTGGCCATCTTTTTCAACGGACGGGACGGGACGGGACGGGGACTCACTTTGCTTGTTCTCCATGGAGCTTCCGAAAGCAGCGAGGGATAGGGGCGTCGAATAGACATCATTTGCGATAGAGATGGCCTCGTCGAGATCATCGACGGCGAGCAGGGAGAAGGCCGGGCCAAAGGTCTCGTCGACAATCATAGAGTCATCCTTGGACTCCACCAAGACGACAGTAGGCTCGATGTAAAGCTCGGCTTCATCCATCTCTCCACCAAGGACAATCTTGCCCTTGGATTCATCAATCATCTTCTTGATGCGCTGGAACTGCCTTTGGTTCACGACCCTACCGAAATCAGGGCTTGCTTTGGCTCCCTTCGGGAAGTAGGTCTGATAGGTTGCCTTGAGAGCCTCGATGAAGGCCGCGAGAACGCTGCGGTCGACGAGGACATAATTGGTAGAAATGCAGATCTGGCCAGCATTGAATACCTTGCCATAGAGAACGCGGCGCGCGGCGAGGGCGATATCCGAGTTCTTGGTGACGAAGGCAGGGTTTTGGCCGCCCAGCTCGAGGGTGACGGGGGTGAGGGTGTCGGCAGCCTTCCTAGTGATGATCTTGCCGATGCGGTTGCTTCCGGTGTAAAGATCTTGTCCCACCTCTGGTCAAGGAGGGCCGTGGTCTCGTCGATGGCACCGTTGACGACGGTGTACGCATCGGGATCGAGGTAGTTCTCGAACAAGGTCTTCAGAACGGTGGCAGTGGCAGGTGAGCTCTCTGAGGGCTTCAAAACTACAGTGTTGCCGGCAGCAATGGCGCCAACGCAAGGCCCGAGGGACAACTGTACGGGGAAGTTGTACGCGCCAATGACCAAGCAGGTGCCAAGGGGCTCCTTTCGGATACGGTGGTTCAAGATGAAGAAGGCGGGGTTCATGCCGGAGACGCGCTCCTCCTTGACCCATTTCTCAAGGTTGTTAAGACAGAACCGAAGGTCCTCGAGGATGAAGTCGAGCTCGGTAAGCTCGGCCTCGAAGGCGGACATGCCCAGGTCGCGGTTGAGGGCCTCGATGAACTGGGCCTGGAGATCCACGATTCCCCAGTAGAGTTTTCGCAATTGCTTCAATCGGTACTGGACATCCTTTGTCTTGTGCGACCTGAAGGTGGCGCGGACTCCGTCCACAATGGCCGGGATGGAGCTAGCAGGAGTATGGCTAAACTCGCCAATGTCAATCTTGGTTGAAGCCATGTTGATGTGTTATTTTCGGATATCGCAAACAGTTTGAGAGAGAAAGCGCAGAGTTTAAAGCTGATGAAAGGCTCTGATCTGAAGCTACACGGAGCAGGGGTGCAGAGGCAAGAAGCAATGTGAAGCTTCAAGGGTTCGTGCACAGAAACGAGATTTCGCTCGTGGGACCTGCGGGGGAGAGGTTAAATAATAACCAGGATGGAGAGAGGAGGACAATTATATAGTAGGCGGCCAGTCCGGGGATTTGTGAGCACTTGAGGGGGGCGCATGAATCTTGGAGAAAGGAAAGATCTTGAGGTCGGACAGTCGGAACAAGTATGAGCTCCGTTTTAGGGGTTAGCACGCTTTGGGGGAAGGTGCTAGGTCCCCGCTCTTGGATGTCACATCGAAAGCTGGGGTCGGTGATACGTGCCGAGGTGCAATTGATGAGTCCGGAGCTTGAAGACGCAAGGCGCAAGGCGCTCACCGAGATCAGAAATCAGAACACGTACAATGCGCCCTTATTACTTGGGTGATGTAGCAAGTGGCAATCTTGAGTCATGGCATTTGTCAACCCATCATTGACACCGCCGCCCTTTTTTCATTTCAATGCACTCGGCGACCAGCGTCCTAGATGATGAAGATGTTATGTCCAACGACTGATCTAACCGAAGACAAATCCATACGGCTGTATTAAGCTCCAGTGCTAAATTTACAGAGAAAGCCCCGCCCGAGCTGCTGGAGAAGTATTCCAGCTTGCTGGAGGATGAGGGAAGCTTGAGGCGGCACTCCTCTCTGATCATATCAAATGTGGCGTTTTCCACACATGAGACCCACTGTCATGGATACAGGAGAATGCACAACATTGGATCGCCTAGAGCACAAGGTGTACGGCATGGGCTTGGAAAGCAGGACATCTCTTGATGAATCGACGTGCAACCAATGAAGCCATGGATCTATGGATCTATGGATGAGCTGGCATAGCGAGGTTCGGGGGAGACGCGCGAGATTAACCCCGCCCCAAAATGTTCATATGTCCGTCCGCAGAGTCCGGAGTCGCATGTGAAAGCGATTGCGACCCGGCCAATAAACGACTGCTTGCGAGGACAGTCAGCCATGACCACCAGATCACACATCAATTGATCCGTTGTTGCTGAGAAATGCGGACAGGTCCGTCCCGACCATACCACACCAGTGATGCCTTTTGTCGATTTCTAATCCGCACGTATTAAAAGCGGCGAACTTTCATCTAAAGCTCTGATTGCTCTTGTTTTATTATCTTCTTGATCCTCTCGGTTTGACCGATGCTAGGACCTGTTTCTGGAATGAGGCGATAGCTTCCGCTGCTGCCTCCTTCCGAAGAAGGATACAATGCATGCCTATTTGGATTCTTCAAGATACGAACCCCGAAGAAATGTCGCGTAGCACAGTTCTCGGGCCTGGGCAAACACTGAACCTTCGGCGGTGTTTGCCTCCTTGACTCTGAGCTAGCTGCGAAGGCCTCCCATCAGTGTGTCACCCACTAAAGATGGAACCTTTCATGAGGGCAGAAATTCGCGGGTCGAGTTTAGCTGTGATCTGTGCGTTCAGGAGGATACTAAATATAAATCTCCAAGTTTGGGGGTTTTCACCATATAGGTCGATGCATGGTTGGGTTTGATGTATTGATGTTGACCTGGGTTGAGAGGTGTTTGAATGGTGCAGTGCAGTTAATTCTGAGCTCTGACAGGGGAGTGACATCATCACTTTTGCGGCGCCCTGACGCGTTTTCTCTGAGGCGGAGTCCCAAGACCACGCACGCAACACGAGCCACTGCAAGCGTCGAGGCACAAGAAGGTCAAGGCTGCCTTCTTGACTTCTAGCTTGAAACGGAAACAGGGCCAGGCCCATCCCCTCCCCTTCATGGATCTCCACGATCAACAACTGAATAAGGAGAAAAGGAACACAAAACTAAGCCTCCTAGTTCACCCTCGCCTCGCTCAACCGCCCTAGCTGAAAACCAAAGCCCTCCCACTTGCGTACAAGGGAGCTGCGCAAGCACCAAGAACGAATTAGATTTGGCGGGGTCAAAACCGCCCGCTCTCACGCATTGGGCTTGACTGGGCTTTCTTTTCTTTTTTTCTTTTATCTTTTTCTCCCCTTTGGAATCAGCTTTGTCTTTGCCAAGTCCAGAAAAATCGCGTGCTCATTCGAAAGGTCTTGGCTGCCTTCAAAAGCCTCTTGCTTTTCCACTCCGACCTGTCCTGCCTTTTCCTACTTGTATCAAGGTCGAGTCCATCGTTCCTGCCAATCGCCTGACACCCACCCAAGGGCCCGCAACTTGAACACACTTCGCAACGTTTCTCGAGCTACACCCATTTACTACATCTCTTGCGTTGTATTGCGAAACTAACACTCGACGAGGCGGAACCCAATATTTTAGTCGAACGCCTCACATCCCCGTCTCCAATATCCCTGCCCCGCCATCGGCGCGCAACCATGTATTGACGTCAACCCTTTGCCTTGCCACTTCATATTCGCATCACTCTTCCTCGTCGCCTTTCGTCCCTCGTCACAGCAGGTATTAGACGCACATACCGTTTTGCTTGATATAGGTACCAGGAGAGCAAGATGTCTGTCAGGATCGTTCTTGACAACCCTCCCCCGTTCTATACGAATCTCGACCCCGTCGTCGGCCGCGTCATAGTCCACCTCCAGCGCACGGAACAGATCGGTACGATTGTCGTAAAGCTCGAGGGCGAGGCCAAGACGGCGCTCGTGCCCCAGATCGACCCCCACACCGGAAGCTCGACCGGCGGTCCTGTTGCCACCGAAACCCACAAAATCCTCTACCGCATCCAACAAGTTTTCCCCGACGAAAACAACATCTCCTCCTCCTTTGTCCTCCGACCCGGCACCCACCAGTTTCCCTTCAAATTCAAGCTCCCATTTAACAATGTGTGCAGCGATATCGTCACCATGTCCAAGATGGGCGGCCTCGGTGGCGTGGGCGGCTTCGGTGCGGGCGGCGGGGGCCTCTTCGGCTCCGGAATCCGCGTCATGGATGGGAGCACCCAAATCTTCCTACACCACGTAAAGAGGACCTTGCCGCCGTCGCTTACGGGGTTTCCCGGCATGGCCGAGATTCGTTACTTTATCAAGGCAACGGTCCAGCGGCCGGGCATCCTGCGGGAAAACTGGCGGTCCCATATCGGCTTTCGGTTCATGCCCATCGAGGAGCCTCGCCCCCCAACCCCCGGCCAAGGCCTTTGCCAAACGGCCCTTCACCTTCAGGCCCTTGTCCCCGACTTTACCGGAGGCTAAGAAGTACTCGTTTTTGGTAAACCCAAGGCCGAAGAACCGAATGGAACGCTAGTGCCGCCCTCTGTCGAGATGTGTGCCTGGCTACCTCATCCATGCATACTAACGTGCAACTCCCCCTGCCCCTTCAAGTGCTAGCCACAAAGAAGATGCCCTCCACGCAGGCCGTTTTCCTCGTCGCAGTCCAGATCGAGCTCGTGGGCACGACAAGGATACGGTGCTACGACATGGTCGAAACCGTGGTGAATAAATTCGTCGTCGTCAGCAACGCGAACCTGCACATACCCCTTACCAAAGGCCCCGATGACGATGTAGGGACCGAGGTCGAGGTGCCCAACGACATATGGCGCAACATCCCTCTGCCCAACACCGTCTGCCCGACCTTTAGCACGTGCAACCTCTCCCGAAGCTACGCGCTCGACATCAAGCTCGGCCTCGCCTGGGAAACGCTAGGAAGCAAGGGCAAGCTAGCCAACGGATCCGTCTCGACCCCCGCAGGCCATCTACCTGCCCCTCCACTTCTCCGACGTCAAGGTGTACTCGGGTATCGCTCCGCCCCCGAAGTTCTCAGCGCGGTGCAGAACCGCCCGCCGGGCAAGCAACAGGCCTCGGCGGGGCCGGCCCCTACGCCCGGAAAGACATCGGTGGCAGCGGGTACGCCCACGTCCCCGTCAGCACCGGCGGTTGTGGAGCGCCCACCCCATCTGCCTCCCAGAGTCAACTCGAACCAGAGCAACGCACCCCTTCGACCGGGAGCAGGCCAGCCCTCCTCCGCGGCCGCTGCTCCGGCGCCCCCTACGATCCTCTGTATCCCCGCAACTCGGTACGGTGGGAGCCCACCCTACGACGACGCGCCGCCAAGCTATGATGAGGCGATGGCTTCAGAGGCTACTGGGCCGATGGAGAGGCCGGCGTTTAGTGGTGTCACTACAGATGTTGATGGGCCGAGCCAAATCCCTAATAAGGGGCGGTAAGGGAACCAGACGTTCCCGTTTAGAACTACGACGTGCCCACGGCCCATTGCTCCGTCTTTTCATTTTTCCCTTTCCCTTCTTCAATCCCTATTCCTTCATGATGGCTTTTATTTTCCTTCTTCGTTGTTCTCAGAGTTCTAATACTTGCCTCATTCCCTTGCCGGATGGGTTTGAGAGGAGCTGTCATCTTCTCTCCGTCTACTTACGATATGATATACCTGACACTGCGTAAAAGGATTGCGAGTTGTTTTTGTTACCCGTGTGTGGCCATACGCACTGCATTTTACCTGGATATGGAGTTGGAAAGCATTTTATATTCTCTAGAAATGGCTGCTGTGGGGATTCGCGCTATGATAGTAATACATGAGCTCCTTTTCTTACACATGACTTTTTCTTGTTTCAGCCGGCCCATACGCAATTTTCCGATGGGTATCCAGTGAGATAGATAATTTCGAAACCACAATATACAAACTGAATGGTCCTCGGCGAAACGTAATTACAGTCCTTCTTTTGCGAGCATATCAGCAATACCAAGGTAGAAAGCTATGGCATTGAACCGGCGCTCCATACCCATCCAGCCCTTCACGGTCCAGGCGATGTTGTTGGACCAGTTGATGAGGTCAAGATGGCTCACGTCCATGAGCGTACCTTCGTAGGTTCCCCAGCGACTGCTCTCCACGCTCACGAGGCCATCGTTGGGACCCTCTTCCTCCCGGAGCAGATCAAAAGACCACCGGAAGGGGTTCATGAGGGATGGCGGCTCCATAGAGGCGCCGTAAGAAAAGTAACGTACCCTCCACGTCACGAACGATGGGATTGAACTCTTCAGACATGTAACGTCTGGTGAGCTGCTCTACGCCTGTCATCTCTAGGCCGACACGGCCGAGGAGCCTGGTCGCGCGCTCCAGGCCTCTCTCGCCGCCTAAGCCATCGAGAACGCGGTCCGCAATGATGGATCCTCGGTGAGGAGTAGCAATGGTTACGAGAGAGGCAACGCGGACGTTAGAGGGCGCAAGGCAAGAGAGCATATAGCGAGCATCTAGGCCGCCCATGGAATGAGCAACGATGTTGACTGGGGTATCAGGGCAAAGAGAGGCAATTTGGGTTGCTAGGGCGGCAGCACGCTCGGATATGGAAGAAGTAGGGGGACAGAGGTAGTATGGTGAACGACGGAGTGGGCGGTTAGAGCCGGGGATATGCCGGAGAAGTATGTATAAGGAAGAGGTAGGGAGAGAAGGGAGAGTTGAGAGAAGCCGAGGAGGCCATGGGCAAGGATGAGAGGGTTACGAGGAGGGGCTGTTTCATTCCGAGCAGGCCAAGCCGAAAGATGTAGTAGTTAGCAAGAAGAAAATGCAGGAGGACAGAGAAAGGGGGAGTAGGGGGAGTAGGGGATAGTGGGGTGGATGATGGCGACATGGGACTCCAGGGAAGCGAGGTCAAGCGGGCCCGAGGGAGATAAATGAGAAGGGTTGGTGATAGGATAGAGGTGGGCATAGGCACGAGGTGGGAGAGAAATGTGAAAAAGTACTTCTGGTCGAGAGGAGACATACCATACTCCTTCTTGAGCTCGGAGAACTCGTCGAGCAGCTCTCTCCCCAAATTCCGGGGTCCTGGCGCTTGTAGGGCCGCGACGTGGAAAACCGTCGCGTCTGGTGGTTGAGTCGAAGGGGAGAACAAGGCACATGGGGGCGCCCCGGCCTCGGGTGGTGGTCTGAGGGCGGGGATGGTGTGGGCGTGAGCAGAGGAATAAGCGCGGAGCGGAAGCTGTGAGCTTGGCAGAGTCCGAGATACGTGACGCTGCCAGGGGCACAGGCGCGGGTGTAGGTGGAGGTGTAGGGCCATGGGATCTGAGGGTTCGGGACCCGGGCAAGGGGAGTTAGGAGCTCGTCAGATACCGTTTTCAAAGTTGCGTTCCGCGTGTTTCCCTGGTAGTTTCCCCTCCATCCCTGTTATCCGTATTCGAGCAGTCTTTGTTTCTTTTGCGACAAAAGGCTTTGCTTCAAGCGCGAGAAGTGCCGGGGGTTTGTTGTTCCGAAGGTGCTGAGAACGCTGGCAACTCAATCACTGCATGCGCGAGGGTTCCTCTCAGGTGGCGGTAGAGTGCACGGATTCTATCTAAGAGGTGCGTAAAATTGCGATGGAGAGCAAGGAAGTTTCAATTTGGATGCCAATGTTTGGAGAAGGGATGGGGGTTTCTTGGAAAGGGCCGCGAATGAATGTGGTGGGAGGATCGTGGCGGCAGTCAATGATATCATCAAACTGAGGGAGAAATCGTGGCTGTATTCGTTCCTGTTTCCTGCTTGCTGGCTCTCTGGCTGTCTCGACTGCGTATGGTGGGGGTGGGGAGGCGGGTACCTAGTGCCTCCCTGTCTTTGAGTCGCATCAATGGAGAATTTGATGTAGGTCAATGCTTGAATCACCTGTGATTGCCTGCGATCCCTGAAAACAACAGGGGCAGAATGTTGGAACCGTCAATTGATGGAACCATTGCTTGCCCAATTCATGTGCTTAGCCGAGCCAGTCGAGAGTTCACGGTTCATCTGTTGGTCTAGCCCGGCTTCCTCGAAAATATTGAACCATGAAAAGGGCCAAGGATTGTATTGCAATGGGAGATGGATTTGGTGTGGCTGGATTGATAGAGACGGATGACGACGAATCTGGACGAATGTGGTGGAGGGGACGAATAATGGAGTCTCACGGTAGTTGAGGGCCCTAACTTACTTGGGCGAAGTGCGTAGTGGCCACCTTGGATGGACAGGGACTTCAACGGTCGGCCCGCGCCTTCCCATCGGATCAATTGATGATCCCCCAAATGGGGAAATCGACCATTGGCATCTAGTTCGTACCTCAGTACACTTGTTGATTCTATTGTATTATATTCCAAGATACGCCTAATGTTCTGGTATGTCGAGTATCAAGACGATAGCAAGTTTTTGGACGCCAAGGATAAAGATAATTGAATGGTGCTGGTCCATCAAGCCATCCATTCCCCATGGACGTGCAAGCCACGGTACTGTGCATCAAAGGCACCCTCCACAACACAATCACCAACAGCGCCGTGATATCTGTACTAGGGCTGGGCCGGGAAGGTGACAATGTTGACACCACGGAGATCCAACCAACACCTTTCTCCATCGACAATCCGACTCTGCGTGCACCAACACAACACCCACCTGGCGGATACTACATTGACCCAGTGGATTGTGTCTTCGACGGTACATGTTCAAGAAAAGCGTCAAACCAACAGACGGCATACACTTGACAGCCATTCTAACGATACCTGCACTAATTTATTTCATGTTTCTTTGAGAATACCGGTCATTGCCACATTCCACGTAAGTCGGTTAATACTGCCCTGTTGTGTTGGTAGGGCTACATTCATCAGACAGGACCGGGGCCGATACAGCAATACATCGCGATACACACTCACCTAGAATGTCAACTACCACGCACAGCCACATCATGAGAGTGAACAGCTCGTTGGGTATTTCCGTTTTCGAAGGGATCCTAGGATGGGCTCCGGTGGGTAGAGGGTTCTTTGATAACTGCTTTACTGGGAGAACGATAGGCCAGCGATAAATGGACTGACCGACCTGCCTCAAAGCTTTAATGGAGGGCGACGTGAATATGCTCAAGGGCGGCGGAAAAGGACGGCACCTCTTCGGTGCATGGAATATAGTATGGATAAAGATGGGGAAAATGGGCTTGAAGGCGGATGCAACATCCGTCAACCTAACTCTCTTGAGAAAAGACTGGCACCATGTCGAAAGCGCGGCACATAGTCGCGGGCTGTCCAGGACGAGTAGCCGGGCTATGCTAGCTTCCCTCGCTTAAGCCGTCCGTTTTCTCGCAACGGGCAGAGTCGACACTTCCTGCCCGCTCTAGCATCTGTCAGATATCGACCGCCGACTGAACGATGAGTCCTGATCGCCTTTCGGAGTAAGATCTCTTGCACTCGCAGAGTATCATCTAACACGACACTCAAGACCCCGGTCGTGTGTTGGTTGTGCTCTTTGCAGCGCAGGGTTTCCGGCACCCTGTCATTGGGCACGACTCCTCACCTACATGTTTGCATGCCACTTGTTTCCTCCTCGTGCATGGGCTAAATTCCTACTGGCTGCCTAACCGCGCTGTCCAGTCTCTCTCAGCGCTGAATGGCTAGTTCTTTATTGCAAGCGGCTGAACCAGTCCCTCGGTTCACCTCCGTCCTCTTCCCACCGGTCAGTCTCGTCCCTTCTTCTCTCGCTTCACTCGCGTCTCTCCCTCCGCCCTCACCGTTTTGATTAATTCCACTTGCACCACGACGTGGACGCGACGTATCATTTGCTCCTGTGGGGTATGGTGTTGGGGACAGTTCCGGCCACCCATACCTTGGAATGGCATTTGCTTCCCATCCTTTGTCTTTTTCCTTTCCTCTTTCTTTCGGCCTTTCTGAAGAGATGGGGGTAGAGTCCATGAGAAAGTCTGGGTGCTGTGCTGATCGCCCCCGTTCGGCCCCCTTTCCGGAGTAGATGCTGCCTGGTGATCCGTCCTTGTTCAGGGGGCGAGGGGGACAGTGTCTCATTGCATGACTGTCGCTTCCCCTCCCGCAGCCACCAACCGCCTTTGAGCAGAGCTCGTAAAGTGCTAAACGATAGCTTTCCGCCGTAAAGTGAGGGAAATGTCGGCAAAGTAGCAACCGCCTCTCATAATGTATGGCTTGAACGGCGTCGGTCAACCACTCTGCTCTTTCCCCGCGCGCCCATGGGAGTACTCTGAGCTACTTGTAGTGGCGCTTGTCGGTTGAGCATGCCCACGATGGCCCGCGAGACAATCCTGGTGGCCAACTGATACCCGGCCAGGCCTTTCTGCTTCGAGGCCTAGATATCATGAATGCCTGTCCAGGGCATTATCTGCCGGTCAACTCGAACGAGACAAGTCCGCACTGCTCTCATTAAATCCACCCTATTGAGTCGCCATACCAAACGACCAGCTTAGCGAACGCCGACTTTGGGGTTGGGGGCGTGGGGCGGCAGTGTGTCCTCTTGGCTTTAGCCCTTTTCGTGGTTGAATGGGGGCCGTGGCTTGGGAAACCCTGCCCCGGCCGCCGGAGCGACCAAGTTAATCTAGACATCTGCCCATGGGACAAAGCGTCTCGGTGCTTGTGCTTGTGCAGCTGTACTCGAGCGAGGTATCTCCCGCTTGATACCGACTTGCCATTGACGGGAAACAGGATGGCGTTTCCAGGTGCAGAAGGTACCGTCTGGCCTTTTGGTTGCCATCGTCTGCCACTCTTGTTTATACATGTATTTCTATTGAACCCCTCGAGCAACACAGCCATATTTTCCCTCCCCGGAGGGCCGCGGTCCCAAGTTCTCGGGTCACCGCCGGCTATCTACTGCCTTGTTCTTCTACTTCCTTCCTTTGTCCGTGACCCCCATTCGCTCAGGTTAATAGAGCTGGCATGCAGGGCGGCGCATGAACCTTGCTGTTTCCCTTGGAGCAGGCAACATACGCAGGCGAAATCCCCCGTTCTGTGTCACCATACTTCCTCGCCCCCCTCTTCCTCCGGGGCGTGCTTGGCTCCTCTTTCGCCGGAGTCGAGCGGACCGTTTGTGAATATATCATGTTCCCCCCAGCCTTCCCGTCCCCCCCGAGGCCCATCCATGTGTCTTTCCACTTGTTGCTTCATTCTCTCGAGATCCGGCCCTGTCCTTATGCAACACCTGTTGTTGTGCTCCAGGGAATGCCTAATCCCTTTACGGCCTCGGCGAGCTCAAGAATTCCAAACGAGAGAAAATGGCCGGCCCTTATGAGGGAGAGCGCTTGTACCAGACTTCAATTGCCGGCAACGCCGTCATCATAGCTACCTTTGCCGCTCTCCTACCTGCGGTCTTAGTCCTTGGCTACCGCTACCGCACCGTCGCCTTCACAGTTACCCTCACGACGGGCATCATTCTCGAGATACTAGGTTTCGCGGGAAGGCTCCTGCTGAATAGCAGAGAAGGCAACCGGTCCTTCTTCACGCTCTATTTCCTTGGGACCATCCTCGGCCCGTCCTTTATCGCGTCGGCCATCTTCTCCGTTCTGCCTCACTTGCTCCTCATCTACCACAATGGCATCTCGCCGCTGAAGAGCGGCCATGTTGGCTTGGTATTTATATCACTTGTTCTCCTGAACGTGCTCTTGGAGGTTGTGGGTGCCATCTTTACCGTCTTTGGTGCTACCGAAGAAATTGTAAGTGTGACTCGTGAGAGTCGATCCCGCCAACCTCATCGACAACTCTTGTCGGCTAACACGCATTACCCTTTTTCCTTTCTCTCGACTAGCGCCACCAAAGTACTCGAGTTCTCCTCGCCGGACTAGTCGTCCTAATCGCCAGTCTCCTCCTTTGCGCTGGTATCCAGTTGTGGTTGGTTTTCAAGGCCAGATCCTCCGGGGTAAGCGTCGACGCTCAACACGTCGCCGTCTACAGCTCGGCTAGGTTCAAGAGGTTTTTACTTGGTAAGTTGTAACAATCGCTCCTGAGAAACTCATTACTCCCTATCAAAAACTCCCGTCTAACCGTCTTCCCTCCTTTCTTCGTCTATAGTTCTACAAATCGCAACCGCTCTCATCTTCGCCACCACCACCGCCCGTGTCACCGAGGCGGCTCGCGACAACGGGCCCATCATATCGAGCGACACGGCAGCCACAATTCTTTACGGTGCACTCCCTCTCCTCGCTTGCGTCCTCGTCACGATTTTCCACCCAAGCTACGCGTTTGGGCCTGCCTGGGCTAGGACGGCGCCACAATATGTCTCTCGACTTGCTTCCAACGCAGAGGGGCATCAAGGGAGCGGCACTACGCCTACCCTTCGAGAGCGGAGGCTTGAGTCTAACCCACATGCCCGCTTCAGCGTCCGAAAGGTCGCGCCTATGCCTCTCTCCGCTGGCACGTCTAACCCGTATGAGCTGTACAGCAGCGGCCCCAGCCCTGGATTCCCGTCTCCGGGAAGCAACGGGCAGCTGTCGCCGGCAAGCAATGATGGATATCCCTCGCCTCGAAGCCAAATCAGTGGATATCCTTCCCCGCTAAGGGCGTCCTATACCAGCAAGTCGCCAAAGAGGTTCTCCTACTCGAGCCGGTCGCCGGGACATTCGCCTAGGAAGCCCCCGGAGAATCGGCTTGTCGACGACGATGCCCTGTGGTAGGGCTCTACCTCTGACGGCTCTCTCTCCTTTCTTATGAGTGCCACCTTGCTTCCTGGTGATCGCCTGCCCTCACCTATGCACCCAGCCACTAATACGCGAGCGTGTTAGCCTAGGGGCTATTATTTTCCTCCCTTCTCTTCTATCGGGATTTTCTTCACAGGATTCCGGTCGCCTGCCTGGCGTTATTCTTCTTTTTGCTTTGGGACTTTTTTCGTTTCTTTCTTATGTACGGCGTTTGCGATAATACCTTCAAAGCCCCTCCTGGACAGACGGAATGGATAGATGATTTTCAGTTACGAGTGCCAATGACTTCTCTTTTACTCTTTCTTTTTTTTTCCGGGTAGTAAATTAGGTCCAAAGCCAAGCTGGGGCATATCCTGTCGTTTCCTTCTTCTCTTCTCTTCGGATAACTTCTTTCTTTAGATTGACCTTCATGGGAGTCTCGATCAGAGATATGGGTGGTAGCTATCTTTCTCAAAATAGAGCCTTTCTTCACAATGACCCCATTGCCTCTCTTTCAGCTTTACTCCCCTTCCGGGCAACCATTGTAACAAGACGCGCGAGGCTCTTGGTTCCGTTTTCAGCTGCTCCCCATCCCACCACAAGGCTTCCGGGGTCTATGGCTTCAAACGGAATTTCATTTGTAATGGAATGACGATGTGCAGCGGCCACATCGCACAGCAGGACGCCACAAAGGCGTTCATGGGTGAATCGGCGACCAGGCCAAGATCCCGGCCCCTGGATCAAGAATTGATTGGTCCGTCCCTCGATGCGCTCAAGTCTTTATTGAGCACCGGATTGGGACGTTGTGGCGTTGCGATGTTCATTGTTCTGTCCCCCTCCGGTGATGAATGGACAAGCTGGTGCGCATTGCGACCAGGAAACAAAGACGGTTTAGAAAGCGGAGAGTACTAAAGAAACGAAGGTGTGCATGCGGCGGTACCGCTCACTTGGTGGAATCCCAGATGTTGTTCGCATTCCAGTGAAGCGCCGACCTTGCCTTGATAGACGCCGAGTGTACGTTTACGCCTCCTTCTGTTTCTTTTCACTGGAGTGTATGAGTAGACCCAACACATTCGTCGCATCCGGGAGAATTGAACGCAGGCAAGATCAAGAGAAACGTGACATGCCGACAACCCCTGCATCATCACCACCACAGCCCTTGGAATCCAGTCAAACGCCGGTTACTGACGTCTTTCGGCAGAACATGGAGACTGCAATCCGACTGCTCACCCAGACCCCTTCCTCGCAAAAGAACTTGATAGCGGCGCTCGAGGCCGTGGATGTAGCGGCAGAAGTCGCGAGGGAGCTCGCCCGAGACGACTGGCTATTCCGGGCGCTAGTGGTCAGAGGTAACTGTTTTCAGGCCCTGGGTTGCGCCGGTGCAGCTTCGAGGTGCCATGTGCTTGCTGTTGCACTCAGAGACGAGCTAGGTCTTGCTGAACCAATCGAGACGCCAGAGAGCTGGGCTTCTTTACTCCCGGGTGGCTCACTCTCGTGACTAATATGAATATGGGGGAGCGCAACGGGACGAAGAAGAATGTGCGTGGTTGCCATTCCCCTTGTGCCTCAGTGCACGTCTTGACCGCGCCGAAAACGTCTCTTTCTTTTCCCTCCTCTTCTGGTCCTTGTCTACTTAGGAACAGGGCTCGGGGCATGGGCTAATCTTGAAAAATCTCTGACGACTGGCTGTCAAACTTCTTTGATTGTTGAAAGGTGCATATATCCCGGCGCGCACAATCTTGGGGAAACGTAGAGTTCCATAGCTGGGGGAATTTTATTCTTCGGCATTCCGTGAATCTCTTTGCGCACCGAATCCAAGGATAATAGATAGAGAGGACAGTTAGTACTTCGTGAAACTTTAAACATCTCCCTCGCACAATGTCTCCTCTTATTGCTTTCTTCTTTTCTCCTACTCTGCGTGACTTACAAGTGACCTTTCAGCATTTTCTATTAGAGGCCTCGGAGATCGCCACGCGAGGAACTGAACAACAATACGGTCAGCAAACTTCGACAGGACTCCAGTCAGTATCTCTTTTCTCTAAATATGGGTAGGAGAGATCCACCGGGTTTTCTTTCGCCCGACTATAACAGGCCCTCCCCTAAGCGGAGGCTGAGCTCGCCACTATCGCCTCGCACACGACGATCGCCCGGACACCATGGCACTACGCGGCCATCTGCACCAGAAAACACGCAGAACCCATTGGCAACCTCGGAAGGGCAAACGCAAGGCGGCTACTACTCGGCCTTTGGCTCGCTGAATACCGCTGCAGGCGACCTGCCATGGACCACAATACCGACTCAGGAACAGATAGACGAGTGGAAGGAGCTCCCTAATCCCTTTGTCATTGACGAGGACACTATCGTGGATGATGAAAAGTATGAGAATATATGGGAAGCCGAAGAGGATCGGAGCGAGGAGCAGGAGATATCAGAGCCAGGGTCGCCGCGGCCCAATCCCCACCCTCCGACTAGGATTTTCAAGACAGAGAAGCTTCTGAAGGAGCTACAAAAGACCTCAGCTAGCGATTCCGCGTTTATTCTTGAAACGGGAAGGCTTATCGACTACGTACTGCATGGGGACATCAAAGCTGGGGAAATCACCGAGGCATGGGCCCGGTTAATGTCGAGCGAGGGGATGGTGCGCCTCCGCGACCTGGCTGATTGGCACGACGACGACTTCAAATATGCCAAGCTCGAGGCTCACCGTCACCGCCTCGAAAGGCGGTGTTGGAATCTCCGCAGGAAGAAAAAGATCATGATGGAGCAGAGAAAGGACCAGTTTGAAGAATTAGAGAGGATCAAGGCCATACATGGTCGAGAGCTCTCGCTGAACGACCTCGAATTGATGAGAGACGAAGTGGAAACGCTGTGGGAACATCACGAAGGCGATCGAATGGCGGCACAGAGGAAAATTGACGACTTCAGAGAAAGATATCGCGGCATTCGCGTTCGCAGCGCCGCCGCTGCAGAAGAGCTCGCCGAGTTAAAGAAGGAGTTGAGGCTTGCCGTCGCTCGGCGAGAGAGAGCCCGAGATATCCGGAGATGTATCATCAAGGTGGTGGACGCCAAGGGAGACGTCATCAAGTCTCTCGAAGACCCACTTCGAGAATTGATGGCCCCGATCAACGATATCGACTCGGAGCACGATATGATAGAGGAGACTCTTAGAGAGGGTATACAAGACGAGGCGGAGCAAGATCCTAGTGGCCTCGGCCCGTGTAGGACCCGCATGGCCGAGCTCAGGGCCGACTACGAAGGGAGGATCGCGGCCATGGAGCTGTACATGATGGATTCTGGGAAAATGGACGACTACGACGAAGCCGTCGCCGAGCTCCTCACTGGCAAGATCAAGGACTTTGAGACAAACTGGCAGCATCAGATGAGTCAGGTTCAGGAGGCGCACCAGAGAACCGTGAAGAAGTACCAGCAAACGATTGCCGAACTCCAACTTGACTGTGGCATAGGATCGCCCACGAGAAGCGCCCCCTTGAGCGATTTGGAAAGGAACATATTACTCGACGAAGTAAAAGCTCTTCGCTCCGAGATAAGGTACCTGAAGTCTGGGTCCCCACAACCGAGTGTCCTCTCCTGCGAGAGTCCGGAGCCCCCGAGTCTGCTGGTGCACGAAACAGCTCGAGGAGGGTCTACGGCCGACGACGACCCTTCCCGCAGGATCGCGGAGAGCATTGGTAGGCTCAAAAGGAGTTTTCCTACGTCGGAGGGTAGCGACGACAGCGAGAAGAAACTTCGAGAGGTCAAAATAGCGCTTTCCGCTGCCACACGGGCGAAAAAAGCGCTGGAGAAGGAGAACCACGCACTGCAAACTCGATTAGAAAAGCTAGACGCGGTAGAGTCGCTGTGGGATCTTACAATCGGGAATAATACCAACGACTGGCTGGAGGCCAATCTCAAATTCCCCACCTCTGGCGAGATGTGGGAGCAGCAGGCCCGGCTTGTCAAGGCACGCGTCTTGGCGGTTCAAAGGGAAACAGAAACGCTCAGCGCTACCATATATAGCCTGGCTGAGGAGAACGAGATTTTAAAGGATCTTGTAGGTCTCCATCCGTCGGATGATATCAAGGACGCGGGGGAGAAAGCCAAAGAGGGAATAGGGGTGACCTGGATGGGGACGGTGACGGGGCGGAAGAGGGAAAATCGCCGCTGCTTGGGTCCGAAATGGATATCTTTGGGACAAAAGAGCGGCCGGCTGGTAGGGAAGAGGATACTGAATCCGACGAGAACTCTCAGTCCGACCCACGAGAGGATAAACACTCGGACGCCGACCTAGAGGCGGCCATGGCTCTACAGGAAGCCATGGTCATGTGTCTTGATGCCACCCAGAAACTCCTCGAGGACGCGACACCCGCCTCGAAAATGGACGAGGACGACAAAATCGACATCGCCCACGTTCATGCTTACAAAACTGCCGCGGAACGCGGCCTCGAGTCCGTCGAGACCATGGTCTCCACGCTATCAGACACGATTAATGGTATCTGCGATAACCTCGCTGATAAGGGTTATCTTGAAGCGGCGGCATACCGAGGCACGGACGAGGATACTCGCATGCATGACCTCGCCACGAAAGCCGCTGCCCGGATATTCTACGACATTCGAAAGAAGGTCGATGGTGCCTCGCGTGAGATCACGCTCGCTAGAGCTACGGTTCAGGACCACTTGAAAGTGGCGAATCCCCACAATCCCCTGGGACCTGGTCAGGATCGTGAAAGCCAAGGAGGCTGAGATTCAACGCCTCTCAGATAGGCTCGCAGCGTGTAAGTCAAGAACCCCTCACCCAACCCCCAACCCCGGCGACGAATCTGCTCCACCCCGTACACGTAAATTTGGGTATTTGCTAAGATGGCATGATTGGAGACGTAGTGGAGGGAGAAGACTTCTCCCACGATGAGCCGGAGGCTATGTCGGAGAACATCATGGAAGATCTTGGCACGGCATGGGATGTCGAATACGGAAGCCTTGCCAAAATGGCCGAAAAGATTCTCCGCGTCAAGTCAGGCGTCACCAAACAGCGGCAAGAGTACCAGGCCGTCCTCCAGAAATTTGTCCAGTCCCACAAGGAACTCCTCCACCGGACGCAGGTTGCAGAGACCGCACGCGTCGCCCTGCGCAAAAAGTGCTGGGCGCTGGAGCAGAACTTTGCGGACGAGAAGACCTTGCTGAATCGTACCCTTTACCAAGAGAAGAGGAGCGCGCTCGAGCAAGCGAAACGAGAACGGGAGGACGCGTTGAGAGATTGCAAAGCGCATAAAGACGCTCTCCTCACGCGCGAAAAGGAATGCGAAGAGCTCAGAGAAGAGCTTAGTAAAGTGAGAAGGAAGTTTGGGGTTTCCGACTCTGAAGGGCTCGCAACTGCCCGTGACTCGCAGAACATGACGTATGAAATGCTCGTTCAAACGACTGCCATGCTTACTGCAGAGCTCGAGAAGCATCAAGCCATCACCGAGAAGTTGAGGAAAGAAAATGCCAAGCTAGGACCAGCGGCCACGGCGTGCCACAGCTACAAGAAAGAAACGTTTGAAGCGGTCGCCCAGCTTTCCGGTCTCGAGAGCCAGATGAGCAGTATGAGGCGGGCCGTCGAAGAGGCAGAGGCGGAGCTCGATGCCGCAGAACAGCGGATCATCTGCCTACAAAGCGAAGTCGACACTTTGCAGACGAAGATGTCTATATTAGAGGCTCGAGAATTGGAGCTCCAGTTTGAGCTGGACGACGTGAAGTTGGCCACCGAGGTAGCCCACGAGAAGCAAGTCTCGGAAAGAACGGATGGCCAGGCTAAGATTTGTAGCCTCGAGTTCCAGATCAAGAAACAGTCACAGGAGCTCTCCCAGTCAGCCAAAGCTTGCCAAGAGCTCTTGGAGAAACACGAGAAGCTTGCCGAGCTTATTGTCATCGACAATGGTGCAATTCAGGATGCCGACCTAGTTCTTAAAACCACCCTTAAGGAGAAGGCGAGAGTCGAAAGAATGCTCGTCAAAGCTGAAGAGAAGGGGGCCGCATTGCAAACCGACTACGAACACGCGGCACAAGAGAGCCGGCAGCTACGACAAGAGCTGACGCTCGTCCGAGAGACGCACGAAACGGAGAGGATAGGGCTAGTCAATAGCGTTACCCAGCTCCAAGAGCAGCGCGAGGTGATTGAAAAACAAGAGCGCAAATTACGAGAGCACGAAGAGAAGCTCAGAGAGACGCTCGAAAAAGCGAAAAGGCCGCAATCTCAACACATCAGGGTCACCAAGGATATCTGGACTGGAGTAGAAGAAGCCGCAACCAGGCAGCAACTGGAAACACATGTGCAGCAACTCCAAGAGGCGTTGAGCAATGTGCTCACGACAAAAGGGCCGATGCATCAGCTTAGCTCTCAGATTAAAGCAAGGATTGACAACATGAAGTCTCTCTTTCAAACCGTACGTGATGCGTACGGGCCGGAGAAGGGCATGATGTTTGACGACTCAAGAGAGCCTCCGCTCACGAAGGCCGACGTCGACAATTTCTGGGTGGTTACGGCGATTCAGCAGCAGAGGCTCGCCGTCCTCCGAGCGATCAAAGACTGCGACTGGGCGAATGCCCAAACCACCATGAGCCACGCCATACGTCTGCTCCGGGCAGCGAAGCCCGAGACCTTTGACGGCGAGCTGTGGGGAGCATCCAGGTGCTTCAGGGCATGCTGGCCCTGTATTCGACGGGCGACACCACCGAGGCCTTTGCCGCCATTCGCAGAACCACATGGTATGACTCTGACAGGTGGCGACAGAACTCCCTCTACGGCAAGATGGTACGCTTGCTGGAAGAAGATGCTAAGGATATGCTAGAGAGACAAACACAGAGGAACGAGGCGAACGACCAAGGGGTCAAATCCTGCGAATGTAGGTATAGGATGCTGCCGTGCGCCCTCCACGCGGAGACGCAGTGCCGTTGCCGCTACCATAATGTGCTCGAGTACTGCAAGCGCCACGCAGATATGTTATCCCCCATGCCCCGGGTCGAGGCCAAGACGAAGAAAGAAAGACTTGGAAAGTTCTGGCAGCTCGCCCAGGCAAGACGTGGGGAAACTGCGTAAGGGTTCAGCGACGATGCCTACATCCCTCTATCCTTGCAAGAGGAGTGAATTTCCGGCATCATACGGACTATGCAAGACACAATCTGACTTTTTGTTTTTGATTTCTCGTATCCATAATAGATAGTTAATGGACAGGATAAGGAGTTACACCGGCGCCGAACCCGAAGAGGGGAAGAGGCGAGCGAAGGAACGCTCCCTCACCTTTATGCGTCTTTTCTTTGCCTCTTTTTTTCTCTCTTTTTCTCTCTTTCCTCTCTTTCTCTTTTTCTCTTGTTCACCTTTAGGTTGCATACTTGAGAAGAAAGAGAGATACAAGGAGAGGATGGGGCCCAAATGCGAGATTCTCAAAGAAAAACAATGATGCATCGTCAACAGATGATTTCAAATGAGGCCAGGGCCCGTTGCTCGATCTGTAAGATCTGTAAGCATTAGCAAAGATTCGACAAATTCACAAAGTAACGGCGGTTTGCATCAATGTGATGAAAGTAAGAAAGCGAAGAGCGGTAGCGAAAGAGACAGATAGATAGATGTGGAGTAGAACTGCGATGGCACTGGCACCCCAGACGGAGACAGAGATGGAGATGTGCGCCCAAGGGTCTGGGTCCCATTCTGCCCAGCCCTAGGAAAGCCAAGGCAAGACCTTTTGAACATGAGGATAATTGATAATTGAAACCATGGTTGTACCGGGGCGTGGGAAATCGAGCCCAGGTTTAATCCGCCCGAGCAAATCTCAGAGGAAATTTGGTGGCCATCGGCCGAGTGAGTTGGGCCGTCGTGGGACATTCAGGCCGACTGGCACCCTACGACCCTGCGACCAGTGCCTGCAATCACGAAAGAGAGATCATCGAAGCGACATCGCCGTTGACGATTGCAAGACTTTGGACGTTGATTGATAAGAAAGCCCGGTATTCCGACGTGCCGTGTAACCCTCGGACGCACCCACGTCAGATCTAAACCCCCAAAAGAATAAACATGCTGAAGTCAACGTCAAAGTTGGATTGGGGTCAGATCTTGGAAGCCAAGAGGGTCACTTGAAGGCTCGGCATGGGCCCCGCGTGGTTCCCAAAGGAGCAACCGCTCTCCCGCAAACGATTAAGCCCACCAGTCAAGTTGGCACCTGCGCAAGCTCTCATAAACTCCCATGATACAGCAGACAAAGTGCGCCCATGACGAATGCTAGAATAAGCGACGAGTCTAGCAACAGCATCGCGTAGAAAACCCCACACATGCCCACATGCACTCCAGTGTCATGTGGAGCTTCCAGCAGCAGATGGCGAAGGGAGAAGAAGACGCAGGGAGCATTTGGATATTAAAAGAAACATGAAAATGGAAGAGCGGCGGCGCGGGCGGAGTGGGTAAAAATGCTGGCGGATAAGCGACTCGATCGCTTGTCCATTGCAGCAGAGGTGTTTGCACTACCAAGCAATTTGAAGCAAGCAAGCTTCGTTCGGCGGGGGAGGGGCCCTTGTCACTTGCCATCATGTGCTGTGAAAGGGATGAAATCAAGAGAGTCCCGTCGCGTGTGCACCGCCATTTATTTTTGCGAGGAGTCATTGGGCCAGGCGTGTGGGGGAGGACGGTATGTCGAGTGCTGGTCTGGTGGTAACGAGGTGCTCGATGGAAAGACGGGACGTGTCGAGGCTGGCGGCTGCCCCGAATGGACAGCGATACATTGCAATCTAAACGATCAATCAATGATGGCGAGCCGAAACAGGAAAGTCGGGCGGCAGGCGGAGCTGCGAATTCCTGGACAAGGGCCCCTTTGTTGTCAAAGGGTCGGTAGGCAATAGATTGCCGGATCGCTCATGGAGCCAGACATAGTGGATATGACGGTCTGGTTCTTTTCTCTTCTCCTCCTTGACCTCGTGCTGTACGGTAGACGAGCAGTGGTCCGTGGATCTATTACACGACCTCGTCCTGTGCGCGTGAGTGAAGCTTGACCGGGTCGATCTCTGGATACACTGGATGCTTGATTTACAGCTCTGGCGTGAGGCTCTGCCACCTTAATCCAATGGATCCATGGATGTTCATAGATGTAACTCGATGGTCTGCCAGACTGTTAGCGGCTGTCGGTGTAGGTCGGTCGATGCAAGATCTCGCAGGGTCCATTGACAGCCCCAGGTTGCTCTAGTTGGCGGTCCTCGACGCCTTGCCTTGGGAGAAGGGATAACTAAGGAGAAGAGGATATTGGATTCCACCTAGGCCGGGCCGAGGGTTTGTGTCATAAGCATCCTGAGCCGTCAAAAATATGGGGCCCAGGCTGCCGAGTCTCCGTGTTATCCGTTCGACTCAAGCACTCCAGGTCAAGCGCTCCAGGCCGCGTATCATGGGAGGCTCCTTACCCGAGATCTTTTCCTTGGAAGACATCTGCCACCTCCGCGACGAGAGAGACTGGAGGGGTGGATATTCGCACAGAATGCCCATTGAGAAAATTGTCTCCAGTTCAGATCCACCGCCGAAGTTGGTTGGGCTCTGTGGTGCACCTTTTAGGGGACCAACCCGCTTACCCGTCTTGAGCGTCGCGGCTCGTCTGATCGCCCTCCTTCCGACTTTTCATGCCCTCTGAAAACTCAGTGTTGCTCCTTCTGTTTACAACAATCCAGTGAAGCCCCTTCCTCAATGACGTACAGTAGATGACTGCACCCCTACCTAGGGCACGCATTAGCTCAAGGCCACACAGAAAGCCCTTCAATCATCCCGCCCAACACACGTTTTTCGTGTTCACTCAGGACACAAGCTCCGTCGTCCCGAGTCTCCATTACATTGATGGATGGCTCTGACGCGGTGGGTCAAGGCCAGCCAGCAGCGCACTCTATCGGCAAGATACTGGCTATCACCCGCGTCTCTCTATAGCGCCATGAGTGAATCCTCACTGTTGCTAGTTGAGGTGTGCACCTAGTGGACAGCGCCGTTCGCGACTTGTGTGGAGAGTGTAGATGCAGAGTGTTGTCTCGTCCAGTACATATTCTGGTCATCTACAGCTGAGAGAATGGCCTCCTCGCAGCAACTTCAGTGGACGGAGGGGCACAACTTCCTTGGCCAGCCTCCAAGTCGCCATCACAAGCTACCCGCTACTGGGTTCCCCCGCGGTCCTCACGCCCCCTTCTCCCTCTCTCTTCTCTCTATATCCCCCTCCAAACCCTTCAATGTTGGTATGAAAGGGTAGGTCGAAGCGGGTCATTGTCCCGCCCTCCTATCTGGCCCCCTCCACTCCACCTCCCATGTTTCCTGGAAGGGTCCGTCAAAACCCGACAGTGCTTGGACAAGATCTAAGTAGATGAGTGGTGGGTGGACATGAGGGCTAGGCGACTACCTGATGAATGCATGCCTGAGTCTATCTGCGTCACATCATCGCAACCTTTCGTTCCCGAGTGGTACTCACACTTTGGCGGTGGAACGTCTCGGATCTTCACCTGGAAACCCCTCCCATTCCTCTTATTTTCATGTGAGACAACCTTGATATGGGATAGGTGGACTATCAGGTTCTCATGCGACTCTCATGTGCATTCTCTTCCACATACAATTCACCCCCGAGGTAAAGCTTCCATACGTGGCGCAGGGGATCTGAAGTCTCCGCGTGCGGCTACCCGCCAAGTCGGGGGAAGAGAAAAGGCGGAGAATCTTGCTCCATCACGCGAAATAATCACCGTCTATGAAAGTTTTCTTCTGTTTTCGTGCGAAGAAGAGGGCTGTTCTTTGAGTCCTCTACCCTTGGCCGGATTGCGTCGGGTGGATTGATGAGTGGCAAACCTTCAATGAGACGTATGTCGAATATTCACAGATCTCATCACATCACACTCTATCCGATGTAGAAACTATAGGTTCTTTGCTTCCTCACAAACTTCCCTCGCGTTGCCCCGATCAGCCCACCCTCGTTGACTGCGTAGGGATGGATGCGGTCGAGGCCGGTCTACTGTATGCTAGTGTGTCTGAGGAACCAACCTACGCGTCAGCTTTATTACGATTGCTTGTTGTTGATAGAACAAATACCCCTCCTCTAGGTAGATAATACGGTGTTGGGCGTTTTTCGGCAGTCTGCCAATGGCGGCTATAATGGTGGTGGTTATCTATGGATCCAAGGGATCTAATCCCTTACGTTCTTTCTTATACACCCTCAGGTGATTTCCTATCTAAGTATGAATTAGCTATCATGGACTTTCTTCGGCTTCCACTCACTCTCAATACTATGGTGTTATTGAAGCCACGAAACATTGCCCTCGCTAACCACCAGGCAACTTGCCAGATACAAGTCGGGTCGGACGACAAATCTAGAAGAAGCTCTGATTGAAGGCCTACGGATTCACATCTAGTCACGAGACAAGAAGGGCCTCATGTTTTCCGGCTTATCGGTTGCTCCGTTTCGCCTCAAAGGCGGGCTGGCGCCCCACCTGTCCGCGTCGCATCAGACAGCTTTGTCGAGCTCCCCATTCTTCCCGCGTCGGCCGTCCTGGTGCTCCCCTCCTTGCCCGCCAAAGCCTGGACGGGAAGTTTTGGGGATGGAATTGGGGTCACCTGCAGCTGAGGCGAAAACAGTGAATGTGTCCCGCGCCCTACTTGCCCCAGTTCGCCTCCAGGGTTCGTTTTAATGAGCACGGCTTCAAGCGGGAGTCGAGGGTGGACCTCATGGGCAGGATTCGCCTTCTGTTTTCGGCTCAACACCGACCCTCGTCCACAGCTGGTTTCATCATGAATGTCTTGTCAGAGTACCGTACAGCGTCGTGTCTTCACATCGACTTTGCGCTATCCCGTGACGGTTACGCCAAGGATTCCCGTGCTGGTGGACAAAGGAACGAAGTTGCCCATTCCACCACTTGATAGCGACGGGTCGTTGCATTGCGTTCTCGGAACTGCGTAACGGCCAGCCACGTGCAGCCGGCGCCAGCACCAAAAGCACCTCGGGGTGGACACTAAAGCCCAAGTCAAGTCGAGAGGAAGCGTTTTAGCAGAGAAGAAGAGAGAATAGAAAGGAAAAGGGTAGCCATGATCTCGTTGCGGGCCCC